ACGACACGATCCTCTGCTTCAAGTTTTTCCGGTGCGCAAACTTCCGCCGGTCGCCGCCCATCCTAAAAATCGCCATAACCTTGTGGATTCAAGACCTGTTTTTGGGCTCAAATTTTGTCAGGAGCTAGGCGTCTCCCTTCCGAAGATACTGTAAAAATTTGAGCCTCCCCTGACTTGCCGATCCCCTTAAAACCCGACCTTTTGCCGGGCGGGTTGGCCGTGGAGGGGGCGTCGTGGTGATCGCTGTCGGCTGGAGCCTCCGCCTCGTCGTCAGTCTCCGAGTCCGAGTCCTCGCTCAATTCGCCTGAATCGTGGGAAATACACCTTAACAAACATTAATTTACGTATTTGCAAAAATTTAAGTGAATTAATTAACCTCGGATGTGTGGCTAACTGGTAGTGTTCGAATCTGCCGGCCACAAGCCCCGGGTTCGACTCCTGAGAGTGCCAAACTTTTTGCTTTTTGACTACCATATCCTAATTGACTGGATACCTTGAAAATAAGGGCAGTTTTAGCAAGAACAACCAGTGTTATGGTCGTCAAGTAGCGCGCTAGTTTATCACCCACAAGGCCCGGGTTCGAATCCCGGCCATGCCTAACTTTTTGCTTTTTCGCCGAAAACCGTAACAATCGTTTTTCTTTAATTTTTCCGACTCACCCAGTGGTTTCCCCTTCGGCGGCCCGGTGTCCGAGTCGAGCGGCTGCGTCGCGCACACGCTAAAGTTGAGCCGCCCGATGCTTTGCACTAAAAAAAATACAAATTCAAATATATCCTACAAACTTTGTAGTACAAACTACAACGCACCGTTTGCCGTGTTCTCCTTCTGCAAATCGTCCGAGTTCCACAGCAGAATCTCGTGCAGCTGGCCCTGCTGGAGGAGTTGCGTCAGGTTGACCAGGCCTAAAATTGTAATTTTTTGGATAGCCAAATCAATATAAAAATATTTTTATTCCCAAAGAATCTCTGCAAGCTGCCGCCGGCACCCACCAATGGCCAACGTCTTGAAGCCGCCGGGGATCGGGCGATTTTTATAGCGCCGCCGCCGCTGGATGAGAATCTGCAGCACGTTGATCTTGCGCTTGAGGAAGTGCGGGTACTGTAATTGTCAAAATGTAACTTTTTAAAATGATTTAATCAGACAGATTTTAAATTAAAGGGCTGGATTCTGGAAATCCTGATCCAAAAACGAAAGATTTTTAGAAAAAAATAACTAAAAAACACCTTTTGGAAAATTTGATGTTTTTAAATACCTAATTCTTAATTTAAAATGGCAGTCGGCCTTAAATTTGGATTAAAGTTTCCAATTTTTACTAAAAACCGCTTACAAAAAAATGACAAAAGTGCATGTTAACGTCGCCATAAAATTATTATAATCACGCTCACCTGAATCGCAAACGAAATATCCAACGGCAAGTCCAGCTGGCCAGTGCGTGCCGGGAGGGCAATCTCGTTACTGCGCAGATTCCGCTTGTGACCCTGATCGATACCGCATTTTTTCAGGCTCGGTGCGCCCCTACCTGCAGCCGGGCGGTGATCACGATACTCTGCAGCTCGGGCGCCAGCGTGCGTAATTGGAGGCGATTCACCGAAAAATTGGCAACCCTGAAATGGCGTTGAGTTTTTACCCAATTTTTGGGGGTAGATTTCTGCCAGGACCAAAATTTTCCAAAAAAAAACTGGGGGTTTGTTTCTAAGGGCCCCCTTTACAAACCCTAAAACCCAAAACAACTAAAACTGTGTTTTGGCGCTACATTCCGCAACCCGCCTCTGGACAATGTCGTTGCCGGTCTTGTCGATGTCCCAGTTGGCGAACAACCGCATCGAGACGACGCCGTTGCTCTTCCGCGCCCGGTCCATTTACTGCAAAGGAAAGGCCTTTTTTTACCTAATTTTGTTAAAAAATTTGAGAGCACGACGAAAAATACCACAAATTGTAGCTTTAAAGGGCTAGTTCAGCCAATAAAACAAAAGAATTTCCGCGGCCAGGGAGTCGAACCCTCTCTGCGTTTTTGTGTCTGCGCCCCTCTCATTTCCCCGATCTCTAATAGCTGTCGTAATGGGGGGACTGTTCGGGCGCACTGTGCCTACGTCTATAGTTTCCCAAGGTACCAGCCCAAGCTCTAAAAGTTGAACTAGCCCTTTAATACTCCAAAAATCCCGCAATCCTATATATTAAACATTTTTTCGTGATTATTATGCGCCGTTCCCGGAAATAACGAGCTCATTACGCCCAAATCCGACAGGCAGTGTTTATTTGGTGCTGCGCGCGGCACACCAACAGCGCGAATAGCCGGCAATTTGGTGGCGGCTGGCGTGCGGGAATTGGAGAACCGGTCCCGACCCCCGAGAACTTCCCGGGGCGATGATGCGACGAGTGAGTTGCCGGGGTTTTTTGGGCCTCACGGGGACGGCTGTCCCGCACGCGAGGCCCACCTGGGGAGCACGAGAGAAAGAAAAAAGAAGAAAAACGCGGGGAAACGGATACCCGGAGTCAGCGTGCGGTAATGGGCTGTTTAAAAGCGGGTTTCGGGCAAAAACACGGGGATCAACTACTCGGGAACAAAGATTGATGTATCCTAAGAAATACAAATGTTTAGTGGAAAAAAATGTAGAAAAATATGATCTGGAAAAGTCTAAAATTTAAAAAACTTACTGTCGTGAAAATCACTTATTAGCCACGAATAAAACCGAATTTAAAGTATTTAGCAGTCTTTTAAACGTTTTCGCAGGAAAGTTTCATCGAGAAAAAACATTGCAACGACGTCTTTTGAGCTAAATGGGAAATTTGTATCCCAAAACAACAAAAAACTAGAAAATTTTTTTGTTATAACCGCGATCTAATTGAATTTATTATCTAAAAAAGCGATAGATATCATTTTGGCATAATACCAATCAAACAAAATCAAATCAAGAAGCAATGATTCGAACCGTTTATCTTCCGAAAACTCATCGCGCACAAACAAAACAACTCCAAAAACCTAACTATCACACGAAAACGAAGAAAAAGGCATAGAACGCTTCATAAGACCCAAGTGTACAAGTAATATCTATTGCTTTTGCTGCTCGGTGTTGATCGGAGGGATTAGACCCTCGTTGTAGAGCCTAGAATTAGAAATAAGTTTTGATTAGAACAGAGAACAAAAAGCCAACCTCCTGACATCGGGGGTCCAGTGCGATTCGGGTAGTCGTTGCAGCTCGACGGCGTGTCGTTTATAGCGCGGATTATTGTCTCTGGAATTTGGTAACGTTAATTTTAAGATTCGGAGGGTTTTTTTGCACTATCGGGGGTGGGGGCAAATATAAATAGTGAAGCCTTTCTAATGGTTTCTTTTCTCAAACGTCAAAATTTACAAAATTTTATTACAAAATGTAGTTAGTAAATCTAGTTATAATCTATTTATTTTTACCAAAAACATTATTTAAACACTTTCGATTAGTTTACTATACATTTCTAAACTTATACAACAAGGTCCCCCCGATAATGCGAACGAAACGATTCAGAAACCAAAATCAACCTCCTCCAGATCCGCTCCTTTTTCGTACATTGCCACACGGCCTCGTCCAAATTGCTGCACTGTCCGAGGTGTTTGCCAAACGTGTTCTCGCCGAGGCACTGTTGTAAAAGCTGCAAAAAAGATTGTTTCTTTCAGACAACCCACATACCTTTATTAAATAATTGCACTCTAGCGTGTGTAGATGGGGCGAAAGATCTGGCAACATGGCGGGTCAGCGGCCCTGTAAAATCGATTTAAAAAGAATTCAACAAGCATGCCAAATTTCCAAATTGAGAAAAATAAAGTTTATATTTTACGACTATTTCGCGTTATTACATAAAATCCCTGGAGCGGACTTATGCCGTTTTTTCCGCACTTTAAACGGTACACATAGGATAACGGGGGGGGGAATAAAATAACGGGGGGGCACTCATTATTATGAAATTTGCAATTACTTCGGGATTTTGCGAGTGCCATTCGATAGAGCGTCGAAAAATATACTAAGAGAATTAATTTCAGCCCGAAATAATGTAAAAGAAATTTTTTATTGAATAAACAAAAATTGAGGAAAATCTATGGGCAGCACATAGGATAACGGGGGGGGAAAGTCAAATTTTCGAAATTTGCGAAATTTTCGGCATTTTGAAAACGTCATTCGATAAAGCGTCGAAAACTGCCCTAGGAAAATTAATTTCAGCCCGAAATAATGTAAATGAAATTTTTTATCGAATAAACAAAAATTGATCAAAATCCATGGGCAGCACATAGGATAACGGGGGGGAAAGCCAAATTTTTGAGATTTTCGATATTTTGAAAACGTGAATCGATAGAACATCAAAAAATATACTAAGAGATTTTTTTACAACGCGAAAAAATGTATTATAAAAGTTTTATAGCCTAAAAACTATTTTTGAAAACTATGGGCAGCACATAGGATAACAGGGGGGAAAAAATTTTCGGCGTTTTGAATATTTTCGAAATTTTGAAAATGCCATTCGATAGAGGACCGAAAAATATACTAAGAGTTTTTTTTACAGCCCGAAAAAAGCTTATTTAAAAATACTTTTATCATATAAAAATTTTGAGTGCCCCCCCGTTATTTTTTCCCCCCCCCCCGTTATCCTATGTGTACCCTTTAAACAGCTACAATCTATAATATATTTAAATATTTTTAAGCATGTTTTAGCAACATTTTCCATCAAAAACTTTGTATTCCGCCAGCCCGGGGCGCTTTCTTCAAAGATCCATAGCGTTTCCTAATAATGCGCGCCAGCCCGGTGTCTTAAGTATCCTTTCGGAACCCGGAATTTCATTGCGTAAGCGACCGGCAAAACAAATCAAAAATTTGGAAAATGGAGTAAAAATCTAAAGTAAAAAACCCAATTTTTTAATGTTATCTATTTTTATTCTCTTTTTGACTATTGTATTTGTTAGCTCCATCTTTCCACGCTTTTCAGGCGAAATACATCTTGTCGTTGCCGCCAAAATTTGATGAACCGTTGCCATGGCTCAACTGGATTCATTGCTAGTGCAGGTAAAGCTTGATAAAAAGAAATTGTACTTTTTTTTAGGGGATCCGAGCTATTGGGCCGGACGCTGAGGACGCGCACGTGATCAAATTCCAGAACCCGCTCACGATCATCGCCGGGCCGAATGGATCCGGGAAAACGGTTTGGGGATAAATTTTGATCGCAAAAAAAATGTATATTTAGACCCTCATCGAGGCGCTGAACTTCATCACCACCGACACGAAGCCGTCCGGCCAGTATCCGGCGTTTATTCACAATTTGGAGGTGGGGAAAAGCTGAAAAATCCGGATTTTCAAGGGACTTTCGGATTAAAGAGTATTTCATTAGTGTTTTTGATCAAATTTAGGTATATTTAAAGGGGCAAGCTATTCAGAAAGCTTTAATAGGTTTTTTTTAACTTTAAATTTGATCGAAAATGAGCAAATTGAGGCAATAAATTGTAAATTTTGCGTTATCATTAGAGTTTTTGATCAAATGTAGGTATATTTAAAGGGGCAAGCTATTTACAAAACTTCAATGGTTTTTTTTGAACTTTAATTTGGAGGAAAATGAGCAAATTGAGGCAATAAATTGTAAATTTTGCGTTAAGGTAAAGTAAAACAAATGCTGTGCAACCGCGTCGCCTATTAGGCTTTCTATTTATTTATACTATCCCTTTAGATTTGCGGCCGACCACGCGTCGACGGGCTGGTGAAGCTCAAGTTCCAATCGGCCAATGGCAAGCAGGTCACCGCCACGAAGCGTCTGTGTCTTTCCAGGGCCCCGAGGGTTGGTTTTTTAGTTTTTAATTTAAATTTGTAGCTTTTTAGTGTAGTTTGAAGTTTAATAATCTAAATAAACCCTTTTCAGACCAATAAATTGACGGGCAAGCAAGAGGAGAGCACAATTGTCACCGAAGATGTGCACGGCAACAAGGTGTCGCTGTCGTCGAAGGTGGCCGACACGAAAACCGAGGTTAGTGTTGCATTTAAATAGTTTTTGATATTTCAAGGGATTTTTGATGATTTATTGATTTTTAGATTTTGAACCTCTTCGACGTGCCGTCAGCCATCCTCACCAACGTCATCTTCTGCCACCAGGAGAATTCCACGTGGTACGGTTTTAAATTTTCGATTAGTTTAGATTTTTCCAAGGTAATGTTCAGAAAATAAGGATTTTGAAATACGTGAATCACGTAACGTGATCGAAAAAGTCTGAATTTTTGTAAAAAAAAGCTTCATTTTCATAGTTTCGATATTTGGAAAAACACGTCATTTTTTCGCAGATCTCTCTATTTTGCGGAAAAATTCGTCATTTTCAGGCCCCTCGCCGAGCCCAAACAGGTCAAGGAGAAGTTTGACGCCATCTTCGAGCTGTCCAAGTACGTCAAAGCCGTCGACAAGCTCAGGAAGCTGGCCAAGGATGAGGTTCCTTAAAAAATGTACAGACATTTTGATTTTAGAACAACGAGCTGCAAGTCATCTACTCGGACTTGAAGCTGCTGCAGAGCCACTTCTTCGACAAGAAAACGGTGCGATTCGGTTTTGGCTTAGGCTTCCAGCATAGGCTTGATTTGGGGCTTAGGCTTGGGCTTATGTTAGGCTTAGGGTTGGGCTTAATCCTGAAGCTGAAACTGAAAATGCCTTTAGAAAGAGCGCGAAATTGCTGAGCTGAAGCTGCGCCTGCAAGAGTACAGCAACGTCCTGGAGATGTACAACACGAAGAAGACGGTCAGTGGATTTCCCTCATCAGAATCAGGGCTTTTTCTAGAACGCCCAGGAGATGTTGGTGCAAATCAGGGAGGAGAAGCGCCTCTACCAAGTCATGTCCGTGGATATTAGTGGGTTTTTCGTGTTTGATTTTTTAAATGTTGTAATGATATAAAATCTGGTTTAACAAATCAAAAAAGACGTCTTTATAAAAATACGGCAATTCTATTTTTAATGCTTTTTAGCGATTTTTAAAAGATGTTGAGTTTTGTAAAACCTTTAGTGCGCAACGAGGCGACGCTGACCTCGATGCGGGACAAGCTGACGATGTTCAACGTGCCCGACTACCCGGGCAGTCAGCTGGAGCTGCAGGCGGAAATTGAGAGGGTATATATGAACATATAACGCATTATAGACATCTTATTTGTATTTTAAAACGTCGAATAAACCTTAAATTAATTAGACTAAGATTTACTCTTATTAAGCTTCGAGACCAAAATGTTCCCTATTTTCAGCTCGAACGCTCACCCGACTTTCAAAATATCGCCCAACGACGCGCCGAAATCGAGGTGCAAATGAAAAAGGTATTTAGACGATTTTAGTGATTTTTATTAATTTTAACATTTTATTTTTATTTAGTTTTTAGTATATTTAAATTTTTATAAAAATTTATTTAAATCCACTTTAGGCAGCGGCGGAGCGCCAAAAAGCGCTACAGGAACGCGAGGCGCTGGACGGCCGCAAAATCGAGATGACCGCCGTGATCAAGGTAAAATTTGTAATTTGATGGTACGGTAGTATGGTGTACTGTATTATTTTTAAAAGAGGTTTTTTTAACATTTTTTATTTAGCAAAGCGAGCAGTGCACCGAGGAGATCCGGCGGAAAGTCCAGGAAGTGTGCGAGCGATTTGGTACGTGGTTTTCGATATTTTGGGATTTTTTAAAATGTTTCAAAAAGGCCGAAGGTCAAAATGTCGAAAATCTTCATGCCGAAATTTACAAATCGCCCGGAAAACCCCTAAATTCCATTCAAAAAATGTCGACATTCTGAAATTTCGTGATTTAGGAATTTCGACATGCAAAAATTTCGACATTATTTGTCGGCATTATGATTTTCGGCTGAAAGTCACCCAAATTTCAGACTTCCAAATCGACGGCCCCTTCGTGCAGCAGATCCAGGCGTTTTTGCAGAAGCAGAACAACGAGTTGGACAAGTTGAAGGTACGCTCGAAATTTTATATTTGTCATTTTTACTTTTTTCCCTTCAGAAGTCGCTTGGCGATGAAAAGGGCCTCCTGGAGACGACCAAGGACCAGGCGGTCTCTAAGGCACAACAGGCCAAATTCGAGTTAAAGGTATGGGTTTTTAAGAATGAATAAATTTGGTGCATTCCAGGCTAAATCTGAACACCTCGAAAAGACCGGCGAGGCGCTCGACGCGCTGAAGCGCAAGCGCCAAATGATTTCGAATGGGCAGGAGGAGTGCGTTTTTTAGTTGAATTTGTTTCCTTTTTTGGGATTTGTTTAATTGAATTTGACTTAGTTTTATTTAATTTTTCCACACTTTCAGGCTGGAATCCCTGCAGCGCCGCCTCGCCCAGCTCGAGCGCCAGCGCGACGCGTTCCCGCGCGCGGACGCCGGCGCGATCGACCAGCTGAAGCAGCGCCGCAATGGCGCCCAGCAAAAGGTTAGGTTCAAAAATCGACGATGATAGTTCGGTATTTTTAAAATCGACATTGTGCGAATTCGATATTCCGAGAATTCCGGATTTTTAGAAGTCAGCGTTATGTTAATTTCAGGTTGCCGGTTCGGCATTTGTTTTTAGTTTTGTCGGCATTATGCTAATTAGCCGTGTTTGAAAATTTATCTTGCCTGCTGATTTAGAATTCGGGTTTTTTTTAATTTTTAGTGTCACCGCCTTTCGTGTCGGGATTATCCTAATTAGACATTTTCTCTGTTCCTTTATGTTATTTACAAATTTTCGAAATGAATTTTTTAAGCGCTCCCTTTTTCAGCTCCTCACCACCAAGGCCGAGCACGACAACCTCCTCCACCTCGAGGAGTTCGAGAAGGCGCTCGCCCGCGCCACCGCCAAGCAGGGCGACGAGCAGCGCCGTTTCGCCGAGCTCGTCCGGCGTCACGAGGCCGATTTCGGGGTGTTTTGGCCGGATGATACGCCCGTTTTCCCGGTCGGGTAAGGAAGGATTAAAATTTTGCCCCTGAAAGCACTGTTCAGCGACAGCGTCAAGGAACTGGCCGCCGACTTGAAGGAGCAGGCCGACGAGCTGAATGCGACCGGCCAAGCTTTGGAAAAGACGGTGCAACAGGAGCGGGCCGCCGAGCACAGCCGCAATAATGAGAGGTCGCGGCTCCGGCAGCAGATCAGCGGCCTGGAGGAGGAGATTAGCCAGGTGGATTGCTGTTGTATTATCAGGGGGGGGGGGGGTGTAATCGAATTTTTCAAGCCTAGAGATTCCTAATTCCTAATAATAATAATTTTAATCGAGTTTTTTTTATGAAAATTTTGCCATATTTATTGCAAGTAGCAGAATTGTCTAAAATTAGAAAAGTTTTTGTCGAAAATTTGGGCGAAAAAATATTTGGATGGCTTTTTTGTATTGTTAATAGAGCTGGTCAAATTCAATAATCTTTGAAATGAAAAAAATATCTATAAGAATTTTTTTGAGATATAAAAAAACTTTTTTATCAGAATTTGTAGAAAATCGGCAAATTTGGTCGAAAAAATCGATAGTTTTTGTGATTTTTAATCAAAATTTGTTGTTTTTTACGTCAGGAATGGTAAAAACGGTGTACAAGGATAATCCCCCCGATAACGCCAAAGAACCGTCGCGTGCTCGCTTAAAGGCAGTATGACAGCCACGCTATTTTTTAATGGATCTTTTTCAGCTTGCCAATGGTACCGTATACTCGGAAGTGAGCGCCGTCTTGTCGACAGCTAGGGAACGCCTAAAAAAGGTACTTGAAAAATGCCGAAATTCATAATGTCGAAAACCATACTTTCGAAAATCGTTATGTCGAAATTTTCATAGACGAATTTCCCGAAAAACCCCCAAATGTCGAAATCGTATGCAAAAAAAATTGACGAAATTCTGAATTTCAACATTATAAATTTTTGACATGCTGCATTCTGAATTTTGAGATTATCGCATTTTGACGTTGTGAAATTTCGGCATTCTAAAATTCCGCCTTCCGAAATGTCGACATTCAGAATTTTGATCTTATGAATTTCGACATTAAATTTATACGCGATGATTTTCGACATTACGATAGCCAATCCCCCTGACTTCCAAGCCCCTTTAAGCCCCGCCCCTTTTCAGGCGCGCAAGCAGCTCGGCCCGCTCGAGGCAAAGTCCGTCCTCTACGACACGTGGATCGAGGAGTCGGAGGCGAAACACGGCTGCCCGCTGTGCGACCGGAAATTCCCGTCGAAAGCCGGCTATAAGGACTTTGTGGATAAGGTCCTTATAGCCTTATAGGGACCTCGTAGTATTGGGTTACGGTATCTCGCTTTTTCTAGCTCTCGAAACTCTCCATCTCGCTGCCCGGCGAGAGCGAGCAGCTCGCCCGGCAGGTGGCCGAGCTCGAGCAGGAGGAGACGCTGCTCGTCAACGCCGACGCGAAGGGCCAGAATATTGAGTGCGTGATTTTCGGGGGTTTTAAAGGGGCTTACAAGGTTATCTTAAGTCGCGTTTCTTTGGCATTATCGGGGGGAGAGAATTTTTAAAAATATTACTAGCCAAACTGTTTTTAATACTCTTAATCGTAAAAGCTTTACAAATTCTATTAAAACAAAATACAACAAAATATCGATTTTCCGACTGAAAATGCCGAAATAAAATAAAAAACTGACCGAAAATTCGATTTTTTTAAAAATTTTTCAGAGTTTTAAAATAGTTTTTCTTTTGAAATATATTTCAATTTACCAAAAACATTTTGAAAATACTAGGCGTTTCTAGATTAATACAAAAAGATTTGCCCCCCCCCCCCGATAATGCGAAAGGATCTTTTGATTCGCATAATCGATTGTTCGTCAAATTTCAGGCCCCTGGCCGCCGCCCTGCGCGAACTCGAAGCTCAAGCCGAGGCAGGAAATCGTCGCCTTGCCGAGGCTGAGCGAAAATTGACGGTTTGTCCACATATATTTTTTGCGTAAAACACCCTCTAGGAGTTGAACAAGCGCCGCGGCAGCGTCACCAACAGGCTCGACGCGATCAACCGGCTTTTGGTGGGGGTTTTTTTGTCACCTTAATGTTGTACGTTTTCAGCTCGACGTCAACATGATGGACTCGTTACACGGCAGCCTGGAGGCCGGGAAGGCCGAGATTGACAGGCTAAACCGCCAGCTGGGTGGCCAGAGCGGAGCCCGATCGTTGAGTGACGTCAAGGCCGAGAAGGTCGAGCTCGAGGATGAGGTCAACAGGTTGCTGCTCGAGGAAGACCGACTGCAGAACGAGTACAACAAGGTCAACCAGCTGGCCGAGGAGGTGAGCTTGCAGAAATTGGTCAGGAGAGGGCAGGCTAGCAGAGATTGTTGAGGAAGAGGAAAGGGCAGGCTAGCAGAGATTGTTGAGGATCCAATTTTCAATTCCAGATCAACCGCCTGCAATCACGTCGCCTTGAACTTGGCGAAGGTGCGGCGAACCTGGCGCATTTTGACGTGCAAATCCGCGAAAAGGAGCAAGAGGTTCGTTATTTCTAAAAAATTTAATTCAATTTTCGTAATTTAGGGCACGCAACTGAGGGAGGAGTCGGCGGCGTTGCGGGCACGTATTCCGGATTTGCGGATGGCGGAAGCGGTAGGATTTTTTTGAGCATGAGATTTTAAGGGAGTATGACCCATAGATATAGATGACATACAGGGTGTCCCAAAAAAACGACCCATCTGGCATTTCGCCGTGTTACATCCAACCGGCCCCAAATTTGGACCAGAGGTGTATCATAGCCTAAATAACAACAATCCTGACTTACAGCCCGATAGCTACAGTAGTTTTAAAGTTATAACGAAAATACTGTTTTTCCCGGAATTCTGAACAGTTTTATCGGCTATCTTTGGACTTTGTATCGATTTGCATCGACTTCCGGCTGCGAATCCCTAATTTCGCTTATGAACTGGGGTAGTTTTGCGTTGTAAAAATTGCTTATATCGAAGCTTATTTAATTAATTTTACTCTGGAAAAAATTTCTTACGGTAAAGAAGGTCTACCGGATCATTTTCACTTAATGTTTAGGGGGTCTAATTCCACGAAAACCCTATGAAAAATAGAAAATAAAGTTTGTTTTTGCCATAACTCGAGAACGACTGTAGCTACGGGGCTGTAAGTCAGGATTGTTGTTATTTAGGGTCTGATACACCTCTGGTCCAAATTTGGGACCGATTGTATGTAACACGGCGAAATGCCAGATGGGTCGGTTTTTTTTTGGGACACCCTGTATAGATCAATAGCTTTATCACTTTAAAATGAGCGTGACATCTAGATTCATCTCTCCAGACCTTTAAAGGGAGCATGAGATCCAACTTACACAGAACAGTTAGTCTCTTGCTCTTTAAAGTGAGCATGACACTGATCGTCGAATCGTGCGTAAAAATCTTTATCACTCTGGAATAACGAACAAACACAACAACAACTACACCATGACGACGCGGCGATGCGCGTGCTTGGCCCTGTCGGAGCGATGCGGGCACTTGCAGTACTGCGCGTCCTCGCCGGGCCCTCCACGCTGCCCGGGGCCCCCGTCGGCGCCCGGCGCTCCCGGCTCGCCGACGTCGCCCTGCTTCCCCAGCTCCCCCGTCTTGCCGTCCATGCCCGGCTTGCCGTCGGTGCCTGAAATTGGGGGTGGCTTTGAAGGGTTCGAAAGCCGCTTTTCAAGATTTTAGCGCGAGTGATGACGCGCGCAGAGGTTTTTGGAAAAGTTTTTTTCAAATTTTGGTCGAAAAATCGAATTTTTGTATTTTTTTTAATAAAATTTTGTAAAGTTTTTTTCGTTTCGGGCTAGTAAAAAAACCGTTTAAAAACCCCTTCCGCTCTTTGCTTAAAAAAATTCATTCCTAAAAAAAATGTTTTTTCTAGTTTTTTAGTTCAATTTCTCTAAATTTTCTAACCCTTTAAAAGGACCATAACCACCAAAATGAGGCTCACCTGCTTCTCCCGGGAATCCAGTAGGTCCAGCCGGTCCCTTCTCGCCCACAGGTCCATCTGGGCCCTTCCCTCCCTGGACCCCCTCTTGGCCCTTGGGCCCCTGTGGCCCCTCCTTGCCAGGCAGTCCGTGCTCCCCTGGCATACCCAAGCCGCCGGGAGCTCCGGGTAGGCCCTCGTTTCCGGGGAGTCCAGGCGGACCCTGGGGTCCCTGCACTCCTTGCGGGCCCGGTTGTCCTAGACTGGGTAGTGTTCGGGGAGTTACGCTTTATACCTGGTAGTCCAGGATATCCGGTCGGTCCATTCGGGCAGATCCGGCAGTCCTCCTTGTGATCCACGTAGATCGACGGCATGTTTCCGGCCAACCCGGGCTCACCTGGAGCTCCGGGGTGCCCGTCATCACCATCAAGTCCAGGCGCTCCTATAAGCGTTTGATTAGATGGACGCTCAAGGGCGGTAGGGTTCCCTAGGGACCCCTGTTAGCCAGCGCCTCACCTGGAGTTCCGGGAGGCCCAGCCGGACAAGCGCTCTTTTGCTGGCAGGCACAACCGCCAGGTGTCGCCTGTCTGGCCGCCCTCGCCTTGTTGTAGGGGCTCTCCGTCGCTCGCATATGGCCCCAGACGCCGTCTTGAAGACGTTTAAAGTCCGCCATGTCCTAAAGGGCATTGGTTAATGGTTTTCTGCTAGTTTGCCCTCTCGATTTCCGATTCCCGAATTTCTCAAAGAATCTCTGCTAGCGGGCCTTGCTCTACCAGTCCTCAAGGAATTATTGCCAGTCTGCCAAATCCTACGATTCATCAAGGAATCTCTGCTTGCCTACCCTGTTCCTAGCTCAAATCCGCAAAGAATCCCAGCTAGATGCCAGCACCGGCTATGCGAAGAATTTCCGCTATCCTGCCTGGCCCCATGATTCCGCAAAGAATCTCTGCTAGCCTACCCTATTCCCTAATGATCAATGCTAGCTGCCCACTCACCCTGTCGACGGACTGCGTGATGGCGGAAATCTTGAGGTACAAAGCCGGCACAAAAATGCTCACGACAACCAGCGCGATCGAAGAAAAGCCGATAGCCGAGAGTGCGGCCACCCGGGGACTCATCTCTTATAGGGGGTACTGTAACTGGGGTGTGTTTTAGAAAATTGATCCTATACCTGATTGTAAGAGCTGAGAATCGAGGGAAAGCTCTCGCGTTAGGGTAAGCCACTTCCCTCCGGGCGCTTTATAGCGTTGATTGGTGTCGTCCGCGCGGGGGTGGGAGGGCTCGCGAAAAAAGTGGCCACGGCGCTCCCGCGCTGTGGGATTGCCGATTCGGTTCCCCGGTAACGGGCGAGGATGGGATCTTTTTGTGATCAAGGAGGATCGGGTTCTTGGTGCTGGCAAAACGCGCGGGGGCCGATGAAGTCGAAAAATGGTTTCCGCCAAACGCGAAAATGCTGAACGCGAAAATGCCGAAAGAATAGCTAAAAACAGTCCGATTTGAAACCCTTGCTGGTCGGCATTTGTTGTCGACTTTTCTTTTGTAGGATTCTGGATTGTCGATGTTTCCGCTTTGACATCTCTGCTTGTCGGGATTCGGCAATTTGGCTGTCGGCGTTTCGGCATTTTGGCATTGGTTGTCAGCATTTCTGCTTCTAGCATTTTAGCTTGTCGGTATCCCGGGCATCAGAATTTTGACTTTTCCTCAAAAACTGCAGGCAGGAGTCCAGTTGCATTTTAAATTTTTTTATAAAATCGCATATTCAGGATGCCATCCAAGCCGTGAAGGACTTTGAGCGCCAGGCTCGCAGCAAGGAGCAACAGCTCGAGCAGCGCATTCGAGGTTCGTATGTTTGGCTAAAAAAATTTGATATTTTTCTAGAAATCGAGGGCTGCCACCAGGATTACGTGCGGCTAAAGGAGCGCCTGAGTCTGTTTGGACGTGGGTTTTTCGAATTTAGGTTTAGGGTGAGAGAGAGAGAGAGCGGGCGAGAACCTGTGATTAATTTGATTTGATTCGTTTTTCTATTTTTTTTGCTGCAATTTTTCTATTTTCAGACGTCGACCACACTCAACTCGCGCGTCTCAACGAGGAGGGCGAGGTCTTGGAGCGTCGCGTGAACGAAGTCGTCCGACGTGAAGAAGAGCTGCGCGCCAAGTTGGACAACCCCGATCAGCTGGTTAGGGATTTTTTTTTGGGGGGGGCGGTTTCAAGGGAGCGTAACAGCTAGCAGTTCACTTCAATCCGACGTGTTTCCAAAAAATTGCATGTATAATTTTTATTAGAATCATTCAAGGCACTAGGATAAGGCAATCTTGGGATTTTCAGAATCATAAAACATAAAACAGTATGGAGGTTAATTTTCCCGGCTTCCTCAAGCACTCGTCCGCTTCTTCCACTCGCGCGAGTAGGCGACCACGCTCACGTTGAACACCGATTGCTTCTCATCGATTTGTCGGCACTGTAGGGTGGCGAACATGTCGGCGCGCATCTGCAAGCAGTTCATGAGCTTTCTCGCTCGCTCTCTCTCCTTCTCTCTTACTCTCTCTCTCTCTTTCTCTCTCGCTCGCACCTTTTTATTAAATAGCAAGTAAGCTATCGGGTTCAGTGCGCTAGTAAATGACAGTAGCGTATTCTCGATAAACGTCACTAGGAGCGCGTAGTCGGGCAGGTTACGAGCCACATAGGAGGAGAGCGGGAACAGGATCGAGTGAAAGCCGATGATGGAGAAGAGGAAGATTGTCTAAAGTGTGAGCTGATTTCCATTCTTCAAGGGTTTCTGCTAGCCCGCTTCCTCTTCCTCAAAAATCTCTGCTAGCCTGCCCTCTCTTATTCTTCAAAAATTTCCGCTACCTGCATCAGCATCCTCAGCTCGCTCTTGTTCTTCCTGATGCTGCTCCGCCGGTTCCGTTTGGTAAACAGGAAAAAGACGGTACACATGTTGATGAACAGGACGAACGCCGGGTGCGCGTACGACTCCGCCATGTTAATCTTTAATGGACGTTTTTTAAGCTTTTACTCCTCCTGTTCCTCAACAATCTCTGCTAGCTTGCCTACCTGAAGTACCGTAGCCGAAAACGTGCCGTCTGCGCAATCCCAATAGAAGTAGAAGGCTGAAAAATTGTGACTTTAAAGGGCCATTCAAGTCATTTATTTACCATCAGATGAAAACCGCTTCGCGCACCCGAACGTTTGCAGCAAAACGGACTCTACGAGAATGTAGCACGAGCTAGCGAGGAGCATTCTAAAATTCAGGGCGGTGTTCGATTTTTGCATCACTCACGTCCTCAGCCCGCGTCCATGAAACAGCACGCGCTCCGCGCGCGGCACGAAAAAGATGGCCGCCCGGTTGAGGCTCATCAGAATCACGAATACCAGCGTGCCCTTGTAGGCGATAAATTCGCACCAATAGAGCACTCGGGCTACCGTCGTGAACACGTCGGGCTCGGCGAACACCTGAAAATGGGCTGTCACTCTGCCCTGAAAATGGTGCGCCAACCTCTCGATTAGCTATCGTAATCGGTACGGCAATGTACAGCTGAATGGTGCAGTTGATGATCTGGCAGATCGTCAACGGGCCCGCAATCACGTAGATCGGGTAGTTACGGTAGTATTTGTGGTTCTGGAATTGGGGCAGCTAGCAGAGATTGTTGTGGAAGAGGAGAGGGCAGGCTAGCATAGATTGTTGAGGAAGAGGAGAGGGCAGGCAAGCAGAGATTGTTGAGGAAGTGGAGAGGGCAGGCTAGCAGATTGTTGAGGAAGGAGAGGGCAGGCTAGCAGAGATTGTTGAGGAAGAGGAGAGGGCAGGCTAGCAGAGATTGTTGAGGAAGAGGAGAATTCAGGCTAACAGTGATTGTTGAGGAAAAGGAGAGGGCAGGCTAGCAGAGATTGTTGAGGAAGTGGAGAGGGCAGGCTAGCAGAGGTTGTTGAGGAGGAAATCCTCGGACTCACCTGAATAAACACTACGAGGTTCAGCACGTTCAAAAACATGGCCGCCACCGAGATGCAAATGTTGAGCACCGCGGCCGCGATGCGGCACGCGCTCTCCGTGCTGCTGTCCATCGTTAGGGAGATTAGTGGGGCATCTGAAGGCTGGCTGAGATTGTTGAGGAAATGGCAAGCTGGCAGAGATTATTAGGAAAAAATAGGCTAGCGGGGTTTTAAAGTTATAAATTAATGGGTCAAGGATATAACAAAATAATGTTAATTTTTCAGAATGTCCAACGTCAACGCCTTTCACAACAGCTGGGGCTGATGGATCTGCGTAAAGTCATCGCCGAGCTGGAGCTGAAGCAGCGTGACGAGAAGTGGAATGGCGAGTCGATTGAGGTGAGGATTTTTTGTGACGGGGCATCTGAGATCATTTAGGAAATGGCAGGCTAGCAGTGACTATTTAGGAAAAAGTGAGCTAACAGAGATCAGCTAGGAACGGCATCCTAGCAGAAATCTTTTAGGATGGCAGGCTAGCAGATATTCTTAAGGGGCAAGGCCGCTAGCAGAGATCATTTAGGAACGGGTGGGATGGCAGGGAATCTTTCGATGGGCAGACTAGACGAGATTTTTTTGGAAAAGCTATGGCTTGAAAGGCAGTTTCTAGGAAATGAATGTCTCCGAAAGTTTTGCGACTTATCCGAACTCACCCTCCCGACAGCCCGCCAACACGCGGCGCCCCATAATTCAAATTACATTCGGAAATTGCGTAGCGCCCTCGCGGGCACGTTTGGACTTACCGGACCCGGATTTCGAGCGCCCGATCCGGAAATTGGCTCCTATTTTTGGGGCTTATTAGCCGGGGCTAGACGCCGGAATTTGCGATTCCGAAATATAGGGTGAATCGACGAATTATAATAATTTTTCAGGTGTTGGAACGCAAAGAAGAAAAGGCCCGCAACATCATCGACACGGCCACCCAGAAAATAGGCGAAGAGACCGGAAAGGGCCGAGAGATTGAGGGAAATGTGAGTTTTTGATGGGGCAGCTAGCAGAGATTGTTGAGGAAGAGCAGACGATACTTGTCTGTTAGCGGGGGAGCGGCTAAACAATAAAAAGGCATGGTAAAAATTTCAATTTTTTGGAAGAATACTAAAAGAAAACAAAAACTATCCAATGATTGCTGAGCAGGCTAGCAGAGATTGTTGAGGAAGAGGAGAGGGCAGGCTAGCAGAGATTGTTGAGGAAGAGGAGAGGGCAGGCTAGCAGAGATTGTTGAGGAAGAGGAGAGGGCAGGCTAGCAGAGATTGTTGAGGAAGAGGAGAGGGCAGGCTAGCAGAGATTGTTGAGGAAGAGGAGAGGGCAGAATGGCAGAGATTGTTGAGGAAGAGGAGAGGGCAGGCTAGCAGAGATTTTTGAGGACGAAGAGGGGCAGGCTAGCAGAGATTGTTGAGGAAGAGGAGAGGGCAGGCTAGCAGAGATTGTTGAGGAAGAGGAGAGGGGGCGGGGAGGGGAAAGAAGGGGGGGGGCAGGCTAGCAGAGATTTTTGAGGACGAAGAGGGGCAGGTTAGCAGAGAATAACGGAGTTTTTTTGAATTCAAACCCATCAATGGAACAATATTTTCCCCCCAGTAACTAGGTATCACCCAGAAAACAGGCACAAAATAATCTACCCCCAGTCAAGGCCAGGTGCTTTTTTGCGCTGCTAGCGAAGCTTTTCGCGGGCTTCTCCGGCTAATTATACGTCACGGGGGCGTCCGAATTTCCATGGCCACCAAAAGGGCACTTGTGGCTGATTGTTGATGGGTTTTCAACACAAATAAGGGCGGAGCTAACTTCGTTTTCCAGATTGCCAAGCTGAGTGTCGAGCTGAAATCGGATAAGTACCGACAAATCGAGCAGCGCCTGAAGAAGAAGCTGGTGGAGAAGGTGGTGGCAGAGTATACGAAAGAGGTGAGAGAGAACGAGAGAGTGAGAGAGGGAGAGAGAGAGAACAATTAAATTCCCCTTTTTAGGACCTAACCGACTACGCGCAACGCATGGAAGGTGCCCTCATGAAATTCCATCAAGAGAAAATGGAGGCCGTCAACGAAATTCTCGAAAATCTGTGGCGCCGCGTCTACCGTGGCACCGATATTGACACCATTCAAATCCGGTATCTTTTCGCCATTTTTGGGAATATTTGCGAGTTTTTTTTAGCAGGCTAACGAGCAGACATTTTTTGAGAAACGCGAAAACGCTCTAAAATACTTCTTTAGGAAGTGAGGATAGCAAGCAGAGAATCTTGAGGAACACTTAAATTCGTTTTCGCAATAATTCACAATAGGTAAACTAATTTTTCCATTCCAGCTCGGAGATGTCGGGCACCGGCTCGCGCTCCAAGTACGACTACCGCGTGATGATGGTGCTCGACAACAAACTCGAGCTCGAGATGCGCGATCGGTGTTCCGCCGGACAAAAGGTGATTTGAATTTTTAGCATTTTAAAAGGGCCGAAAAGTAAAAAATCTTGAATTCTTCAGATGCTCGCCTCGATCCTGATCCGCATCGCCCTCTCCGACGTCTTCGGCGGCCAGTGCTCGATTCTGGCGCTCGACGAGCCGACGACAAACCTTGACGTGCAAAAGGTAGGCTGGATTTTAAAGGATTAGGATTAAATATATGTATTTTTTTTTTGATTTAGATAGACGACATGGCCGAGATGCTCGTCGACCTGATCAACGCCCGCAGCGTGGATGGCGGCGACAGGGCCGCCAGGGCCTTTCAGTTGATCATCATCACCCACGATGAGAGGTAATTTTGGCTCCAATTGACTCTGCTAGCCTGCCTTCTCCTCTTTCTCAACGATCTCTGCTAGCCTGCCCTTGAATGCCCTCTTTTCCAGATTCGTCTCCACCCTCCGCCGCCATGCTCGCCCCGAGATCATCTACCACGTGGCGAAGGACGTCAACGGAAAAAGCCGGCTGACCCAGGAGCGGATGAATGCCTAATTTGCATGGGATTCTTAGCCTTGAAATTCTTCATTTGTTTTTTTGTTACTTTTCCAGCTGTTTTTGTTATTTTCCGCCGCCTTGCCGTGCTTCAATTGCTCGATAATCGATTGTTTTTATCTCTGATTGTTTGCATCTCATCCCGGTTCCCCTACCTCAACTTGTCACTTAATGTTCCGAAGATCGGGTGCATAAATATTTTATCCAGTTAACTAGGGAGGGGCTTTTCGGCGAAAATTCGCAAATTTTCGCAGATGTCAGTTTTGAAAAAATCACATTTTCGGATACGGTACCTCCCGGATCCTTCAACGCTCCTTGAAAAGGCTCTAAACGGACATGGTGCCGGCCAGCCGGGCTTGCTGCCGGCTACGCAACCCACGTAATGACGGTTGCGCCGGGGACTCGGGGACCTAAATTCGAACCTTTTTTGTTTAAATATGGTAGGTTTTAATTGAATCTAATGATGTATTTTAATTTGATTTAATCAAGCTTAATTGTATTCAATTGTCGTAGTTTTACACTTGTTGGCTCTTAAAAATCTCTTTTCGCTAAAATTAACTTATTTGCCTTGATTTAGGCCGTTTGAGTTAATTATTTATATGTTTTTAATCGAATTAAATAGAATTTTCGTAGTTTTTAATTTCATTCGAACCCTACATTTTTATGATTTAGTTCTTATGCTAATTAGGAGCCGGCTGACCTGGCACAACTGCTCGTACGACACGTAGTTGAGAGGCGCGGGCGGCGGGACCGGCGAGTTAAAGTTCGACCTCTGAACGATCACCCTGAAAATGCAAAAACCACCGCGCCCTCCCAAATTACTTGAAATTTGCCGCCTCCTCTGCTCGCCGCGCAAAAGTACCGGCGCGCGTGATTCCGCACCTAAAAACGAGCCTGTACGGCAAAGAGCAAAACGAGTTGATCCCGGCCGGGATCGAACCGGCGACCTTCAGTGTGTAAGACTGACGTGATAACCACTACACCACGAGACCACTGAACCGGAAGAGGCTGTGGGGGGTCTTTGGGCGGGCGTGGGGGGTCGGCCACGCCCCCCTGGCTCTGAGCCCGGGTTGGGGCCCAAAATAGTGGGCGAGTGGGGGTGAGCGCAGAGAGCAAACGGAACGCACAAATTTTGAGCACGAATCTGGCTTTAGAATTGGTGTTTGAAGCCCTATTTCTGTGAAAATTTTCATAGAGGGGCACAATCAAAATTAGAGGGTTTATTCAAATTTTCGGCGCTTTTGGTGCAGGCCTGGAAAAGTTAGCGCCGAAGATCTAGATATGTTTGTGTTGGAGGGTTGAAGCGGATATGATTCTGGCTTTAGAATCGTCATTTAAGGCCCGATTTTGATAAAAATTTGCGTGCAGTTGCTGCATAGTAATCCGGAACTAGATCCAAATTTTCAGCCCGTTTGGTGCAGCATTTCAAAAGTTATGGCGGAATATTTCGGAATTTTTCTATTTTAACTCCTATCTTATTGCAAATAGAAATTTTACTATTACTTTATTGCCAAAGTACCCACCTTGCCGTTGATGAGCAAATGCGAGAGCGGGTGGACGTTGCAAAGGCCGATTTTTAGGAGATTTTCGACGAATATGTGCGCCTGAAAATTGGAAAAATTATTAGACATTAAAAAATATTTTAATAAATAATTTCATATAAAAATTAGCCTACCTTGGTGGGCGATTGATTCGCGGGGAGGCTGGCCTCGAAAATGGCCGTCCCAATTTTGTAGCCGATAAAGATGAGGCAAATGAAGAAGATCTGAACTTAAAAATGGATTATAGTTTCAATTAACTATATAAAATGAGTAGAAATAAATAAATTATGGGTATAGGATTACTTAAGCAGATTTAAATAATTTTCCCGATTTTTTGGCTTACCTGTAATAATACGTCCTTTTCGTGCGGGCTTTTCTTGTTGTACTGGGCCGATCGGCGGAGGACCTAATTTTTCGTATTAAAGGTTTCTTCATTTTTTTATTAACATTATGGGTACAATTCGGATAAGCGGGGGGGAAAATTTTAGGCGGGGGGGAAACCAACTTTTTTTTGTCGGCCCTGGTGGGGATAGTAATCAAATATAAGGTTTTTTAACATTGTTTTTAGCAAAATTTAAGCCTCTTTGAATCGGAAAACTTTTTAAAAGTTAGAAAAACGCTTGAAAAGTCGAAAATTTGGTCATTTTTGGGCCGAAAAAATCGATTTTTCGACCTAAAATTAAATTTTTTAATTCAGTTTTGTAAAGTTTTTATGTTTAAGAATAGCTATAAACAATTTAGAAACACTTCCACCAGTCTATAAAAATATAGACTTGCGCGGAAAAAATTTCGGTTTCCCCCCGCCTAAATTTTCCCCCGCTTATCCGAATTGTACCACATTATGATATTAACTAGAAATAATAAATCCAAAGTCAATTAAAAAATTTGAAAATGTTGAACTTTTCGTTTTTTCTTTTTGCTGGCTTTTTCCTTAATTTTGGCTCTTTTCTCTGATGGCTCATCTACCTTTGCGTAAAAGTAGATGACCAGCACGGTGAAGAAGACGATCACAAGGCTCATATAGCTTTCCATTTGAGCTATCTGGAAATCGGCATTTTCTCTCGCTATTTCTTTCTATCTCTGGCTCTCTCTCTAGCTCTCTTTCGGTCTCTCTCTCTTTCTCTCTGTCTCGCTATCTGTTTATCTTTTTCTCTCTCTCTCTCTCTCTCTCTCTCTCGTTCTCTCTCACCCTCTCTCTCTTGTCTCTCTCTCTCTCTCTCTCTCGTCCCCCTTCTCTCCCTCTCTATCTCTCTCGCTCTCCCGCTCCCCCTTTTTAGCTTACCATCGGATAGACTTGCGCAGTAGCCGTCGGCTCGCAAATCCAGTAAAAGTAGTAATCTGCATAAAATCCATATAACCAAAAATACAAAAAAAATTACATTCATAAGAAAACACCCGTGTGCAGCCGATGAGGTAACCGGCTACGGTATTTAATACCACGTAGGACCAGCCGACGGCGCGCCAACTAAAAAGCTTTTTGCTCTAATTTTCTTCTAAGAATCTCTCCTCTTCCGCAACAATCTCTGCTAGCCTGCCTTGAAACTCACATTATACTCGCATATTCGCGAAAGCAGTACGACTCCATCTGAGGGTAGACGAACAAGAAAAGTCGGTGCACCGCCGCGATCATCAGGAAGACGGTCACGCCCTGGAATTTTAGAGAATATCTGCTAGCTAGCCCGATTCCTCAACGATCTCTGCTAGCCTGCCCTACCTTGTGCGGTAATTCCTGTGCATTCGTGATAAACCACGATGTCCAGAGGAGCCACGAGTACTCGATGTACACCTGAAATTTCGGAATCCTCAAGGATCGCCACCGCCAGACTTCCTTAAGGATCTCTGCTAGCCTGCCTTGTCGTAGGGATTAGCATAAACACCCACATTATAAGAGTATACTGTAGAGGGTACGGTGATGACCAGCTGTATCAAGCAGTTCATGATATCCAGGTAGATCAAATGCCGGGCGAACGTGTAAAATGGAAACTTTTTGTAGTAGCGGTTTTCCTGGAATAATTTCTTGTTAGACTTAGGCTTCGGCTTACAAGGCTACAAGGCTTACAAGGCTTACAAGCTGTTAGGCTTACAAGGGAAGGGCGATGCGCGTCTCGAATTCGAAAAACGCTCGCTCCCCCAGGTTATCGACTACGGGGAACACGTGGTGTTGGCAGAATTTTCCACCGAGCCCTGTAGAGCGAGATACGGTACTTCCGGAAAAGGGATAATTTGCATGTGAAAAATTAGAATAATTTCTGAGGTTTATTAGGAGCTTCCAAGTATTTACCACTGTCGGTGAGTTAGTCGAGTGCTAACGGTCTCGCTTTTTGAAATTCCAACGAGGGTTCGCCCACCCGTAATTTTTTTTGTTTATTGGAGCGCTATTTTTGCCTGGTATTGACAGTAATTTCCCAACGCTATAACTTTGTTTGCAAGCTCCGAGCTCCAAAGCAAAAAGTGTTCACTGAACTGGCGACCGGTAATCGCATGTTGCAACTTGCCCCCAAAAAAGCAAAAACAAGTATTTACGGGTGGATCCGAACTCTTGTTGGTATTTCAAAAAGCGAGACCGTTGCATCGATACTCCGACAGTGGTAGATACTTGGAGCTCCTAATAAACCTCAGAAATTATTCATTTCTCACATGCAAGTATCCTTTTTCCGGAAGTCCGTTCTCCTCTCAGGGCTCGGCGGAAATTCTGCCACCCATCGTGTTCCCGTAGTCGTCCTGGGGTGCCGCGGTTTTCGGGTTTCGAGATCGCGCTTCGCCCTTCCCTTGGTTAGGCTTAGGCTTGGTTTAGGGTTAGGCTTAGGCTTAGGCTTACCTTACAGAAAATGCCCAACAACAGCAAATTCACAAAAATCGTGCACGCCGCAGCGATACCGTACACCATTCCGAAAATGGAGCGCTCATTTTCGGGGAGTGGCATTTGGAGTGTAGCGGAGAATTCTGGAATTTTCCGTTTTTGCTTTTTTTACATGGGAACACATAGCGTAACCAGAAATACAGTAAGACACAAAAATAAAATTCTCCGGGGGGTTTTAGCAAAAACGGATTGTTTTGGATGCAAAAATTTTTCCTTTACATTATTTTGAGCTACAAAAGCGAAACATCAGGTATTAGGCTTACATATTCCTTAAGAAAATTTCAGCGACTTTAAAAACAAAGTTTGAGAGTTACAGTGTTAAATAACTGACCACAAAACCCCTCGGGCATCGTGCTGAAAATGAGATTCCCCTGAGATGGGCGGGGCCATTGGGGGATTAGCGCGGAAATATGCCCGGGAAATGATCAATTTCCACGCAGACAAAGTGCCCAAGACGCAATTACATATTGATGGATTTGGAAGCCGTTGGGCGTCTGAAAACTTAGAAATGGCACGTCATTCGGGTTCATCAAAATCAAAAATTAGCGCTAACTCGGCTGTCCTGTTTCGGAAGGGACTGTAATTTTTACAGTAGTTGAAAAAGATAAAAATCTAGCAGCATGCAAAATTTCAAGCAAAAATATTGAAAAAAAGATAGAGCAAAAATAAGACGGAAAAAGATTGGGGCAGGCTAGCGGTGATTGTTGAGGAAGAGGAGAGGGCAGGCTAGCAGAGATTGTTGAGGAAGAGGAGAGGGCAGGCTAGCAGAGATTGTTGAGGAAGAGGAGGGGGCAGGCTAGCAGAGATTGTTGAGGGAAGAGGAGAGGGCAGGCTAACAGAGATTGTTGGGGAGGGGGAGAGGGGCAGGCTAGCAGAGATTGTTGAGGAAGAGGAGATGGTAGGCTAGCAGAGATTGTTGAGGAAGTGGAGAGGGCAGGCTAGCAGAGATTGTTGAGGAAGAGGAGAGGGCAGGCTAGCAGAGATTGTTGAGGAAGAGGAGAGGGCAGGCTAGCAGAGATTGTTGAGGAAGAGGAGATGGCAGGCTAGCAGAGATTGTTGAGGAAGAGGAGAGGGCAGGCTAGCAGAGATTGTTGAGGAAGAGGAGAGGGCAGGCTAGCAGAGATTGTTGAGGAAGAGGAGCTACAGGCTAGCAGAGGATTTCGCTTCCCTTCGAAACATTTAGTCGTGGAAAAAATTGCGCTGAAATCCCTGCAATCAGCCTGGGTATTCAAGGGATTCAAAAAAGGAGAAAGCGAGAGAGAGAGAGAGAGAGAGAGAGAGAGAGAGGGAAGCGAGAGAGAGAGAGGGAAAGAGAAGATACAGAGACGAGCGAGCAAAAAGTGGGGGATAATCTGGGTTCACCCCCGTCCTCCTGGAGGACGTGCCCCTCGGGCATAAATGGGAAAAGGAGGGTTTCGCATTAGGAGTCTCTCTCCCTTGAATTCAATATTCACCCCCAGCGCACCTCCGAGGGCAGGCAACAGAAAATTCAGGGCCCCCCATTCATCTTCGGGAGGGGAAGAGGAAGTGGCGAAAATAGCGCGGGTAAATCGTCTCTGCTCGCTTGCCAGGGTTCCCCAAGGATCTCTGCCAGCCAGCCAAGATACGGTATTATTTTAGTGGATGCTCTTATCGAAAAAGGTAATTCCCGCCGTGAATAGGAGGGCTGGAAAATAGGTCCTTCCCCGGGATGCTAATTGCTTTCAGGCGGCCAATTTCCCCTCGGAGCGCTCGGTTATCCAACGCTCGGGCGGGTTTTAGGCTCGAGAACGACCTAGAAAGGAGGAAAAGGGTACGAGTTTGCTTTACCCCCGAGCCGCGGTATCAAAATGTTCGATATTTTCGCCATTTTTTAGGATTTTCTAAACGCCATTCGATAGAGCGTCAAAAAATACACTAGAAAGTTTAATTTGTGCCTAAAACAATCCTACTATATATAAAAAAATAGTGTTTGTGTGTGTGTGTGTGTGCATTTGCATGCAACTTCCGTCCGTATGTTCCAGTCGTATCTCAATAGGAGAGGAAGTTAAGGGAACGTATAATACGTCATTAGGTGCGTAATGGTCATGACACGACTGCACGCATATGAGATTTTTAAAAATCAGCTGTTTTCGATATTAAAATTAAGTTTTTGTGAAAATCTCGCTCGGTCTCTTTGTTAGGAATCAATTAGCATGCACCGGAAGAGGGGGTGGTCTATATAATGGGGAGAGGACGCGCTTTCCATTTTTTCTGGACAGGAATTCAGGTGTTTATGCAAAGTGACGAAGTATGGGGGTAAGACGGGGCCAGGATTGAAAAGTCGCGAAGCGGCTTTTCAACCCTGGTGTAAAATAAAAAAACGGCTGTGGGGGGTAAAGTGAACCGTAGCCGACTAGCCGCGCTGATCGCATTTGCATCCCAAAGTTCCCTCGAATCCTGAAAAACCCCCATTCATAGCCATTCCACACTTGACCATGTCGACGGAGGGCAGCCAGCCGACACCGACGTCTGAAGATGACCAACAGCCCGGAGCCGCGCCACCGGCGCGCCACGTGAGCTGCTACGAGCAGCACAACCTGCGCGAGGGGGCCAGCCCGTCATTTGTGGGTGTACTCTTCGTAACGGCGTCAAAACTCCATTTTTTTGGAGTGTTTTAGACTATTTTTTTAGATCAGCCTCAACAGCAACGAGCCGCTGGTGAAGCTCGTCTCGGCCATTGAGCGGGGTGGGGGGAAATTCGAGGAGTTTATGGACTTTTGAATTCCAGAAAACCCGTACCATCAGGTGACGCTGTCGACGCGGCCGCGTGAGTTTTTGCCCTGTCGCTGTGCCTTTAAAAGAAAAAATTAGGTTTAGCCTTAGGCTTAGGTTAGGCTTAGGCTTGAAGCTTGGCAGGCTTGGCTTACGTTTAAGCTTACGCTTAACCTCCAGCTTTTTCAGAGACCCACTGGTTCGTGAACGAAGTCTGCGACAGCCCGTGGCAGCTGCTCCCGCTCCTCCTCACGACGATGATCGGCCCCAGCAACCTCACCACCTTCGCCAACACCATGTGGTAGGCTAGCAGAGACCCTTTGAGGAATTAAGCATGTCCGAAGCACCAATTTTCAGGTCCCACGGCGGCATCCTGTTCTTGTTGCCGTACATTCTGTGCCTGGTGTTGTACTCGTTGCCGGTCATGCAGATTGAGGTCGAGCACTTTCTCACTCACTCTCTCTCTCTCTCTCTCTCTCTCTCTCTCCTCTCTCTCTCTCTCTCTCTTGCTCTCTCTCTAACCGTTCCTTTTCCAGACCTACATCGGCCAGTTCACCCGGGCCGTCCCCTACCGCGCCTACCACCTGTTCGCGCCGTTCATGACAGGTAGCTAGCGGAGACTGTTGAGGAAGAGGAAAGGGCAGGCTAGCAGACATTCCTAAGGATTTCCTCTTTCCGTTTCAGCAATCTCCTTCACGGGCCAGTTGGGCCTGATCGGCAACGGGGCCCCAGGTGTTCAGAACCTGGCCATCGCGTTCAAGCTCTGGCTCAGCGACGAGCTCACCGAGATGGCCACCTGCCGCCCGGACCAAGCGTGTGGGTGGCGCAAATCGCCTCTGCTAGCCTGCCTTTAAGGCTTTTGAAAACGAACTTTTTGATTTTCAGTCTGCATCTCCTACCTGAACGACAAGAACTGCGCGCCGTCGACGGAGTACTACAGGGTGAGGCTTAGGCTTGAGCTTAGGCTTAGGCTTAGGCTTAGACTTGAGGCTTGAGGCTAGGCAGCGCAGGCCTAACTTTTCAGGGCGCTTGCCGCAAGATGGTGCACGGCTTCGTCGACTTCGAGATGGTCAGCCTGCCGACGATCGAATTCTTGAAGTAGGGCAGGCAAAATCTCGGGCTTAGGCACCGGCTTGGCTTAGCTTTAGGCTTAGGTTTAGGCTTCCATTTTGGGCAAGCAAAAACGACTGAATTTTCAGGAAAAACCTGACAAACTACTCGGAGGACCCGCTGCACTCGATCGACTTCAACTGGAGCGTGAGTTTTTCTCATTTTAACACTTTTTATACCTTTTTAAAGGGTTGCTACGCAACGAAGCTAAGCCTAAGCTGAAGCTCATTTTTTCCGACTTCCGAGTCCCTTTAAAAACCTCTCAAAGTCCCTAAAAACCATTCAGATGTTCGCAATTGCGATCGGCGCCTCGGTGCTGGTGTCGGCTCTGATGTTGACGCATATTCGGATTATTGGTAGGATCCTCAAGTGTCTCTGCTGGTTCGCCTTTCCCTAAGAATCGCTGCTAAGATCGCACTGGTCTTTTTTTGTAGCCTGCGTCGCCATGGTGTTGCAAGGCTTGGCGCTGATGCTGTTGGTGTTGCTCACGGTGGGGCCCCCGCTAACAGACCAGAACCCTAGATTTTAGCAATTGGCACGCAGTGGACTGCCGGAACAGTGGAACAAGCAGCAGCACGGGTCCCATTTTGACATCCGGAGCCCCGAGCGACTGTTGAAAATTGATGTAGGTGGCTTGGAAGGTTGAGGCTAAGGCTCAGGCTCAGGCTCAGGAAACTTCATCAAATTTAGACCTGGCGCTACGCCCTGATCATGTGCCTCCGGTCCCAAGCGCTCGGCCAGGGGGTCATCCCGGCCATCGGAGTCTATGCTCCGTCGAGGAGGAATATCCTAAAGGTATGATGGGCCAAAGCCCTCTGCTGGCCTGCCTGCAGGCTAAGCCACGCCCATTTCCCTAAAAACCTCTGCTAGCCTGCCCCCGTTTCAGTGGATCATCATCGCGGCCCTCGGCGATCTCCTCTCGTCCCTAATTTACACCTACTATTTTGATGGTTTTTAGGATGGTTTAGCCCAATTTAAAATTTAGGTCTCCTGATCATGTTCTCGGAGCGCACGATCGAGATGGTCAGCCCGCACGACTTTTTGAAGGATGGTAAGGCTCCAAAGGATCTCTGCCAGCCTGCCCTCTCCTCTTCCTCAACAATCTCTGCTAGCCTGCCCTCTCCTCTTCCTCAACAATCTCTGCTAGCCTGCCCTCTCCTCTTCCTCAACAATCTCTGCTAGCCTGCCCTCTCCTCTTCCTCAATAATCTCTGCTAGCCTGCCCTCTCCTCTTCCTCAACAATCTCTGCTAGCCTGCCCTCTCCTCTTCCTCAAAAATCTCTGCTAGCCTGCCCTCTCCTCTGCCTCAACAATCCCTGCTAGCTGCCCTTTCCAGACATCTCCATGCTGTTCGGCCTCCCCATGCAGTCCCTCTCTTACTACGGCGAGCCGAAATACGTACGGATCCACGCACTCCTCATCTGCGTGCTGATGTTCAACAGCTTGATCAGTGGGGCATGCTAGCATAGACCATTCGCCGAATCTTCCTCACAGGCATCGCCATCTCCCAGCACCAATTCCTGCGCTCGTTCTTCCCATTTGAGCGCCGGGCATTCAACGGCTTGCTGACGGCCGGCTGCCTGATCATCACCTCGATCCCGTTCCTATATGCGGTGGGCAGGCTAGCAGAGGTCATTGAGGAAGGGGTTTCAGAATTTCGAAGTGGCGGTGAAGATCTACCTGTCGTCACGCCTTCAGCTGGCCGTCGTCGGCGTCATGTTGACGGCGGTGATGATGATCGCGTGCTATGGTGGGTGGTTAGGCTTAGCCTCAGGATTGCTGATTTCCAGGAATGGAGCAGTGCTGGTTCGACCACACGCGCCTGATGGAACCCCTGACGCGCTCGTCGCAAAAGTGGCGCAAGCTGTGCCGTCGTCTCCTTGGCCTCTACCAACACGCCGTGCCCGTCGCCAGCTTCCTCATCATCGCCTCGGTGTTCCAGTTTGGAGGCGATGGACCCCAGTTTGTACGTGTTTTTGAGAGGCACCGGGAAGGCAGGCTAGCAGAGATTGTTGAGGAAGAGGAGAGGGCAGGCTGAAGATTGTTGAGGAAGAGAGGGGGCAGGCGCAGTTGTTGAGAAGGGCAGGCTAGCAGAGATTTTGAAATCGAACGGCCTGAAAATGCGTAGTTTTCAGGACCTTTTGATGTTCGCCTCCATCGCGTCGTTCATCATCTTCCCCGGCTGGTACCTCTACATGGTATGTTTTAGTTGCCCCCAAATAAGGTCTTAGGCTTTGACTTGGGTGAGGTTTAGGCTTGGGCTTAGGCTTCTCTCTATCTACCGCTCCCTTTAAATAGTCTTAGACAGATTCTGATTTTTAGGGCTGGTGGAACGAGCTGATGACGGTCCAGCCGGGGCTGCCCTCCTACAAGTTGCTGCGCGTGCCACTGATTCGCTAAATGATGACCCGGTCCCACCGTATCCCCACATGGTACCGGGGTACCGTGCCCTCCCACAATCTCGAATTTTACGTCTAGAATACGCAGACGTGCTGTAATTACGTGTTTGTCTCTCGTGTCGTGTTGTGTTCACTCGGAGCCTGGCGAATAAATTCATTTTTCCCGCGTTTTTTTGTGTTTTTCGCCAATCTTTTTCGTTATTTCCAGATAAATGTGGGGTATCACTTCTCAAAGCTGATAAACTTTATTTCATCCTGAAAGGCATTTTTTATCAAGAAAGACGTGTTGATTGATGGTTTGATAATTTGGCTTAGGCTTAGGCTTGGTTAGGCTTAGGCTTAGGCAGGCTGGGAGGCTGGGCTGGGGGCTGGGGGCTTGGGCGAGGCTTGGGAGGCAGGCGGCTTTTAGGCTTGGGCTTGGCTTAGGCTAGGTTGGCTTAGGCTTAGGCTTAGGCTTAGGCTCAGGCTTAGGCTTAGGCTTAGGCTTAGGCTTAGGCTTAGGCTTAGGCTTAGGCTTGGGCTTATTAGGCTTAGGCTTAGGGTACGATAGCTGGGGTTTCTGACCTTGTCGTTTGTAGTCGTGCATCTACAGCTTGTGCTTCAGCACGCGACGCGCGGCCACCACCCTGCGCACGGCCGCCTAAAGGGTTAGTGAAGTCGGCAATATGATGGCGTAATCGGTTCAGCGAAAGTATTATACCTTGCGGACGACTTTCTTGGCGGCGAGGCGGCGGACGACGACCTTCTTGCGGGCGGCGGCCGCCTTTCTGGCTGCAGCCACGCGACGCCGATAGGAGCCGCTCGTAGTCTAAAGGGTTGCGTTTTCTTAGGTACGTGCTCTCGGCTACCGTAACCTCATCAAAACTTACGTCGACGGCGGGCAAAGCTGCATTATTGCATCCGGTGGCAGCGGGAAGTGGCGCGTCGGTCACTGGCTGGAATTTTCGCATTAAGCTAGAGAGAGAGAGAGAGAGAGAGAGAGAGAGAGAGATGGCTGCTAGCCCACCTCCACGGCAGTTTCGTCCGTCTCGACGGGCACCGTCTCGGGAGCCACGGCGTAGCTGCCCTCGCTGAAAAATATGGACTTTAAAGGCAATTTAAAGGGACTTTCGACGATTCCCAAAGGATCTCTGCTAGCCTGCCTTCTCAAAATTTCCCAATAATCTCCGCTAGGTATGCTTATGCTTAGGCTTAGGCTTACAAGGGAAGGGCAATGCAAAGTGGAAATTCGAAAAACGCTCGGTATAGGTTATCGACTACGGCGATTCCGATGCCTACTCAGAATTAGCCACCGAGGTCTGTAAAGCGAGATACAGCACTTCCGGAAAAAGCAAAATTTGCATGCGCGTAATTAACAAGCTAATAGGGGTTTATTAGGATCTTCCGTATCTACCACCAGCTGTGGGGCCGAGTGCCAGCCCGCTTTTAAATACCAAGGGGTTCGGATCCGCTCTCATTTTTGTTTTCTTTTTTGGAGGTAATTCGAAAATGTGTAGCTGGTGCAGGGTTTCAGTGTTCTTCTCTTTTTTTGGGTTGGTCTGAATTGAATTTTCTTATGGGAATTTTATTAACTATGAGAAAAACAGGGCCAATAACCTGCAATATTGGCTCCAAAAGCAAAAACAAAAATCCGAGGTCGACCCCGTTGGTATTTCAAAAGCGGTGGCGGCACTCGGCCATTCACAGCTGGTGGTAGTGTGGAAGATCCTATAAACCCTATTATCTTGCTATTACGCGCATCAAATTTTGTTTGTCGGAAGTGCTGTATCCTTTAGACCTCGGTAGCTATTCTGGTACTCTCGGAATCGCCGTAGTCGATAACCTGGGTACCGAGGCGTTTTCAATTTCCTTCGTGCGTCTTAGGCTTAGACTTTGGCTGCTTAGGCTTGGCTTGGCTTGGCTTGGCTTGGTTTTAGGCTTAGGCTTAGGCTTAGGCTTAGGCTTTGGCTTAGGCTTTGGCTGCTTAGGCTTATGCTTAGGACTTCCGACTTACCCGTAAGCCAAGGCGACCATGAGGCCGAGCAGGGAGACGACAGCCAGAATCGAGTTCATAGTTGTTTTCTTGGGTTCTAGGGAGTGTTCGGAGGAATGTTGCGGAGTCCAGAGATTCCGGGGGTCTTTTAAAGGGATCTGGTGTGCGAGAGGATGTGGAGAGAGGAGAGAGAGACAGAGGGACAGAGAGTAAGAGTGAGCCTGGCTGGCCGAGAGAAGCCACTTGAGACTCCCGCCACGATGAGCACCAAGTGCCGAGCCCGATCCCTCCTCAGCCTGCTGCCAAAAATGTACCCAATTTCAAGTGCATTTTAGCAATTTGCATCTTTTCCCCCGACCCTAAAAGTATCTCGGAAAAGTTCGAGATCCTCAAATTTTTTTTGAGCCTGCTACCCACCTGGTTTGAACGAGCGAACACCGATTTTTGCGGGGGATTTTTCGCCGTTTTTCATGGTCAGCTAGCAGAGAACATTGGTCGCTAGGAAATTTGGCAAAGAAAAAGCGAACATCTTGCTAAAAATTGCACCAGAAGAATCACTTTGGCTTGCGGGGTTCAAATGATTTCTGCTGGTTTGCCTCGTCTTTCTAGACTTTTCAAAGGTTCCAATAATCGCTGCCAGTTTGCCTCACAGTGTCAGCTTTGTAGTGTTCCAAAATGGTCTCTGCTAGCATGCCTGAGATTTTTAAACGTCCTAAATGATCTATGCTAGCTAGCCTGAGATTTTTAAACGTCCGAACTGGTCTATGCTGGCCTGCCTGAGTTTTTCACGTCCTAAATGGTCTATGCTAGCTCACCTGCGATTTTTGGAGTCTTAAATCGTCTCTGCTAGCTTGCTTCGTCATTTAGGCTTCCTAAATGGTCTCTGCCATCTCACCTGAGACATTGAAGCTTCCTAAATGGTCTTTGCCAGCGAGCCTCAGCTTTTTAGAGTTTCTAAACGGTCTCTGCTAGCTCGTCTGATATTTTTAGACTTCCAAAATCGTCTCTGCTAGCCTGCCTCGTCTTTCGATCTTTCCTAAATGGTCTCTACTAACTTGTCCGCCTTTCTAGGCCTCCCAAATGACCACTGCTAGTTCGCCTCAGCTTTTTAGACTTCCTAAATGGTTTCTGCTAGCTTGCCTCGAAGCCTCAATAATCCGTTTAAGAGCAATTTATTTACAAAAGCACGAATACAAAAACACCGGGCGCACTAATAGAGACAATCAGAAAAGCTGTGGGGGCACGTCAATTTTGTAATGAATTTTGGGTTCGGAACGTTCGGCCGGGGGGAACAACAACAACGACGAGTAATGAATTTCGGGTACGAGACTTGAACAAGCGATAGAATAAGGGGGAGAGAGACACGGTCGGGGCGAGAGAATTAGTGAAGTGGAGCGCAGATCGGGTCGGAGATGTTCAGCGCTGCAGCGGGGCGGGGATGGCTTGACCGCCAAGGGCCGGCGCCGTCCGCTTCACCCAGTAGATGTTCAGCTCGACGGGCGACCCCCCGATCTGGACGGCCTCGAACCGGTGCCGAAACTCCCATGGCTTGTCCTTGAGCTTCTGAAAAGCAGGAATTGGGAGGGCAGGCTAGCAGAGACCGTTTGGGATGGAAATGTCTGAAAAATTGGGGCGACCTTATCCACAATGCAAACGGTGCCCGGCGGGATGGGCGGCGGCACGTTGGACAGCAGCGCGTAGTCCCTAAAATATGGAAATTGCGAAGCGAAGGCAAAGCCTAAGCCTAAGCCTGAGCCTAAGCTAAGCATAAGTCCAAGCCTAAGCCTAATCTAGATCTAAGCCTAAGCTAAGCCTCAGCCAAGCCTAAGCCGAAGACAAGCCTAAAACCAAGTCTGAGACTAAGCCAAGATCAGCTGAAGTCTAAACCTAAGCTAAGCATAAGCCTAAGCCAAAGCCTAAGCTAAGCCCAAACCTAAGCGTAATGAAGCCTAAGCCAAGCTTATGACAAGCCTAAACCTGAACCTAGGCCCAAGCTAAGCCTAAGCTTAAACCTAAACTCACGTACCTGACGGTGAGAGGCGGCAAGCAGGTGAGCGCTCGGCAAGCCGCATCCAGGGGCCCGGCTTCCAGCACCACCAGCACGTTCGCCTTGGTGTAGTGGCAGATGCTAAAGGGACCGGCAAGTCACAGAGTTAGTGGGATTTTACTCACTGGCTGACGGCCGACGCGATGCGCCGCTCGAAGGCGTCGCGTGTCGTCTCGGCGCGAACGTCGTTCCGCGTGGCGACCATCTCGTACGCCTCGCCGCGCACCTGGCAGTGATTGTTGAGGAAGAGGAGAGGGCAGGCTAGCAGAGAATCCTTAGGAACCACCTGTGCACTTGTCTGCTGATCAGCCGGCGCGGTGGGGTCATCGTCGAGAATCGTGTTCTTCTTGTTGTCGAAAACGTCGCAGAGCCCGGGCTCGATCAAGAAGTTGCGCATGTGGATCGAGTCTAAATTCCCGATTTTCGCCCAATAATCTCTGCTAGCTCACCAGGCCCCAAAATCGACGCCGCCAGGCGCGCCGTCTTCAAGCTGGCCAGCGTCGGCGCCACGAAAATGTTGTAGTAGAAGAGGGAGAGCTTGCTGAGCATCTGGGCCGCCTTGGTGATCGTCTCCTCGCTGGTCTGGAAGCAGGGTGTACACGCACGAAGCCTAAGCCTAAGCCTAAGCTTACCTTGGTCAGCCCGACCCCATCCGTCTCGCCGGCGCACATGAACACCATGCGGCGGTGCATCACCTCGTGGCCGGTGGGCGGGAGCAGCTTCATCGGGGGCGGCTCTGCGAGTACGGTAGGTGCCACGGTAACCCGGGACCTACTGTAACTGATGGCGCTGGCGCTACTCGCCTCGACCTCGGTGTCCTTCTCGCTCTTGATCTCGTTCATGTCGTGCGGCTGGAACATCGGTTTCTTCAAAAAACTCTGCTCCTCTCCTCTTCCTCAACAATCTCTGCTAGCCTGCCCTCTTCCTCAACCATCCCTGCTAGCCTGCCCCCTCCTTGTCCCTGATGATCTTTGCCAGCACCCCACCGTCAAATCAATAGGCGGAGCAGCCGGAGGCGGGGGCAACGTCTGCGACACTTCCGGTGGTGGCAGCGCCGGGCTGATGGAGATGCTCATCTGCTTGCTGTCCTTTCCAGGCTTTCCCGGCTTTTCCGCGCTTGGTTGCTGCTGGGTGGACGATTCCTAAATGCTCTCTGCTGGCCTGCCACCCCGACTGACCTTCTTGGCGACCTGTCCCTGACCGGAGAGCCGTCTCGACTCCTTCGACTTCTTCTTCTTCTCCCCGTCCTTCTTCGCGTTCTCCTTGCTCCGCCGCTTTCCCCCCTCATTCGACAGCTTCTTCTTGGGGCCCTTCGCCTCCTTGCAGTCCGGGGAGACACCCTAAACAAGCATTGCTAGCTTGCTCTTACGTCCAAGCTCCGCCCCTTCCACATAGATCCCCGCTAGCCTGCCCACCGTCGTATTGCTGCTGACGCTCGCCCGTTTGCGCTTCGTCGGCCTGCTCGGCACCTTCTTTGGCATCGAATATTTTGGCGGCTGGGAGGGAGAAAGAGATAGGGAGACGAGTAGGGTCAGTGCTTCAAAAATGAGAGCATTTTTGGTGTCATAGCGTGAAACCGGTTTTTATGCAGTTTTTGTATGCGAATTAGGCTTCGGCTTATGATTAGGCTTGGGCGTAGGCTTACGTTTAGGCTTAGGTTTAGGCTTGGGCTTAGGCTTAGGCTTAGGCTTAGGCTTAGGTCAATTTCGCTTTTTCCCTTGCCCTGAACTCCAATCGGGGGGGCGGGGGGTTTGGGCTGAACAGGTTTGGTTTAGGCTTGGGCTTGTGTTGGGCTTAGGCTGAAGTTTAAGCAAGCTGGTTGTTTTTTTTTGCTTAGGCCTTAGGTCAATTTCGCTTTTCTTTTACCCTGTAATTTTTTTTTTTTTTTTTTTTTTTTTTTTTTGGTGTTTGCTTGCTTTTGTTGCTTGGTGGTTTTTTTTTTTTTTTTTTTGGAGATTTGTTTGTTTTCTCATATTCTCCATTAATACAAGCCACTTTTGCAGAATCGCCTCCACGCCCGGTTAATCCGGCTGATGACAAATTCCGTGGGAGGCGAGAGATTATCATCTGGGCGGCCCGTTGCGACGCCTTCCGGTGTTGATAAGGGGGAGAGGGGCAGGAATACAAAACCGACGGAACGACGCACAACAACAGACGGACAGACAAGCTGTATTCCCGTCAGGTTGAAGCCGCTAAGACTGATGAAGCCGCTGACTTGGTCCTATTTTTTGGCCCTAATTCCGGTCGCCATTAGTGCGTGTAAAAATGCTGACTATACGCAACTCGTGTCGGGGAAATGTTATAAGGTATGGGATGAATGGCTTCAAATGATCTCTGCTAGCCTGCCCTCTCCTCTTCCTCAACAATCTTTGCTAGCCTGCCCTCTCCTCTTCCGCAACAATCTCTGCTAGCCTGCCCTCTCCTCTTCCTCAACAATCTCTGCTAGCCTGCCCTCTCCTCTTCCTCAACAATCTCTGCTAGCCTGCCCTCTCCTCTTCCTCAACAATCTCTGCTAGCCTGCCAGGCTCAACCTTATTTCCAGCTCTACCCGGACTTCACAAAATTCGATGAGGCTCAACAGCGTTGTGTCGCGGAGGGGACACGATTGGCCGAGATCTTGGGATACGGTATGTTGGGCGGGTTTTACCAAGCGAGAGAGCGGGAGAGAGAGAGAGAGAGATATAGAAAGACGAGTGGGATAGGCAAGCTATATTTTTCAGAGGAGAACCAAGCCCTTGGCACGTGGTTGAAAGGGCAGCAAGCCGAGGACGCCTGGATTGGGTTGAAATCTGATGTTAACAAAGTCTTGGAATGGACCGACGGATTTCGCGCGAATTACACGAATATTGGTAGGCCGGCTAGCAGGGATTTTTGGGGGAAGAGCGGGCTAGCTGGGACGCTTGTTGCTTCTTTCAGGAGACCCCAACTCCGTCCAGGCTGGTCAATGCTTTGTGATTGACGGCGACGGGAAGTACTACTGGGAGGGCACCCACTGCGACAAGTACAGCACGCTGCCGTTGTGTGAGGAGATGGCGCAGGGTGAGAGAAAGCGAGAGAGGAGCGAGAGTGCGAGAGAGAGAGAGAGAGAGAGAGAGAGAAAGAGGGGAGAGAAAGTACCGTCTATTTCCGTCTGCAAACACTCCATTCCAGAAGAGCTCACCTGCGGGGACTACGATGAAACCGAGGGACACTGCTATAAGGTAATTCCTAAAGAATCTCTGCTAGCCTGCCCTCTGCTCTTCCTCGAAAATCTCATAGCCTACCTCTTTCCAGGTCCACAATGAGCGCCTCAAATTTTGGGACGCAGAAGACGTCTGCCAGCGCGAAGGAGGCCACCTGCCCTCAATCCACAATCTCATGGTAAGCCGGGGATTTTTACGGGAGTGTGCTATTTCCGGTCGTACTGGCATCTATGCTATTTTTGCTAAGGAAAACTACATGATCTTCAACGAGCTTCAACTTGGGGGTCAGCAGCAGACGCTGGCCTGGGTGGGGTTGAATCTGAATTTTTCGATGCGATGGACCGATGGGACGGCATTTGACTACAACAATATTGCGAGTAGGTTGGGGCATGCTAGCCGAGATTGTTGGGGAAGAGGAGAGGGCAGGCTAGCAGAGATTGTTGAGGAAGAGGAGAGGGCAGGCTAGCAGAGATTGTTGAGGAAGAGGAGAGGGCAGGCTAGCAGAGATTGTTGAGGAAGAGGAGAGGGCAGGCTAGCAGAGATTGTTGAGGAAGAGGAGAGGGCAGGCTAGCAGAGATTGTTGAGGAAGAGGAGAGGGCAGGCTAGCAAAGATCATCAACAATTCAGACATCAACATAACCCAAGATGAGCGCTGCTACGCGATGTCGTTGGTCTCCTTCCTCGCTCAAAAGCAATGGGTGGCTGAGGAGTGCGGCACGAGCTTCAGCTTTGTTTGCCAGCGCCCGAAAAGCGGTGCGTTTCAATTTCCACGATTTTATCTGCCTTCTATGGTCCTTTAAAGGGATGTAAAGCAGGGCAGACTGGCAGAGATTCTTCAGGAGGCGGATTAAGCTTGGAATTTCAGTGAATCCTGTCACGAGTGCTCCGCCAACTCTTCCGCCATCCCAGTGCAACCCGAACGAATTCCATGGCGCCGCCGGGGCGGTAAGCTAGCAGAGACCATTACGGAAAGTCTGAGGCAGGCTAGCAGAGACCATGTAAAGACCCTAGTGTTGCAGATCTTCTCTCCAAACTACCCGAACCATTTCGACGGAGCCGACTGCTATCTGCAGATCTACGGCTCGTCGGCTGCCGTCAACCTGGACGTCCCCAAGATTTCGGCTACTGTAGGTCAACATTGCTTAGGCTTAAGCCAAGCCAAGCCAAGCCAAGCCAAGCCAAGCCAAGCCTAAGCCTAGCTAGCCTGCCTTGTTTAGAATGACTGGTCGATTTCGCTGTACGCCGGGGAGAAGGCCGACGAGAGCCGGCTGATTCATAGGTTCGTGGTTTGTAGTTTGTAGCCTGAAATCTACAGGCTCTAGTTTGAAGCTAGCAATTTCTCTCAAAAATTCATGTCATTTGAAGATTGTAGCTTCACGTATTTCTTCAGAATTTTCGACCAAATCGAGGCGCTACAGTACTCCTCGCCGGTGTCGACGATGCTGATCCATTTTCAGTCGCAGAGCCCGAACTTTGGATCGCACTTCCGGATGGACTGGACATCCACGCAAAGTGGGTATTTTTGGCTTCAACAGACTTTTAAAGAAAGTCACGACTTTAAAAACCACCTTAAACCACTACAAAAGAGGGCAGGCTAGAAAAGATCATTGAGGAATACCCTCTTGCTATCCAAAGGCCCTTTAAACGCCTCGGAAAGTTAGATCCTAGCTCTGAACGTCGAGGCAGACTAGCAGAGATTCTTACAAAAATTCAAAGGGCAGGCTAGCAGATATCCTTCAGGAATTCAGCTTGAAATCTCTCCAAATAAGTTGCTAATTCCAGCCCCACTGTACTCACTCGGAAATCTCAGCTGGACCGGCTCCACCTATCCGCCAAATAACCACAAGTGCGAGCAGCACTGGATCTACGATGATGTGAGGGATATGTAGGTTTTTGGGGTTTTCTGAGGTCTCTTTAAAGGACCATTAAAGTCGACTTTCCTCAACGGTCTCAGCAGCTCATATCAATTTTCGACGTTTAAAATAATTTCCAGATGTATTGGAATTACGAACGGGGCGAAATACGACTACTCCCAGGCGGTGTGCACCCAGAATGGAGCCAATTTGCTGTCCGTGCATAGTCAAGCGGAGGAGGAGAATATTTTGGGTACGTTGGGCCGGGCTAGCTAGCAGAGATTGTTGAGGAAGAGGAGAGGGCAGGCTAGCAGAGATTGTTGAGGAAGAGGAGAGGGCAGGCTAGCAGAGATTTTTGAGGAAGAGGAGACGGCAGGCTAGCAGAGATTGTTGAGGAAGAGGAGAGGGCAGGCTAGCAGAGATTTTTGAGGAAGAGGAGAGGGCAGGTCAGCAGAGATTGATTTTTTAGGAATCCTGAACAACGACTACTACCCGAACGGCTACCAGTTGTGGCTGGGCGCGCAGTATTCAGGCGGCGCGTGGCGCTGGGCGGACGGGACGAATTTGGTTTTTACCGATTTTATTGATGGTAAGCGGCGTTTAATTCCCAAATTGTTGCTGCTAGCCTGCCTGCAAGGCAAGCTAGCAGGGATTATTTAGGAAAGAAACTCGTAAATTCTTTCAGGGGATTCGAGCAACCGCTATGGTAATTGCCTGACCGTCCAGTACAACTACGCGACAGGGAAACGCGGCTGGAAGGGCGTGGACTGTACGATGGTGGTGCCAGGAATTTGCTATAAACGGCCAAATTGATCGGAGCCCACCGGAACCCTGTGCATAATCGGAAATAACACAAATTTGAATAGAAAGTTTTTATTTACCAAACTCTAAAGAAAAACGTAACAACACGAATCAGGCGCGCAACAACGATAACAACAAGGAAAACCTGGGCAAGCATAAAACAAACAATAAAACGTAAACATCGTCGCTACAATGGCTTGAACGTTCTGGCGGCCTTGGATTGGGCGATGCGCTGCTTGTCCTCCTCGTATTTGGCGCGCAACTCCTCCATTTCTGCAAAAAAAGTGTCCAAGGTTTTTTCGCATGAAATATAGCTACATTTTGATAAGAACTTAATCGGAAATATTTTAATGATGTTTCTAGTAAAAAACAACAATTTTTAAACTGAAAAAACTATCTAAACCTCTAAAAAGCTTTGAAAAGTCGAAATTTTGGTCAAAAACGGCCATTTTGGTCGAAAAATCTATATTTTTCGTATTTTTGTAAAAAATTGTAAATTTCGCACATTTAGGAATAGTAAAAACTGCGATAAATTTTGAAAGAATACAATAAGAACCCCGATAATGCAAAAGACGCAAAAACTCACTCTTCATCTTGCCTTCCTTCATTTGGAACGTGTAGAACGGGAGCGAGGGCTAAAACAAGGTCTAGAAAAAGCATGAGATCCCGCACCTGCTTCTTCTTGTCCTTGTTCTTCAGACTGCCCATGATCGTGTTCTCGCCCGTTCTTAGCTTCACCGCCTTCGCCTTCTTCTTCGTGGCCGCCGTAACCGTGACCCATCCCTCGTCATCCGGCTCCGTTCGGCCCTTCTTCGCCAGGCGTTTCTCCTAAAAAACAAGGCAATTCGAGGAAATCATTTCTGGACGTACCAATGCAACGCGTGCGTCATAATCCTGCACGTAAGCGTTTATGCTGTCCTGCATCTCGGCGGTTGGCGTGAACTGCTTGCGGTACTCGTCGCAGAGTTCTAAGGAGAACAGAAAATTGTGCATATTTAAACGATGATAATTACACTAATTTATTTATTTTTGACAATTTAATAATGTGAAGCTCTATCAAAAATTGACAAACCTGCATACACGGCTTTCGTCTCCAGCTCTCCGAAATCAGCGGCGCACAATGTTCCGCAACTGATGGTCCGCTGGAGCAACGCCTGAACGAGGGCCGCCGATTCGAAGATGATCTTGGCCGTGCGCTGGCCCTGCAAAATGCCATAATGACGAAAAAAATGGAATTCAGAACCTGTTCCAAATCACCGTCCAGCGCTGTGCTTCTCTGAAAATGCGCTTGCGCGGGCTGAGCACCGGCCAGATGGGCGACGATTGACGTGAGGATTTCCTGAAAAGCAGAAATAAAGAAAAAGAGAAAAAAAAGAAAAAAAACCGTCCAAACGAGAGCAAAAAAAACAAGAACTCAAAAACACGCACCAAGCTAACCAACGGCGACACGTTGGCGACAACCACGGCATTATCTTCTCGGGGAACCTGCTTCAAAAACAATTGCCGGGCGGCGCGGAACTTCGGGCTGAGTGTATAGTTGATCACTAAAAAGGGCTAACATCATTTTCTAGCCCTGCCAAACCTCGTATGCCATCGGGTATCACTTTCCACGCACCACTACCGGCCTGTAGATTCTCGCTAGGCCCCGGCTGCGCTTCCTAAAGTCAAACCCATCAGAATCGTCAAAACACGACCTAGCCTACCTTTGGCTGCCCATTTTCCGTCTTCCGCTTCTTCGCTTTCGGCTTGTCGTCGTGGTCATTCGCTGCGAGCGCGGGTTCCGGTGAATTTTCCTGAAAAAAGTGATATGTTCCGAAAACGACGAGGAAAGCTTCACCTCGCCTATCTCAACGGCAGCTTTGAACTTATTTTTCGTCTTCTTCTTGATCTTCTTGGCATCCTCATTTTGCTGAGGTGCTCCGGGCTCCGTTTTCTTTTTCTGTTAGTAAAATTGATTCTTTCGCATTAACGGGAGGGGGCGACCAAAAATGTCAAAAATACCAAAGTGACGCTTGCCATAAAGTTCCTAGACATTTCTAGACATATACAAAAATTCGGTCCCCTCTGCCGATAATGCGAAAGAACCATAAAATTAAAGACCCAAATTCATTCAGCAAACCTCAATTTTGGCATTCGATTCCAGCAGCGGTCGCTTTCGATCAGCCTTGCTTTTCTTGGCCTTGATCGCCGAGGCCGATTCGATGGCTGGATGGCTTTTCTGCTGCCGGGGAGACTCCTAAGGCTATTTAGAAGCAAAGATATAGCCTAGCTACCTGAATCACGACAGGCTGCTTAGACTTGTTCTTGTTTTTCTTCTTCTTCTTCACCCTGGCTTCATCGAACGTTGTCGGGCTGGCTTCGACGCGAGGCTGGACGCTCCGAGGCCCTTTTACCATCCTAAAATTTGTGGTTTTTGGTTTCGGAATCGATCCAAAAATGTGAAAATGTGGTTTATAGTTTAAAATAACGCCGGAACGAAGTTTTTTTGCCAGATAATTGATAAGAATAACTATATTTCAACGAGAAACACTAACAAAAAGTTTTGAAAAAGCGAGAATTTTGTCAAAAATCGGCCATTTTTCGTCGAAGATCTATGGTTTTGACATTTTTTAATAAAATTTTGTATAATCTTCTCATTTAGGAATGGTAAAAAAGCATTTATGAAACCTTTTTACTAATTATATTAGAAAAATTAGATCCCTAAAAAAGTTAGCTCCCCCGATAATGCGAAAGAACCATAAAAAATCAAGCAAGTAATGAGAAATATTGAAAACAAATTTCGGAAAAGGTTTATAAATTTAGGAAACGAAAAGCGCGACAGTTTGGCCCATCTATTTCGCGGGGGCATACAACCAGCCGGGGGCTCCAAATCACAACGGCGGACCCCTTCATATAGCGGCCGCCATCCCCCCGACGAGGATTAGATCGCGTGCGTGGTTCGCCGCGCCGACAAACAAAGAAAAACACAAAAAAGGATTGGAATTGGGCTTTTGATCAAAAATTTTTATTATTTTTGTAAATTTTCTTGTGATAAGCTACGACGCACACCTCTTAACCCCGCGTGTCGATTTACAGGGCGTGTTCGATTGTAGGTTGGAGTTTACTGAAAGCTAAATTAATTTTAAAAGTTATTTTATTCTTTTTTTCAGCCGTTTGAAATTTCTGAAGTCAAGTTAGGATTTTTTAACGTTTGCCATTTCAGGAGCGCATCCACCCTCTCAAACCGGGGCCATGGCCGACCCGTTCACCTCGTTGGCGGCGCTGTCGTTGGCCATGTTCCTCGGCAGCTACCTGGCCGGCTATGTGCCGCTGCTGTTCACGATGTCGGAGGTGTGGTTTTCGAATCAGAACAGATGCAGGATTTCTGGCCTGTTTTGTACTACTAGACAAAAAACTTCCTAAAATCGATTAGAAAATCCAAAAAACCTGTTGAGTTTTGACCAAATTTTCGACTAACATTTTTTCGCTTAAAATCTAGAACAGAAGAGACTATTTTAACACTTACTATGAAGTTATTAAGCGCAACTATTCGTTTGTCTGCCTAAAACCTCGGATTTCAAGCAAAATTCCGGGTTCTAAAAAGTTTTTAAAGTTTTCTAACTTCTAAAGTTTTACTAGCGATCGATGACGTTACCAACTATAATCTTAATTGAAAATAGAAATATCACCGAAATCAATAATACAAAATCTTTGTATGTTTGTTGTCAAAAACGAAAACATTTTTTTAGTCCCGGATGCGCATCCTGAGCATCTTCGGCGCCGGGCTGCTCGTCGGCACCGCGCTGTCGGTGATCATCCCCGAGGGCGTGGAGTCGCTGTACGCCGTTCGTGCAGGTTCGTTTTTTACAAAAAAAAAGCAACAAATAGCAACAAAACTCTTTATTCCGGGTGTAAGCGGTGCATTAATGATGTTGGGGGTTGTGTGAGGTCGGAGGGAGGGTCGTCGGGCTCGGGTGGCTTCCACGGGTCACGCGCTGGCGCCGGGGCTTCAGAGGGCTTTCGGCTTCTCCTGGAAATGCGGGTTCTTCCGCATTATCGGGGAGGGGGGCTTTTTGTAAAATTTTAGTAATAGCAAGCGTTTTAATAAGATTTCTTTTTTTATCGTAAAAATAGCTGTCTAAACTAGAAAAACTATCGAAAAAGGCGAAATTTTGGTTAAAAAAGGGTAAGATTTACTTCCCCCACAGCCGAAGGGTCTCAAAGTTGTCGGTATTTCCGCTTATTTTATCGGGATTTTCGCAACGCCATTCGATAGAGCGTCGAAAACTATACTAAGAGTTTTAATTTGAGCCTAAAATAATGTAAAATAAAAGTTATAGCCAATAACTTCCGGCTGGGGGTAAGTAAACCGTAGCCTAAAAAAGTCAGCATTTTCGGCTGAAAATCGATACTTTTTACATATTTTAACAAAATTGTGCACGGTTTTTGATGTAGAAAAATAAAAAGCATTTGGAAACACTTCCACGATTTAGATTAAAGATCGGGTCCTAAGAAGAAAATCCCCCTCCCCCCGATAATGCGAGAGCACCGAGATGCCAAGTTTTTGGTAACTTTAGAAAATATTGTTATCATACAATTTTTAGGGATTAATTAAGGAAATTGCCTTTAGGAAAATAGAAAAATTAGCTTAGAAAAATGATTTTAGCAAAAAAAAAACAGCAAAATGGTCCCACAGCATTAATCCCGGTGTACTTGATCTTGCCGGCGTCGGGGAGCTGCCAGAGGCTATAATAACGCTAATTTGAGGATTTTTGAAGGCTTTTTGGCTACCGGCAAATCTCGTAGGTCAAAAAGCCGATGATGGCGTACTGGAGCATTTGGCGGGCTGGGGCTGGCGACTTCTTGGGAGTGGTCGCTTATCGGAAATGGCGATGATTTTCTCGGGTCCGAGGGACGGAACTGATATTCAAATTTTATTCAATTTTTCAATCCAATTTTTTTGCAGAATCAAATCACCAGCACGCGCACGGGGACGCGGCCGCCGTCGTCGTCCATGGCGCCATCGACTCGCCGCAGGTATGCTTGAATTTTGGTACTGGACCGTTAGCGGGGGTGCTAGTTTTTGTTTTGCGCCCATGCCTAGCTTTTAATAATCATAGCATAGTTTTATAAACTTTTCAGTATTTTAGGTTGCTGAAAATTTACAAAAAAATGTTTTCAACATTTTTCGAAATTTGAAAAAAGTTTTTGGTTTTTTTGGTCATATTTCATGCCTTTTTTGATATTTTTTATAAGTGTTGGCGCGTTTTTTATAACCAAAAACGGCGTTAAATAGTAGAAAAAATGTAAAATAAACAACGGAAGTGTTTCTAGGCTTTTTTTACTATTCCTGAGCCTAGAAATTTACCTTTTGTTATTAAAAGCTAGAAAAAAAAATGGCTTTTTAGAAAAATTTTGACATTTTTGTCAGCGTTTTTCTCTAAATTTTTTTTTGCAATTGAAATATAGCTAAATTTTACAACCCAATCAGACTTAACTGGACACCCCATAACTAGTAAAAAATAAAATTCTCACTTTAGGAAGCCAAATCGATCCTGGAGGCCGGCGGGGCGAACCCATCCAACAAGGACCAGCCGGTGGACAGCCCGAGGTTGATCCCGAAAGATGTGAAACTTATGGACGGGTTTGTTGCGCTGTTTTTACAAAGAAATCTTTCTTTTTAGGATCCAAGGCGCACGCGTGAAACGAGACGCCGACCACGGACATGCGCACGGAGCTGCTGGTAATTTTTCTGGTGTCCTAGCTGTTAATTTTTTCGTTTTCAGAACACGGCAACATTCACGCGCAAATCGGCTACTCCCTCGTCGTCGGCTTCATCTTCATGCTGCTCGTCGACCAAGTCAGCAACATTGCGCTTTCTAAGTGTAAGTTTAGTAGGGTTTTAATCGAAATTTGACCTGTTTTTTTTCAGCCGACCGAAATGGGCGTCAGCGGATAGGACTGTCGGCGACGATCGGGCTCGTTGTGCACGCGGCTGGTCAGGTTTTGGACCATCTAAAGCTTCATTTCTCCTTTCTTCCTTTTTAGTATCTACAAAATTCAAAGATTGGAATTCTTCTCATTTGTTAAAAGTTATTTCTATGTGATTTTTTCAGCCGATGGAGTTGCACTTGGCGGCGCCTCTTCGATCAACCGCACCGACGTGCAGATGATCGTCTTCATGGCCATCATGCTGCACAAGGTGGGTTTAGTTGGTTTGGCCCAAATATATGATGCGGAAATTCGTTTTGGCGAAATTAAATCGGATCGAAATTTTGATTTTGTTGAATTTTAGCCTTATCGATTTTCATTTTGTGGAATTTCTATTTATAAAATTTCGTCGTCGAAAATTTTCATTTTGTCGAATGTTATTAAAGGGAAAAACGTCGAAAATTTAATTTGCAACTTTTGCAGTTTCGACAAGGCGGATTTCAACATTCTAATTTTCGACAAAATAAGAAAAGCCATTTTCAACAACTATACGACGTAATTTAAAACAATTTTTACTATTTCAGGGCCCCGCCTCGTTTGGCCTCGTTTCGTTTCTTATCATGGAGGGCCTCGATAAGCGTGCAGTCAAGAAGCATCTGCTCGTCTTCTCCTCGGCCGCCCCTACAGCCGCCATCCTCACCTACATGATCATCGGCGGGGTGAGGCCGTTTTTACATGGCCTAATCGTTTCCTAGGCCACCGACGGGATCTCGGGCAACGATTCGACGATTGGTATCCTGATGCTCTTCTCCGCCGGCACGTTCCTCTACGTCGCCACGGTGCATGTGTTGCCAGAATTGGTGCGTTTGAAAGATTCGATTCTTCTTTCGCATTACTGCATTACTTCGCATGCGAAAGAACCAATTGGATTTTTAGATCAATTTGGAAATATAGAATTTTCTGCTTTTTGCAGGCAAGCCAATCGAAAAACTACGATCTGCTGGTGATGGACATTCAATCGCCGTCCACCCTTCGGCATTCCCACTCGCACGGCGTCTCATTTTCAATGACGGTACGTATTCGGAGTATTCTATTTAATTTTCGCAGCCGAATTTTCGCGATTCAAATTTCGGCTTTTCGATTTTTCGGGGAAATTAGCGACTGGCGAATTCGGGGGCATAATGCTGGAACGGGGTGCCGAAAATTTATGGCGAGAGCTGATCGATTGGGGGTTGGGGGGCGCGGGCTTCTCATTTCCATCGGCTCGGGGATGTTGAAAAAAACATGGCGGAGACAAAATGAAAGTTCGCGTTTTGAGGGGTTGTTTTAAAAGTGAAACATGGCTTGCTAAAATCGCTGTCATCATTAAAATGGGGAAAAGAAGAAAAAGGGTGTCAGATTTTTATAATTTTACCCATCGCAAGCGCAGAAAACCGTCGTTTTTATTTAAATACTTTTATTTTATTTTATTTTTGAGAGGATTTCTGGCTAGGGAATCGTAAAAAACGTTAAAACTTTACAACCTTTATTAGAAAATACCAAAGCTTAGGCTTAGGCTTAGGTATTTACACAAAAAATGAGCGTTTTTGGCCAAAATATCGCATCAATAAATTTATTTAGATAGTTTTTCTAGTTGAAATACTATATTTTCCGAAAAACCTTAAGAAAATACTTCCTATTACATATTAGGGATTTATAGGCATCTACAACAAAATCCGTCCTCTTCCCGCCCCCCACCCCCCTCGATATTGCAAAAAAACCTTTTCACCTTCCAATTTTAGGAATTGTTCTACATGATCGTCGGCGCCGTCATCCCGGCCATCCTCGCCTCCGGACACAGCCATTAGCGCGTCGAAAATCGTTTTTTACGGGCCTTACGCTCGTCGAGTGAAGATTTCTCTATTTGCCGCGCCCCCCCTCTCCTGCGTTGTTGCCTTTATTATTCGATTGATTTGTGAGAAAAAGACGGGTTATCGTCCCCCCCTTTTTTGTGATTTGAATGTAGTTTTTCCGATTTTTCGACTTTATTCTGCCAAATTAGGCTCGAATAAGACGCACGCTTGTAACCTAATACTATACTCGAATTCCCGCGATTTTCTGAGATAATTCCGATTTTTGGTTCTGGTTCGTTAGCGGGGGGGTAATTCTAGGTCAAAACACAATAATTTAATAAAATTATAGCTAAAGAAATAATAACGCTAACTATGGGGTGTTGTATACAGCGAGTAATGTGCCTTAAGAAAAAAAGAATCTATTGACAAAAAATGTCCCCCCCCCCCGCTAACGAACCAGAACCCGAGGTTCCCCTTTTGCCTTCACGGTCCCTTTAAAACATGCCCCGAATCGATACTGTGATACACTCCCCGGACGTCGTGACGCGTTTATTCACCCTTTCCCCTCGCACATATGTACTTGTAAATAATAAAAAATGTGACAACTTTTTTGAGGGTCAAAGATACTTGTTTCAGATTTTTAGATGACTTCCCCGGTTCTTTCGCATTATCGGGGGGGGGGGAATTGTTTTTTGTCTATGTCTAGCAATTCCTAAATGTAATACGAAGTGGTTTTAGAAAAATATAACGATTTCAACCAAAAACGTCGATATTTTGGTCAGAAACATTGGATGTTTAATCGAAAAATCGATTCTTTTTGTATTTTTTCGAGCCGTTTAAAAGTAGCAAACACTCCCGCGATTTATATTTAAAAAATTCCTCATAAGAAACCCCCTCCCCCCGATAATGGAAAAGATCAGAAAGGGTCACATCCCCACCCCGACATCCAGGCGGGCTGTTTTGGAGCCAGAGCTGTTTTTCTAAAGGCTTTTGCAACCCAGTGAATTCGAAAACGATTTTCCCAGCCCTGGCAAAAAAAAAGATTAGCACGCGATTGACTCGCTTTTGAATGGCGGGTTAGGTGTGGGCTGTTTTGCGCCGCCATTCATGTGGTTTGGGAACCATTTTCAGATTTTCCTGGATTTTGCGCTGGCCCAGACTGGGTTTTGGGTTTTGAAATCTACCCAGTTTTTCGGTTATGGTTCATCTTGGGTGGTACTGTGGCATTAACGGGGGCGGAGGGTACGACTTTTCTCTTTTGTATCCAATTTTTCTGGAATGAATAGCGGACTATGTTTTACTAGTCCTAAACGCAAATGCTTTACCGTTCTCATTAAAAATTAGAAGATATAAGTGTTCGACCAAAAATGGCCTATTTTCGACCAAGGTTCTGAATTTTGAAAAGTTTAGCTGTAAAAAATATTTTTTTATTTAGAAAATTTTATTTTAAGCAAAAAGGAAACTAGGTTAAAAGTTGGCTGAAAACCAAAAATAAAGGGCGAAGGTCCACAAAACTTTAACATAGCGAGTTTGCAGGTTTGTGGGCGCCTTGAAACGGGAAGAAATGTTTTCTTGTGGATTTATTTGCTTTTTCGGGCCAAATGGACCACGGGGCTGCTAACAGGTGCTCTCGCCGTGATTCATTTCGTTGCCCAGTTTTTGGGTTTTGCCCCCCGTTTTTCGAGAAATCCCCTCGAGATCAGCTCACGACATGCTAGCAGGGATGCTTGCGGAAACCACGGGTTTTCACGCGTGCTTGGATCCGGAAACACTCACCAATATTCTCTGCTAGTTGGCCTTACCGGACGAGCTAAATCTCAATGCGTGTTTCTATATTTTGCCTCAATAATCTCTGCTAGGCTGCCCTCTGCGTACGGCTTTCCAAAAATGCACGCAACCATCGCGCGTTGACTCACTGAACCGGCACCTATCCGGGGGCCGACCTTCAGGTCCCCTGCGGCTCATCCCCCCTCCCCCATTGCCGCCATTCCATTTCTTTCCATTTTACCGCCCGGTCGTCGTTCGGCCTTGTCGGTCCTGCTCGCGGAAAATACTCGCGCGCAGCAGGAAAAATCCTAGCGATTACCGGGTTTTTAAATTGGGAAAATTGCCTGCTTGCTACTGGACAACTAGCAGAGATTTTTCGGGAAAACAGAAACATTTCACGTTTCCCCGAGGGCGGGCGGGCCTAAAATCCGATTCCGTGGCTCGCTAATTTAATCGTTTGTCTTTGGGAGGCGAAAAGATGACATGCCAGCCATTGGTTTCCTCAACAATTTCTGCTAGCCTGCCCTCACCTCTTCCTCAACAATCTCTGCTAGCCTACCCTTTCTGCCGGGGTTTCTGGTGCTGCTTTTCGAGTCAATCGGCAATGAATTTCTGATGCCATGCGCCCAGCCTTCAGCAAATTGAACTTGGCAGGCTAGCAGAGATTCTTGGAGAACATTGCTTCATGCTCTTCCGTTTCGGGCCCTAACAAGGAAATTCAGGAATTTCGGCGCACGGCGCCCAATAAATTATTCGGCTATTTTTCGGAGGCTTTTTTCGGGTGGGACCAAAAGGACGGATGTCAAGCCTTGCCAAGGCCTGGCAATTTTTTGTCGGTTTCCGAAAGTTCTCCAAGAATCTATGCTAGCTTGCCCTGAATTATAAATGGTTTTCGGAATTCTGAGAACGATTCGTGGATGCGGGGGCGTGAGGTGGTCTTTTTCTCAGGTTGTCAAGTGTGGCTCCCGGCCGGGGTGCCGCCAATTTGGCCCCCGGGGACTTGGCCAAAAGGCTTCCGGGGCCAGATTTTCGTTGCGTGCTTTTTGGTTGCATTTCTGATGCTCAAAAATCGATGGTCTCTACGTTGAGCGTGATTTTTGCTGACATCAGTGGGTTGGTTCGGGTTTTTTGGGCTTACTACTCGACATAAGCTAAGCCGAAGCCTAAGCCTAACCTAGGCCAAGCCTCGCTTTTCAAATGATCTCTGCTAGATTACCTTTCCTCAACAATCTCTGCTAGCATGAATCTATCGCATTCCAACGACTTCATTTCCCAATTTTTGCCTCAGATTCCGAAAAAGCAATCATCGCTCGCCCAGATGAACCGGATGGGGGGTTCGTCCCGAGGATTATTTGCCCAAGCTTTTCCCCCGTGTACTAACCCTCCAAGTACCCCACAGGCACACATACACGGCCCAGCCCAACACTTGAAATAAACGTCTTTTTTGTTGTTGGTAAGTTATACTTGTTAGAAGGGCAGGCTAGCAGAGATTGTTGAGGAAGAGGAGAGGGGCTGGCTAGCAGAGATTGTTGAGGAAGAGGAGAGGGCAGGCTAGTAGAGATTTTTGAGGAAGAGGAGAGGGCAGGCTAGCAGAGATTGTTGAGGAAGAGGAGAGGGCAGGCTAGCAGAGATTGTTGAGGAAGAGGAGAGGGCAGGCTAGCAGAGATTGTTGAGGAAGAGGAGAGGGCAGGCTAGTAGAGATTTTTGAGGAAGAGGAGAGGGCAGGCTAGCAGAGATATTTCGAAAGTTTCTTTCTTGTTACTTTCCTTCAACGAAATCTTAAATTCTTCACCAATATCGAATTTCAGAATCCAATGACGGAAGAGCCGAAACATGCCCGATTCGGCGACCGCGAGGAGCGACGGGTGAGTAGCTGCTCAGGGTCCCTAAATAATCCCTGCTAGCCTGCCTGCTTGGTTTTACAACGCAACTTTTCAGATAGAGCGCAGCCGGGTGTTGACGATGAAGTACGGCAAACAGCAGATGGTGCTCATCCGGAAGCGGATGCAGGTACTACTCGCCGGTCCACAAATTCCTCTGCTAGATTTTCTCGGCAATTTCAAGTAAAAAAAATCGCATTTTCAGGTGGAAAACTGGGTGGAGGAGGAGGTGACGAAGCTGTACGGGGGGAAGGATGAAAATGTGAGTCCCACATGATGATTCTGGGCGGATTTTGGCCGCGTAATCGGTTACGCGGGCGTGTTTTGGGCCGTATTTTCAAAGCAAATTTATTTTTAGGGCGTCGAGTTGGAGCTGGACGACCTGCTGGCCCTGGACACCGCGCAGCAACGGCGGAAATTTGCCTATGTAAGTTGGCAGGTTGCAGGTTGTTTATTGAAGAGACGGCTTTGGGTTAGGCTTAGGCTTTGGCTTAGGCATAGGCTTAGGCTTAGGCCGAGGGGCTTAGGCTTAGGCTTAAGATTTGCAAAATATCCCATCCTTCAGGACGAGCTGCAGAAGCACTTTTGTCCAGCATCAATGGACCGGATCACCGCTTTCCTAGACGGGCTCATCCGGCAGCTGGCCGCGTTTTAGAAGGCAGCCTTCTTGCAAGCAACCCCCTTTCCAACACTTCCTGTGGCCGGTATCGCGAACATGTCTCATCATCGTCATTATCATCTTCCTCTGAATTTTCTGAGCTATTTTTGTGTACATCTACCTTTCCGATTGGTTCCTGATAAAACTTGTACATAGCTATTCCATCACAATGTCAACAACAATGGTTCGGGTGACTCGTTTATCTGGTGAACGCGGAATAGGTCAGATCCGAGTTAGAACGGGAAAAATCGAGTATATTTTGCGTTCAGTAGTCTCCTCGTGGTCAGTCCCGTCAGGCATTTCCTCCGAATTATTTGGTGGCGGCGGGCGCGGCCGGCGCGGCGAGATGGATACGTTCAGTACGCTGCTCCTCAGGGGCCTGTAAACAAGGTGAAACCCAGGATTCGCATCTTCGTGCCGAAATAGTCCGTAAAAAAGGGCTACTCGTAGAAGGCAAAAATACGCACTACGGGGGCTTTTTCAGCAGGATTCTGCTGCTGCGATTCCGGCTCGAAGGGCTTGAATCCCATGGCCTGTGCAAAACAGTGGTCTAGCGACGCAACGTCTGGAAAAACGATGAATTGTTCTGAAGCATGTGACGCTCGCCGCGGACCTGTAACGTCTAAGGTGGGCGGGATGATGTGCAAGAAGGTGAACTTGTTGCCGTCGTAGCGCAAAATGGCTCCGAAGCTGTCCTGAACGGTTTGTTAGTAAGGGGAACTAATTTTTACCTAATTTTAATTCTAAATTTGGGTTTTGAATTTTTAATGATTTTCACAGCATTTTACACCGTTTTAGATATAAAAACTTATACGAACTCATTCCTTTTATGGTTTTTCACTTTTTGGTCGAAAATGTAAGAAAATTGAACAAAAACGTTAAAAACTTCGAATTTTTAAAATTTTTAAAATATTTTTTTGTAATGTTTTAGCAATCACAACTACGAAAAACATTGAAAGATGCTGTATTTATTATTAACAGGTAGATATCGGAGGAAAAAGACAAAGTTTCCTGAATACCGTGGTGCAATGGCACTGGCTGTCAGATATTAAGAAATGCGCTCATGAGAGGTGGGGGCGCTCCGTAGCGTTCCTATGCCCGCGCGCACACTATGCTTGCCTAGCGATCCATGATTTTTCGGGAGAGAGGCAAAGAAAAGGGGCCAAAAAAGAGTCACAAATTTTCAACTTCAAATGCCTATAACTTTCGAAAACGACGTTGTTGTGGGGAGTCCACCGATACGAAATATAGAGAAGACTCTTGCGCACATTATGGGAGGGGTTTTAAGGGTGATTTAGCGTGAAAATACGGATTTATCTAGGATTTAAGCCGGAAAAATTGCGAAAATACGAGCGTTGTGCGCCGCGTTTTTCTTTGCGTTTAGCAGCATTCTTCCGGGTTTTTTCTTCGATATTCAACGGAAAAGAATAGGTACTGTCAAATTGGGTACTTCTGCGGTCCTGGAAAGTAAAAAAGGTGCTGAATGAGAGATCCTAATAATTGAACAACTGAAGCTAGTCAAAGTTTTCAGCTTTGTATGGATGAAGGGGCTTGAAATCATTGAATTGTGGCTAATTTGGGCAGTACATGTCTTTGTTATTATGATATTCCCTTATTGAGCGAATTGGCACCATCTGAGAGAATTTCTTCTTTAGAGCTCGGGAAATAGCAAAACTTTTTATTTTCCGCTTGGGCTTCTCTTTAGATCGGTTTTGGATCCCCTTCTGTACCTTTTGCAAAAAAGTGCAAAACCCTAACGGACTTCTGTCGGTCAGAGGAACCGAACCAGCACCCTCTGCCTGAGGATGGGACCGGCGCCTTAGACCACTAGGCCACGCCCTCCCCCACCCCCATGCGCGCCCTGACAGGCAGTGATGGGGAGCAACATACCTTATGCGGCGTGGTGAACAGCGAGATGAGCCAATTGCCGAAGAAGCTGACGCCCGTCGGAACAGACTAACAAGCGGTCGTTTTTGGTGTCCACGGAGTTTCAGAATGGGACCAAGTCTCTCGTGTGTAGCATTTTTTTTTCGCTGATGAAAACCTCGTTTTCAGAATTTGTGAAACGACGAAATTCAGAAAGTTATGATGCTTTAAAGGGCGAAAAACCGCGAAAGTTGCCCGTTTTGGGCTTTCCCCCCCCCCCCCACCTGGTGGGCACGGATGATGAAGTCGATGCCGTGCATCGCTCGGAAATCGTCGATCATCTGCTTGTTGAAGTATTGGGCGCACCCGCGGCTCGTGTTATAGGGCCACCTCAAAAAGCGACCAAATATTCGGGATGGGGTTAGCGACCTACTCGGGACCATCGGCCTCCACGTTACACGGATCGTTCCATTGCAGCGACAGGCGGAGACGCGTCAATTCGGCCGATTCGTCGTTGGGGTCGAAGCCGTTGCGCAGCTGCTCGGTAGTCATGCGCGGGGCTGTAAGGCAAACGGTTCTGGACTGTTAGGGGGGGGGGGGGGGTCACCAAATTTTTCCGTGATTCTCTACGGCCCTATAACCACAATAAACCATTTATATAGCATTTTATATAGTTTTTTAGATATGAAAACAATATAAAAAGTAATACATATTTTCGAAAACGTTTGAATTTTGGTCAAAAATGGATGAAACATGACCAAAAAAGGTAAAATTTTCAAAAATATTTTTATAACTTTATAACAATCAAAAACTGCTCAAAACACTATAAAAAGACAGAATATATAATCTATTCCGAAGCCCAGAAAAACCCACGGATACCGCCGTGCACCACGAGGATGCGCTTGTCGATGGTGCCGACACGCGGTAGACTTTTGAAAAAGCCCTCAATTGCAGCAAATGTTTCTGCCGAGTATTTCTGCTCGTCCTTGATTTGCGTGGAAAATCCATATTGGTTGTAGCAGTACGGGGTCTCGTGGTTGCCGGCAATGTAGAACACCTGCCACGTAAGGAAATCGAGACGTGCTGCGGTAAGGCCGCTGTTTCACGCCCCCCGCCCCCCCCTTGGCCACCAGGGGCGTCAAGTATGCCAAAATATTCGCCTTCTCCTCCGGACTATTTTGGTATACTTTACAGCCTTTTCCACAACGGGCTGGGTAGGATTATCCGCAGTTCAGCCCCATGTTTCCCGTCAAAGCCCACCTGTTTCGGGTGCAGGACCATCGAGGCTACGATGAGCACGAGGCACATCATTTGACGGGCGCCCCTGTCGACGACGTCGCCCAGGAAGACGATGCTGAAAAACGCAATAATGTGCTTATCAAAAGCTTATACTTCTGGCCCGGAAGAGCCGTCCGCCCGTACGCATCGAACATGCGCCAAAGGACGTTGAACTGCAAAGCACACGTTAGTTTGGGAGTGTTCTTATACACTGAATCTGCCTGTAACCTATAAAGCACGCACATCACCATGAATGTCGCCAACCACCCAGGTGGGCCCCGTCAGATGCACGACGCTCTTCACTTGTGCCTGCATGCTCTTCGCATGGTTAAATAGAGCGATGAGGTCATTGTTGTCGAAGAGCTTGGTCTGCAAAAAGAAAAGGCTCTGGACTGTTAGCGGGCAGGGGGGGATTTAGCGTGTGGGGGGAGGGAAACGAAATTTGTCCCTGAGTCACTACGGCCCTATAACAAATACAAACGTTTTTATAGAATTTTACATAGTTTTTAGCTATAGAAACAAATCTATAAAAAAAAAAGTGTTTGTGTGCGTGCATTTGCATGCAACTTCCATCCGTATGTTCCAGTCGTATCTCAATAAAGTTAAGGGCATTTATGATACGTCATTAGATGCGTAATGGTCATGACACGACTGCACACCTATCAGATTTTTCAAAATCAGCTGTTTTCGACATTAAAATTAAGTTTTTGTGAAAATCTCGCTCGGCCTCTTTGTTAGGAATAAGAATAGGAATAAGACGGGGCCAGGGTTGAAAAGTCGCGAGGCGGCTTTTCAACCCTGGTGGAAATTCTTGTGGAATGTGGAATGGAATTCTAGTGGAAACAGAAGGGTCGATTCCCCCAAGTGACGAAGAATCAGAGCACACACACACAGATACACCCCAAAATTATATAAGGTAGGATACACATAATTTTTACCTCACTATTTATTCTACTAAAACTTACATATTTAAATTTTCCCCTGCTAAAAATCCATCCCCCCACAGTCCAGAACGGAAAAAACGTCTGCTACACAGCTCGTCTAGCTTGCTTACCGGCCCACAATTGTACACCGTAACCAAGTTGTCCTGTGCGAGCGCACTGAGCAGCGTTTCGGCGACTACCACCGGGTCGCGGATCGGTTCGTTAGTCGATGGGATCGGGCAACCCTTTCCGTTCAGCGGCCACGGCACCCCGGGGTTCAGTTTCTCACTCTTCTGCAAAATGTGCCTTTTCTAGTGCTGAAATGAAACACGTGTTAAAATTAAAAGATCCTGGCGGGCTTTAATCGGCGCGCTAAATCGGTGGCGAAATCGTCATAATCGCGAGGGGAACCGGCTCGCTTTGTGGAAGTCCCACCATGCAAAGGGCCAAATGCCCTTTCAGCGAGTATCCAAGTGAGCTGGGCTTCACTTTTGGCGGCTGGCCAGTGACCTGAAAATCAGAATGAAAGAGATAGGGAAGGCCTCATCTGGGGATTTGGCATATTTGGCGTACCTTTCGGTAGAAGCGCGCCTCCCAACTACCGCCATAGGGCTGCCATGCCAGTTCAACATTTGCGGCCACATGATGTTGCGGCAACGGTTCCGCCAGTTGGTGGTAGAAGATGCGCTTTCTAAATGACGTTTATTCAGGACGCAGGTTGTGCGTGGTGCAGAGACGCAAATTTACCCACTGCTTATACAAGACACCGACGGTGGCGACGGCTGCCAAGAGGCAGATGCCGACGACAGCGGCCGCCACGGCTGAAAGCGCGATCTTTTATAGAATATTTCATTGGCCTCTCCGCATCCTAAGAAGTCTAGAAGGCCGCTCACCCAATCTTAGGCCAAGCCCGGATTCGTCCTCATTCGGACCGCTGGCGCTCGGTGCAATCGTTGTCGGTTCCGTTCTCCCTTTGCAAATCCGCTAAACCGCTTTTTTTGTGCCTTTATCGTGTTATCGTTCTTTTGGTTCTTTTGGTGCTTTCGCTTTACCGGGGCCATTTTTGACAGAAAAAAATCGATACTTTTCCCTCTTTCCGGAAAATTTCCGGTATGAGCGATAATAATCTCGGATGATGCGAAAGCACTGTAGTTTGATTTTGCTCGATGGATATTCGTCCGACGTTTGTCGACCGAGACCGACAAATTTTCGACATTCTGATAGAAAATCACCCACAACATCGTCGTCACCGTCGCAGGAAGGTGGCGTCAGTTTCGGCCCCCCCAGCGCCGGAGGCCTTGAAGAAGACGTTGGTCCGGCAGTCGAGCATCAGGTCGGCTTCGACCCGATTGCGATCATAAGTCTAAAACAAAGATGCAATCAAACGATACGCCTGACCGACAGCCCGTTGATGTCAATGCATTTCGGGTAGCGAATCACTTGTTCCGTCATGGATTGGCGGCGAACCCGTCGGCCTCCTTCGTCGTCGAGCGCCTGAGCGTGGTTGAACTAAGAGGAAAAATAAAGACTCACGACGATCAATTACCTGATATTTGTTCAGAATTCGCCGGGAGTTGGCTTCTGGTTTCACCGTGGGGTCGCTCTGATTCGTAGGGGCGACGGTGGTGTTGATGATCACGTCGAGTCGCAGATTCTCTTCCTCGCTCATGAACTGCGCATACGGGCCAGACTCAAAAAAGCAAAGTTTTGTAAAAGTTTTCGAAACAGACGTGAGCACGCTTCGCAGAGTACAAGATCTTTGCGTCTGGGTCGAGGATGTCAAGGAAGACACAGTCGTCGTATGTGCCGTTGGCGCCCCGATGCTCACACGGCACGTCACATTCCGTCGCGCGTTTGACTACAGTCGGCCGGAACGGCGAAACCACCCTATGAAACATTGCTAAGCGATTGAAGCCCGCTACGGTTTTTGGGTTTTGACGTCGCACAGCGGCAACGGTTCACAAGAGGAATTTTCGGGCCGGCCTCCTATTCCGCAGTACTGTAAAGGGGGACATTGGCTAATTTGAAAGATGCTACCGTGAAGTCCATGAGATCGGGAACGTCGTAGGGGTCGTTGTACAGCAGCGATGGATCCTCTTTCAAGAAACCAGCGGCTCTTTGAAGGCTGGGCACGCACGTCAATGCTGGGCGCTCGAGGAGTTCGCCGTTCCAATTTGTATATGCGGTGGAAACGAACCTGTAATCAGAGGAATCAGGGGAATCAGGGGGCTTAATGGGCCGGTACCAAAACTACGTACGTTGGAACAATAAAGCCCGCATCGCATTGCACCCAGTACTGGCTGGTGAACTTGTCTCCGCTTGGATCGAAGGCCTTAGAGCTCCTAAATTTGTTCCAAGTTCTGAAGCTAGGCTGGCAAGTACAGCTTCTTGTCATCACACTCCCCGATCGCCGCCATTTGTCGAGTGCAAAGGTTGAACGGGAAGAAAACTTTTCCTGAAATAGCAGACTATAGGTATAGACGATATACGAACCTCCATTCAGTTCGACTGGCGTTATGCAATTCTCTCCGGTAACCTGCAAGAAAATCTATATGCCAAAAAAAATCGCCTTACGCAAAAGTTGGGGTGACAGCTTTTCGCGACTTGAAGTCTGCCATCATCGGTGGCGGTCTCCACCTTGTCCGTGTCCTTGCATACGATATCAGTCTTGCATTTTTCACACTAAAAAATAGCCCGTTGTCGATCAACGGGGGTTACAAACCTTGGCCTCGGTATTTTGTAGCCAATCCGGATACGGCTCTTCCACAACATCGTAAGCGTAGCAGATAAACTGGCGTCTGGTGGGGCACTAAATTCCGGTTCTCAAACTGTTCAAGCCTCACATCTTTCTCCTGACGACGAATACGGTGGTGGTTGCGCAGCATCGCCGGCGAGAGGTTCAGCGGGTCGTCAAAAGGCAGATCGAGGAAGTTGCGGAGTCTGAAATTGTTCAGTCGAGAGAAAGCGATAAATACTTACTGGTCAGTAGAGCCAAAGTTGGAGCAGACGAGCAGAAACCAGAATAGCGGCCGAAGCCAGCCATCGGATGACGCTACAGCATGAGCCTGAAGACCCATGGCGAGGCGTCGGAGATGATTTTCGTCGCGTTTTGATGTTTAGAAAAGAAGTGGAATCGTTTAAATACTTGGATATTTATTTAAATTTCTGCAGCCTAATAATTCAAGAATTACATGCAAAATTTAAGTCCACAAAATGCAGATCCGACATCAGGGCTGGCTTTTTAGGTGGTTTAAAAAAATCGATCTTGTGTGATTTTGCTGGCCGATTCGCGTGTATTTTCCGGTCAGTGTCAAAAAAGGTAAAAACTTCGTTTATCAACTCGAGATCAATTGTGATGGCGCTTAGTTTGATACTTCTGCCCGCCCGGGAATCCTAAAGAACCAGAAAAGCTTTGCCATTTTCTCCTCAAAAAAAAAAGCTCGGCTTGACGTTGTCGTTCTCCAGAATCGGATACCTTTAAGGTATCGTTCCCTAATCGTCAGCCGTTGCCCGGCGGGGCCTTGTCGCGAATGGATAGGGCAGCGAGCGGCGTCGCTCCCCGGAAGAGCGCCGTTCGCTGGGGAAGTCTCTAAGTAGTGGTACTTTAAATAATTGCCGAAATCAACCTTCTGAGTTGGAAAGTCCCAAGCAGAGAGCGCTTTCGTTGCGGCCCCGGAAGAGCGCTAAAAGTTGGGTTAAGAGTTTTCAGAGGATTTTAAGAGAAGCGGAAACGACCGCTTTCCCGCCAGTAAGCTGATGACGGAACATAGACCGTTTTATAGTATTTTAAACGGGTTTTGCCTATAAAAACACAAAAAATGGTTCTGGGCTATTAGCGGGGGAACGAAATTTTTCTCAGCAATCCAGCCCTGTAAAGAAACAGAGCATTTTTATAGCTTTTTGCACAGTTTTTACGTATAAAAAGCACAAAAAAATTATGAAACTCTCAAAAATGCTAGACTTTTTGGTCAGAAATGTATAAAAAATGGTCAGAAGTAATTTTTTGCGGATTTTTTAATTTTCTTGCAATCAAAAACTACTAAAAATGCTAGAAATATAGCCTTGATTATTAACAGGTTGCTTACGCGGAAAAATAAAAACTACCCCCCCCGCTAACAGTCCAGCGCCAAAAGTTGATGAAAACTGATAGCCAGTACCTGCGCATGGCCTGCTCGGTGAGCATTGCCGCGCGCTCGTTGAGTTCTTGCTGGCGAGCCAGTTCAATCTAAAATCATTACGATGAAGCCTCCTTATCTTACTTCTGGGTTTTTGGCCTTTTTCCGGCGGTAGTGCACGTAGGCCATGGCCAGCGCGACGACGGCCAGAAACCCGCACGCGCCCAGGATGATGACGAGGTGGGAGCGGATCTAAAAAGCAATTTTTGAGGTTTAAATCATAGCAAAACCTGTGATTTGGTCTTTTTCCGGGCCATCGCATGGCGGGGGATCAGACTGACGGCGCACTTCGGGTAGACGCCAATTTTTGGTCCCACCTAAAGGTAACGAATACATTTTTGGGTTTTTCGGCGCATGCCTAGCTTTTTGATACGTTTTATATTGCTTTTAACCATTCATGACCATAACAACTTTACAAATTTTAACGAAACGTTAAATTTTAGGTCGAAAAATTGATTTTTCCGCCGAGAATGACCAAATTTTCGACTTTTTCAAGGACTTTTTAACTTTTTTTGATAGTTTCTACCACAATTACAGCTAACGCGCTAAACTATATAAAAACGCTATATACTTTTGTCAGGCCAATCTGGATCTCCAAGAAAAAAATAGGCAAGAAAAAGAGCAAGAAAAAGATAGAAAAGCTTAAAAAACCGCATTTTTCCTGAATGATCGCTGCTAGCATGCGTACCAGCTTGAAAAAGGATTTTTACCTGGGCGCATTGGTCGCAGTGGGCGCCCTTGTACTTGGGCGGGCAGATGCAGGACCGCGATCGGTTCATGACGTCTGAAAAAGCGGGGGTTTGGGTTTTTTTAATGTTTTTTTTTTTTTTCCCTTTTTGGGGTGTTTTTTTTGGTTTGTTTATTTATTTTTTTCAATTTTGTTAACTTATAATTTTTATTTTGTAAATCTCTAAATCCCCCATAGTTATTTTCTATAGCTTTTTTATTGGTTTTGGATTCCTAGAAATTATAGCAACGTTTGTAAAAATTTTGTAAAATTGGAATTTTTTACTTTTTTGTCATTTTCACAAATTTTTCAACAAAAAAATCGAAAATCTTGGTCAATTCTTAAACTTATTTATAACTTTTTATCTGAAAACGGTGTAGAATGAGGAACAAAATGGTTTATATTTAGTTATTAACCAGCCGCTTCCAGCGGCTTCGCCGCTGCAAGCGGCTGGACTTCGGGCTACCCCTGTGCGCCCTCCCCCTGGCCGACATGCGCGCCACCTGGCTCACTACGTCCGAAATCGGGCAAACCTCCGTCCCCCGCCTTTTACTAAGGAAAAAGCTTTCAAAGTTAATTTTAATAATTTAAACTAAAAGTTTTTCATAATTTTTTTATCAGTTTGGGGGTTTCTGACCACGCTCTATCCGAATCCGAAGCGAGCTAAGCTCTAGCTCCTTTCCCCTTCGAGTTGAATTCGGGACATGACGGACAGACGGACAGACACCTCAAGAAAATTATTATAGTAGATGGGGCCGTATAGAATTACGGGGAAAATATAGTTTCCCACTACCCCCCCCGCTAACAGCCCAGTACCAAAATCACCGGCTTGAAGAGGTCAATTTTGCTTAAAGCTTAAAAATAGCGAATTACGATTCGTACCTGGATACCCGTAATGACAGACGATCAGATGGCAATAGTCTCCGCCCCAATCCTTTTGACAGATACACCTAAAAATTCATCTCCATCCGGCCGAAAAAAATGACCACCCACCTGCCGTGCCGAATATGGCCCTGGTCGCAGCGACTCGTGTACTGGCAGATCGAGCCGAAGAAGTACGGCTGGCACGCGCAGCCGCCGTCCGGTAGACGTTCACCGCGCATCGAGCACTGCAAGGATTTTCGGTACTGGGCTGTTAGCGGGGGGGGGGGTATTTTTCGGATGAATCCGTACGGCCCTATAGCAAATGTTAACCATTTTATCAGATTTTAAACAGTGTTTAGTTTAGTTCCCCTCGCTAAACCCCCGCCCCCCGCTAACAATCCAGTACCGGATTTTCCTACGAAAAGTAAGATGACCCCTCACATGATCAGTGAGGTTGTACTCGCACAAGTCGCCGCTCCACCCGTCGTCGCACATGCACGGCTGGGCGAACATGAGCTTGTTCGGGTCGTAGCGCGTCCCGAGTGACTTGCCGTGCACTGGAAATTTGACTGGTTTAATATGGAAAACGTTAGTATGTCTAGAAAAATGTTTTTTTTTGCAAAATCGACCTTTTTCATCGAAAAAGATAATTTTGGCTTTTTTATAAATATGGCGAATATGGCGCCCTTACCGCAAGCGAAATCCGTGCAATTCGGGCCGGTGTTGGGCGGGATGCAGTGGCAGTGGTTGCCGGCGAGAATTCCGCCGTATCGGCACGGCGACGTCGGGTCGTCTTTTTTGAGGTTGTCGATGACGTCTCGACGCGAGAGTCGCCGCCTCGTGCTATGGTAAGCTTTAGAAAAGGGTATTGGTAGTCAGTATTGGTTGCTAAAAATGATAGTGCTAAAGCGCTAAAGTTTGTATCAAAAAAGATTGGCTTTTGATCAAGAATCTATGAAAACATGCTAAAAATTTTCAATTTTCAAACCTTTCAAAAAGATTTTTCTGACTTTTTAGGTTTCAGAAACCAATAAAAAATCGTAAATAAAAATGAATTGTGTTTTATTACTATGGAGCACAATCCCCCGCCCCCGCTAAAGAAAAAGAGCCGCAAAAATTACATGCGTTAGTCGTTTTAAAGTTAAAAACCCGCGTTAAAAACGCCTGCCTCAAAATGCCAATCCCGCCCGTCGTCGCCGTGATCAGAAATGCGAGGTAGAACGCGATGACGATCAGCCGCATGCCACTAATCGACCGCATACATCGTTCACCGGGCGCCCCTAACAAACGGTGGCTGGGAGGGCGTTGATGGACGGATTTTGTAAACTATCGGAAATAGGCAGGAAAGCACGGTTTATCGCTGATCGAACCGATCAGCGCGTGGGACTTTCTAGAAAAGGCAGAATAAAAAACCCATCAGAAAACTTAAAATCAGAGAAATCAGAAAAACTTAAAAGGAAAATTTTGTGATGCGGCACAGAGCTTGACATTCTGAAAATGCCTCGCATTTCAAACATGTACAAACTTGATGAAAAATACACAATTATCGCTTTTTCGACCAGAAATAGCCGTTTTTTTATCAAACTTTCGACTTTTTGAAAAAGTTTCAACGTTTTTAGATAGTTTTTCTATTTGCAAAATAGTTTTAATTTATTAAAACATTATGAAAATACTTCCTATTAAATTACTAGGCATCTCTAGATTAAAACAAAAAAACAAAAAATTCAGCGCTTTTCGAGCGAGGTCTTTCAGGTCTTTCGGACTTAAAAAGCTTACGCGTCGTAAAATCGATTATTTAACACCTAAAACAACTTGTTGTCAGCGCAGACCAATCGATAGAGATCGTTCGCGAAGTGCAGAACGGAAAGTTAAAATTTTCGCAGCTCGCGCGAACCCAAAACCGCAAATTCGCCCGAGAACCCTCAAAAAAAACGGGGGTAATAAGGCCGATAGGTAGACGGGCGCAAAAAAAAAGAAGGTTGGCTACAGACATGCTCTACCCAACGCGCTGATCACCATCGCGAGATTTATGGGCGATCAGCACAGGGTTGGGCTATCCATATCACCGCCGCCGCCCGGAGAACTGATCGATGCGGTCGCTAATCTCTCAAGTCTCGCGCGCAAGCGCGGCTCAACGGTTTTGCGCGCTCGGGTACGCGGGTAGGCGTGCTGAATCACCGCGCGCGCCGAGATTGATATGCGGACGCCGGGAAACTCGTGTTCTGCGGCGGAAAACAGAAGTTGGTTCTGCACTGTTGCCGGTGGGGGAACCAACTTTTTCCCCGATTCTCTACGGCCCGATAACAAAATGCAAACCATTGTTATAGCATTTTTAAGATTTTTAGATATAAAAGAATATAAAAATAAATAAGAAAAATTCTCGAAAGTATGAAACTTTTTTGGTTAACTTTTTGGTCAAAAATGTATGAAAAATGACCAAAAAAGGCCAAAATGTTCGTATTTTGAAAATTTTGAAAATGTTTTATGTCTTTCTAGCGATCAAAAAGTGGTAGAGGCGACAAAAAAAACAAAAAGTGCTTCCCCGCCCGTTAAAAGTACAGCACCTAAAAGTTGTGTGCCCTGCTCGGATTTTCCCTATCAGATGGAGCGCAATAAGTTTATCAACATAAATTCGTAAAATCCCGTAACATTCGCAAGCGTTGCTCAGGCGTCGTCCCCACTGCCGAGCTTGGCCTTCTTTTCCGCGACCTCCTCCTGAAAAGTAGGGTTTATTAACGCAAAAAAAACTAAAAGGCTGCCTGTGCTGAAAAAAGCTACACCTCGCGGGCCGTCGTTGCCGCTATACTCGAGCGCCTTTTACGACTATTACGGACCTTAAATTTGGTTACTGTCATGCCAAAAGAGGGACGGACACTGGCGCTGTGAATTCCACGGACAAACAACACGTAAATCGGTGCTTTGGCAATATCGGGGGGTCTTTTGGCCACAAAAATTCAAAACACTTTTTGTAATTTTCAATAAAAAATTGTAGTTTTTTCGTTTCGGAATATTAGACAATTTAGGAAGACCTCCGGTAAACAATATTAGAAAAAGTGGATCCCAAGCAAAATGTTGGTCCCACCGATATTGCGTAAGAACCGATATCTCACGCTCGAATCGAAAGTACAGGTAAATTTTTACAACTTTATAGGATATCCGAAAATTCATGTGTAAAAAATCTAAATTCTCAAAAAAAAAACAACCTCCATCTCCTTGTCGACAATGGGGAGGGCCCGTCGGGCCATCTCGATGGCACCCTCGCGGGTTTTGTGCCCGCCGATGAAGCCCGTCATGTGCACGAATACGCAGCTAAACAATAAATGGAAGGTGGTGGCCATACGGATTTTAAAGATAGCCCCCAATAAATCACAAAAATCTACCCTTCAACACCGACAACACTGGAAAGCTCCTCGTCCCTCAAGCCTCGCCACTTCTTTGGTAGGGGTCCGCTGAAAACAAAAGTTTCTCTAATAATTCTCGGAACTACCGGTTTTGGAAGTTGGCTCTCCTGTCGCTGGGGATAGCCTGGACGCGCCAGCCGGAAGACGTCGAGTCGCCAAAGAGCATGTAAGTCATGCGCGAACCGGTCAGGCCCTGAAATCCAAAATTGGACTTTTAAACTTTCAAATTAAGCTGAAGTCTGCCTAGTAATGAGTTGTTCATCCACGTTTTCTAAGGAAATGTTGAACTTTGATTAACTTCACATAAACGACATAAACACATAAAAGCGTGTTTTCCCCCGCAAAAACAGAAGCGTGAAAAAAATTCTGTGAAAACTTTCTCAAAACAGCCACCCACCAGCGTTTCCTCAATATCGAAAAAGTGCTCTTTCCACGGCACACCCCCGTTCTCCATCGTCAGAATTCGGCCAGACGGATCAATCTAAGATTAATCAAAATCTTTTGGGAAGTTGAAGCTTACCGCTTCTCGATTCTTCACCGACTCGACGACAATTTGCCGTGCAGGCCACCAGACGCCATTCAAATAGTGCAAGTGCTCGAGGAACGTCCCGCCGACCAGTTTCATAGCATCGGTGAACCTAAAAACAGGCAACTTAGATCCCAAATAGCAAACGCACCTTGCGTTGGGGTTAACGTCGTCTTCATTCCAATTCGGATTCAAGCCGCCGACCCGAGCGGAAATGCTATCCGACGAGAGATACCTAAACTTGAATTATGGGAAATTGAGACCCCAAGCGCACCTGGGCACCCCATCATACTGCTGAATTCCGTTATCGACGGCGTCAATCTGCTCGACGAACGTCTCATAGAGTCGGCGATAAAAGATGTTCACCCGAGGGTCATCCTGATCGATCTTTAGCACCTAGAAGAAATTAAAAAACTAAACCGCGCAGCCGCTGCGCTCACCTCAGCAATAATCGCTCGGCCATAGTGGGCGTAGATCAGTCCGGCCGACGAGAGTTTCGTCGAGAAATCGAGGATACCAAGCGACTGCATTGAATTGTCGAAGTCCCTAGACGGAAATTTCTTGAAGACGAGGACGCTTACTTTTGGTGATGATCATATCGCTTCTTATCATGGCTGTAAACGCCACCGACATCCACGACGACGTCGCACGCGTCGAGCACGGCAGGATCGCGGCTTCTAAAAATGCGATCAGGATAAGTTCAACTAAACCTGCCTCACGATCTCGTATCCCTTGAAAGTTGGCAGTTCCTTCAACATGAAGCAGGCGAACGCCTCGTCACAGTGGAATTTGCCGTTATGGGTGCCGATCTTCCCCATAGCTATAAACAGAGGGTGTAGATGAAATTTGGAAAACCTCTAGCGGCACGGGCGATCAGCCTTGTGAAGTTTTTACAAGAAATAATGTCTAAATAACGAGCATAAACTGAAAAAAGAATAATTATTTAGCACCAAGTGCCGATTGTAAATCGAATTTTGGCCAACGATGATGAATCAGGCAGAGAATAATAGCTTTATCAAATCCCTAAAAATTAAAAAAGACAATCGGTGAAAAATCGGCAAAATCCTAAATACCCGCACCAATATTTCTTATCGGCTAATAGACCAAAAATCACAAATGAATCCTCTATCACTAGAAAAAATTCCTTACAAATTTCGAGACAACATTCACAAAATAGGGGATATGGTGTTCGGCTCGTCGAAGGGCTGTCGCATCCAGCACCGAGGAGTACTCGAAAAGACGGGAGCATTCCTCCTTCAACCTCGATTTCAGCTTCTCGTTCTTGGTGACCAAGAGTACTTGGGCTTCCAGATCGCGGTGAACGGAACGATAGCCTGAAGCGTCATAAAAACGAGGTTCTTTCGCATTATCGGGGGGAACCAATTGTTTCTTAGGATCTAACTTTGAAAATCAAATAGTGGAAATCTGTTTCTAAATGGTTTTTACTAGTCCTAAACGGGACAAAGTAGCGAAATTAAAAAATTTCCTAAAATCCCGATTTTTCGACTTTCACAAGCTTTGAGACAGTTTTTGCGACTAGACACGATAACGCGAAAGAACCCTGATGAAGCTAATTGAAACCTTAAGCAATAAATACCATAATTGCTGGACCCAATCAATGTAGCCGCCACACCCTCATCGCACATCCATAGTCCTTTCGCGTGGAATGTCCAGCCGGGCCGCTTATATTCTCGGAGATCGATCTAAGGACAAAGAACTGTTTTTAGGGCTCAAAATGGCACCTGACGCTTCGAATTCCGCCCAGAAATTTTCAGAAAATCCTTGGCGATCCAGGAGTACATGCTAGGCACGTATTTCGAAGCTCCGGCCGCCCCGAAAAATCCGTTGGCCTAAAAACAGCGTCGGCGAGAGAATTCTACAATCTACCTCTGGCGCAGCGACCAGCACCTCCATCCCGTACTCTCCAACACCAAAAATCCGCTCGATATACTCGTCGATACAGTTGAAATATCCGGACGCCATAATTATTTCCAGTGCCGATGTCTAGAAATATGAAACTTGGTAAAAATGGGCGCTCCAACCTTCGTCTCAAATAATCTCTTCAGAAAATCATATTCTTGATGGATGTTGAAGGGGCCCATTTGGAGAAGCGGATAAAGGAAGGTGTCGGCCCCTAGGAATCCAATTAAATCGTTTTTACCAAACCCGCAGAACCTTGATTCATCGAGCGGATCGACACTTTCAGCCGTTCTATACACCCTTCAATCTGCTTCTGAAAGCGCCGTCGATATTCAACAGAATCACCTAGAAAAGGCAACTTTTTTAGCAATTACCTAAACTAAAACCCTACCTAAAAACGGGTGCACCTCACACTCCCGGTGAGGTATCGCCGAGCCATCAGGTTGCAGTACGAAAGAAGATTTAGAAACCTAAGAAGAAAATTTTCTTGTTTAGGAAACCTTTTTTACCTCTGCTATAACATCACAGAAAAAGTTGGCCAGCTCGGGCACATTCTTGAACAAAATATAGCGGTCTTGTCGATTAGTAAAGTAGCTATCGGAGAGGTTAGCACTAAAAGCTAAATTCCATGAAAGAATCTATCGCAAACCCGCTGATAAGGACGTTATCGTCAAAAATATACAACTTCATGTGCTGGAGGCCAACAATTTCGTTCGTCCTTTCCGGCAAGAGGCGCTTGATGAAGCCGCTGAGTTCTGGGGTGTGGTAGAGGGAGACCTAATTGACAATATAGTCAGTCAAGATGGTTTCCGAACCTGGGCACGATCCGCGATTGGCGCCAGTTGAGTTGTGCTGCTCTTTTCTTTTGCTGTGCCTCTCGTCCCTCGCAGATAATCGAGTAATAACGTCATCTCCAAACGGTCGTTTCTTGTAAGAGCTTCATCTAGTGTCGATACCTAAAACACTGATTTTCTCAATAGAACACTACAAGCCTGACCAGTAGCTTCTCGAGCTGCCCCTCTCCAAGGTATAAGCTGCTCCAAAATACGCGTTTTTCCGCCCGTTTCGTCTCATCCTAGAAATGAAAGTCTACAATTCCCGAACAGAAACTCACGATCAAAACCTCGTAGAATTCGCTCGGCTCATTGATGATTTGGATGGACTCTTCGCGGACGGGGATCGCCGGTAAATCCAAATTGAACCAATCCATGCATCTACCAAGCGTTGGCGCAGTTTCTTTGAACTTTTCAAGGAATATTGGCTAGATTTTTGCGGGCAAAACTTTAATAAAACTTCGAAAAAGTTATTGAAAGATGGAGTACGAGGGCTCCTCCTTGCGGAATTGCATGTCGTAAGTGGAGGAGCGATCCGGAATTGGCTTGAACCGATTTGATTTCAATTGAAAAGATTGAATTAGATGGATTTGCTCAGGCTCAGGCTTAGGCTTAGGCTTAGGCTTAGGCTTAGGTTAGGCTTAGGCTTGGGCTTAGGCTTAGGCTTAGGCTTAGGCTTGGAGGTCGACCCGGGAAATAGACCATATCGATAGGCCAACGAAAATTTTAGATTTTTTTATTTTATTTTTTTTTTGCTGGCGATTGCCTCCGGGGTAGATTTTTGCGCTCTTTCGAATGGGAGACTTTTTATGAGCCATTTTCATCCTACGAACAGGTATACCTGCTTAAGTTTCGGCTTAAGCTTGAGAATATGCTATTTTTTTGGGGTTAAATTCCCAGTTTCTCTGATATTTTGCCGAACGCCAAAATTATATTAGGTAGCATTTATTGTTGCTCTGATAAATTATGCGTAACCGTTGTCGATAGCCGTCCATCCTTCCGGTTTCTCCGGACGGCTCTCCGTCGTCCGGTGCACCTCCGGGAATTCTGGCTGGCAAATCGGGGCTCGGCCGCGGGTGCCCGGGATCTCGGCGCAAATCTCCCAGGCTTCACAGTCGGCCCAGCTCTCGCACGGGCGATCTTTAAATGGAAATTTTTCCTTGGTACTTTGGCATTATCGGTAACGATAATTTTCTTAAATGGTCTCTGCTAGTCTGCCCGATCATTGAAGCTTTTTTAAAACTTCCCAGCCCATTTAAACGCAATCCTTGCCCCTTCTCACCTCCAATCGGCGGCCAGGCAACGGCTGGGGAGGATGCGAATGCAAATAAGAATACAAAAATAAAGGATAGATATATTTTAGGAAGCATCAGGATGGAATTGATAGAAAACACGTGAAAGTCGTGTGGAAATCCCCAGAAATTTTGGCTGGCTTCTGGTGATTCAGGCGCTGCGGCGAATGTGGGGGATCTGGGCGCGATGACCGGTTTCTACTTGCGGATTGGGGCACTTTTTAGGGTGCGTGACCCGATGGAGGGACGAATGTTTGTGCCCTAAGGGTATTTTCTCGGAAATTGCCTTCCGGGGGGTTAGCAGACATTGTTGAGGAAGAGGAGAGGGTAGGCTAGCGGAGATTGTTGAGGAAGAGGAGAGGGCAGGCTAGCAGAGATTGTTGAGGAAGAGGAGAGGGCAGGCTAGCAGAGATTTTTGAGGAAGAGGAAAGGGCAGGCTAGCAGAGATTGTTGAGGAAGAGGAGAGGGCAGGCTAGCAGAGATTTTTGAGGAAGAGGAAAGGGCAGGCTAGCAGAGATTGTTGAGGAAGAGGAGAGGGCAGGCTAGCAGAGATTGTTGAGGAAGAAGAGAGGGCAGGCTAGCAGAGATTGTTGAGGAAGAGGAGAGGGCAGGCTAGCAGAGATTGTTGAGGAGCTTATCAACATAGCAGATATTTTTTTGGGGTCTCAAGTGTATTTTCACCATTAAAATCCTCAAATCTTTATCAGGCACATTAAAATCTCACTTTACCAACAATAAAACACATTTCAAACAAGTGGCGCACAGAAAAAACGGCTGTTGACAAGTGACATCGCCTGAGGGCCCGAGGAAACGGACAGGGTCGGGAAAAGCCACTTTTAAAGGACCCGGCAAGGTAGGATATCAGCCATTAGTGCGCCTGCAAATTTTCACACTTCCCCGGCCGTGTCCCCCCTCGGGCGCACTACACATTCTCGATAGACCCGATACGACACAGACACAAAAAAAAGGAAAAGCGAGGGCTGGGCCACGGCAGTCGAAACAAGTCTTAGAAGGCGATCGGAAAGCCCAGCCCCGGCACAAAAACATCAAAAAAATTGCCAAAAAATACACTGAAACGAAATCTTTGCATAGCACTTGGTGGGGGGGAAGGCATTATCGACCAAAAAAAGCGTGTAAAATAAAATACAATAAACTGAACTTTACGGGTATAAAGGGTAATCTCACGGGTTTCGCTTTGTTTTCTGGGCTGATACAAAATACAACAAATAAAAAATCTCAAATTTGTAAGTTGAAAGGGATTGTGAAGTCAGATTTCTGGATTTAAAAAAAAAAGAAATTCTCTGCTAACCTGCCCCTCCTCTTCCTCAACAATCACTGCTAGCCTGCCCTCCCCCCTTTCCACGAAAATCTCTGATGGCCTGCCCTCTCCACTTCCTCAACAAGCTCTGCTAGCCTGCCCTCTTCTCTTCCCCGACAATCTCTGCTAGCCTGCCCTCTCCTCTTCCTTAACAATCTCTGCTAGCCTGCCCTCTCCTCTTCCTTAACAATCTCTGCTAGCCTGCCCCCGTCTGACTTCAGCGTCCCTTTAAACTTACAGTAAGCTGCCGTCTTGTCACCATTTTTCGAGATTTCAGGAATGTTTAAAGGGGATGAAACATCCATAAATTACAGTATCCGGCAGCATCCTTTCCGCTGTCGGGCCCTACTCTGCACGTAGTTCATCTCGCGTACGATTTCCGCGAACGTGACGTTCACCTGAAACGATTTTTACGATTTTCTGGGCCTAAGCCTGAGCCTGAGCCTAGAAATTGGAAATAATATAGGATTGAGGAACGTTGAGCCTTGAGTCTTCAGAACCTACGTTATGTGCATTTTTGGCCGAGCACTCGGTGAAGGGGCACGACCAGAATTCGGCGAGGGCCAGCCCCTCCTCGGTCCGTACTTGCCGCTGATGACCCAGGTCGCACTTGTTGCCGACGAGCAGAATGGGGACTTGTTCGGTACCCTGGAAAAAGGCGATTGAAGGGGAGAGAGCATGCTAGCAGAGATCGTTGAGGAAGAGGAGACGGCAGGCTAGTAGAGATCATTTGGCCGTGCCCACCTTGACCCTGACGATCTGCTCGCGCATCGTCTTGATGTCGTGGAACGTCTGCTGGCTGGTGATCGAGTAGACGACGACGAAACCCTAGAAAAGGTGGGTTTAAAGGGGCGTTGAAGGTAGAGAAACGACCTGAACCAAAAATTTTAATTGGAATAACGCCACCCACCTGCCCATTTTTAATGTACAAATCGCGCATCGACGCGAACTGCTCGGTGCCGGCGGTGTCGAGAATCTCCAACACGCATGGTTGCCCGTCTACCTGAAACCGTGGGTTTGAGAAAATTCCTCAACAATCTCTGCTAGCCTGCCCTCTCCACTTCCTCAAGAATCTCTGCTAGCCTGCCCTGGGCTCATCTCTTCCTCAACTTGAACGCACCTCGATCTCCTTCCTGTAAAAATCCTCAATCGTCGGATCGTACTTCTCGATAAAAGAGCCGGAGACGAACTGGACCGTCAACGCCGACTTGCCCACGCCGCCCGAGCCGAGCACGACCACCTTGAACTCGCGCATCAACCCCTGGAAATTGGAGGTATGAACGTACGAAGGAATGTAAGGAACGAAGAAAGTCATGAAGAAAGGTTTAAATGTAAGGGAAAGGCCGCCAAAAATGGATTTTCCATTGAATTTCCCGCCTGCTGAATCATCACTTTTCAAGCAGGAAAAAATAAGCAATTCCCGATGACTCAAAAAAAGCTCGATTCACATGTTTTGTTTTGAAACCGGGACGCTACTAAAAATGGCATGCGTCAGCGTGAAAAATAGCGAAATAGAAATTGTAAACAATTGGCGTAGGCCTAGGCTTCGGAATGGGATAGACTTAGGATTGAACTTAGGCTTAGGACCCGGCACAGGCTGGGGCTTAGGCTTAGGTTTTGGCACGGGCTTAGGCTTAGGCATAGGCTTCAATCAGGCTTAGGCTTCGGTATATATAGGCTTGGGCTTGGGCTTGGGCTTAGGCTTATTAGGCTTGGGCCTAGTTAAGCTTAGGGCTTAGGCTAGGCTTAGGCTTGGACTTGGGCTTGCTAGACTTAGGCTTAAGCTCAGCTATCTGTTTAAAACTAAAACTTGAAAAAACTAAGCAGAGAATGGCAAAGTTCTAATTCTCAAGAAATTAGCGTTTTTTATAGCAAAGTAAAATTTAAAGCGAGTATTTCAGGCTTCGTTTTCACTTGCGGAGCATCTGATTTACAATGACGGTCGTTCCAAAAAACACCGGAAACACTTTAAAAATGTATGGATTGGCGGGCGCGAGGTGGAGTTTAGCCGATTTTGAGGCAACTACGCGACGCTCCGCCCGCACGCAAAGCGACGCCCGGCTTTTTGAAAGGTGGGGGAAATTGGGTGAACAAAGAGGACCCCCTTACAATAAAAAAATTCCCGTAGTCACCGAAAGAAACTCTGCTAGATGCCGTGCTCGGAAGCTTCCCAGGGCCTCTGTTAGCCTGTCTGGAGCGTGTCTTTCCTCAATGGCCTCTGCTCGCTCACTACTAGAATGCCCGCAGGCCATAAAATGGTAGATGATTGGTTCGGGGGGCGGTGTGGATGGGTGGTATAATCTGATAGGCCGAGGTCAGCGGGCAGGGACGGCATTAGCCATGCTCCAATGCCTAGCGAGCACCAGTAGTCGGGGATGGGCGGCCTAGCAGAGATCGTTGAGGAAGAGAAGAGGGCCGTCTAGCAGAGATTGTTGAGGAAGAGGAGAGGGCACGCTAGCAGCGATAAATATAAAATTTTTAAAATTTCAAGGACCATTGAAGTGAAATCTTTACAGCCACCGAAGACAAACAGCGCATAATATCCAGCGCGCCTAGTAGAACCTGTTGAATGGTGCGGGAGGGTGGGGTAGGGGCGTGTCCCCCCCTTCAGTTTGCATAATTGCTGACAGATGTGCAATAAAGAGGGGGTGCGGCCGGCGAGAGAGCACGGGAAATGGAGAGGGACAGGCAGGGGAACAGACAAACAGGGGGTGCCAAACGGTTTATCGCCGAGTCGAATCTCGCCCCCCCCCCCAACCCCGGGTCCGGCACCCTCGATGATCAAGTGGCTTTGGGTGTGCGGCAGATTAATCGGCTGTCTGTTGCTGGCTCTCTCTCTCTCTCGCTCTCTCTCTCTCTCTCTCTTTCTCTCTCTTGCCTTGGCTACATCTGCTTTGTGTTTGCAGGAAAAATGAAAAAAGCCTGTGGAAACACTTTAGCGGCTAAAGGTTCTGCAAAAGATCTCTGCTAGCCTGCCCTCTCCTCTTCCTCAACAATCTCTGCTAGCCTGCCCTCTCCTCTTCCTCAACAATCTCTGCTAGCCTGCCCTCTCCTATTCCTCAACAATCTCTGCTAGCCTGTCCCCTATATTCCTAAAGAATGCTGGAATGCTATATAGAACAGCTTGGCGGTTGTGTGGTGGTGATGATGGGTGTTCGGAGAAATGTGGCCTGACAGCACAAAAAACAGCAAAAAGCGCCCGGGAGGAGGTGTCGATGGGAGCGGAGCGAAAATGGGCCAGCTGCCTAGGGCGAAATTATGCCCTGCAAGTGTATCGTGGTGGGGGTGTTCGAGAAGTTAAAATGACAGGGTTACTGGCCCGCGGAGGTTAGGATTTTAAAGGCATCGTGACAACCAAAAAAAAATTATTTAAAGGGAACGTGACAATAGCAAAATTAGCTTTACAGGAACCAGGAAGTTTCAATAACGTCTTGAAGCTGAAAATCCTTTTGAAGGGTCAAAACCGCTTGAATTTTTCTGAAAACACGGATTAATAGCAAAATATCGTGATAATATTAATAAAAGCGCTACCGAAAAATTGGGCCACCCGTGCCGGCCGAAAAAGTCGCAATTTTCAGCTGCTTTCCGGGGGTATGGATGGCCCCAAAATCAAATTCCCGTCCCCGGGGTCTCGTTATAGTGGGAGTCTATCTTTTTCGTGTCTTGCACGCTTTCTCTCTGCCTCTCTCGTTCTCGCTCCTTCGCTCTCTCTCTCTCTCTCTCTCTCTCTCTCTCTCTCTCTTTCGCTCTCGCTTTCTCTGTCTGAAAAATATCTTCCAAAAGACGGTTATTCTAAAAATACTGAAGCAAGAATTTTGGAAAAATTTGGCGTTAAAGACAAAGAGCGAGAGAGAGCGATAGAGAGAGAGAGCGAGTGAGAGAGCTAGATAGAGTGATCAGGGCAAGCTAGCAGAGATTCCTTAAAGAAACCTCGAGTAGGCTGAAGAAAGCGGAAGTTCGGTCGACCCGAAAAAATCAATCAACAGTCGGTAGGGAGGGGGGAAGGTGACGGGAGGAATTGGGGGGGGGTCCGTTTAGAGGAAAGATCGGAAAAGGGACAAGGGGTGGAAAGGACAGCGAGGGAGAGGAGGAAGAGCAGAGTGTATTTCGGCTGGAAATGGTTCGCTAGAGGCGATAAGAATTCCTCAACAAGCTCTGCTAGCCTGCCCTCCTCCCAAATGATCTTTGCTAGCCTGCCGCGCTAATCCCCACTACAAGGAACACCCCCAAAAAAGCGGCTGCTAGGCCAAACAACAGACCCCGGCCGGGGGGTCGCCACTGAGGGACCGAGCGGGGGCCTTCTTCCGGAAGTGGTGCCCCTCTCAAAGAATCCCACTCAGTTTGCCTCTCTAGAATACGAATGGATACTCTGTCCACTCGCCTTTCAACATCTCTCCATAGTACTCGAGAGTATCGAAAGGGGCGCCAGATTAAAGGCGAGGTCCCGAAAGGCAGGGCAGGCTAGCAGAGGTTTTTGAGGAATAGGAGAGGGCAGGCTAGCAGAGATTGTTGAGGAAGAGGAGAGGGCAGGCTAGCAGAGATTGTTGAGGAAGAGGAGAGGGCAGGCTAGCAGAGATTGTTGAGGAAGAGGAGAGGGCAGGCTAGCAGAGATTGTTGAGGAAGAGGAGAGGGCAGGCCAGCAGAGATTCTTGAGGTTAAACTCCAAAATTGGGCTGTATTTATGCAAATTTGCTATAGAAAGGAGACATTTTGGGGGGTGACGCGGGCTGTATGGGGCGGGGAGGGGGCTAAGACGAGTTGATGAATGGCCCTCCCCCCTTAAAAGGAGCGGGATGGGCCATCTGCTGTTGTGGGCCCCCATCATCAACGCGTTCCTAGCTCCTTGTTTTCCCCGCCGTTCGGCAATAGCCTGAAAACGGGCAGGCTAGCAGAGATCTTACGCGGAATTTTAGAGGTAGTAGCAATATTTTGGAATTTCGATAATTTGGTAAGTGCTAGGCAAGCACAGATCACTTCAGGAATGGGGCCCAGCAAGAAAACTTTGACGATTTTAAGCGCACAAAAACTAAAATTTAAGTGCGGCAAGCTAGCAGAGACCACGGCAGGATGTAGGCTAGCAGAGGTTCTTTGATGGGCTTAAGGACAGGGTAAACTAGCAGAGATCATCTCAGGAATTCGCAGAACGTGGTAGATTGGCAGAGGTTCGTAAAAAAATTTAGACTAGGCATGCTAGCAGAGATTCGTTGAGGAATTTCAGAACAAGGATGAGCGAGCAAAGATTAGCAAAAAAAGAGACAGGGGCAACGCAGCAGAGATCATTTAAAGAATTTCCTAGCATGATGCAGGCTGGCATAGATTCTTCGAAAAGCCTAATTCGAAGGCAAGCTGGCAAAGATACATACATAGCGCGCTGTGAGCAAATTCGGCTTAGTTGCGCGATAGCCCGGGCTAGCGTGTGTGTCTCATTTGATTAGCCCATTTGCCGCCCAGCCGGGCAACTAAACAATATGAAAAAGAAAACTGCGAATGAGGGGTGGGCTGTCACGATAACTGGACCGCCGGCTGCTGTGGGGCCCGTATTCCGCGTCCGGTTCCGCGCGGAGTACACAGCGCGGGAAGACGGCGCGTGAAATGAAAAACAAACAATGGGACGACCGGGTGTGCGCTAGCAGAGATTTTTGAGGAAAGGGGGAAAAGGTTGTAAAAACAATGATCTGTTTCGACATCTTACTTTGCCGAGAGCAGGCTAGCAGAGATTGTTGAGGAAAAGGGGAGGGCAGGCTAGCAGAAATTTTCATATCCCTAATTACCATAAAACACTTCGCAGAGCTCCGACGCCCGCAAAAATGCTAAACGATCTCACTTTTTCTACGCTTGGACAACCACTCGCTTTCTTAAAGCTTCACTACCACTACTACGGTAGTCTTAACAATACGTAGGTGTCCAACGGAAATTTCTTTCCAATTCCGCTTCAGTCCCTTTCACGATGGGTCGTCTGCGCGTCGCTATGCTTTTACTTGTGGGTTTCTTTTTTCAGCAATCTCTGCTAGCCTGCCCTCTCCTCTTCCTCAACAATCTCTGCTAGCATGCCCTCTCCTCTTCCTCAACAATCTCTGCTAGCCTGCCCTCTCCTCTTCCTCAACAATCTCTGCTAGCCTGCCCTCTCATCTTCCTCAACAATCTCTGCTAGCCTGCCCTCTAATTATCGAATTTTCAGGCTCTTCTGCTCTGCCAATCGGCGTTCGGTCAATTTTCGGAAGATGACAGCCCTCCCAAAAATGTGCCAAAAACAAAACCGCCAAAGGGTCCATCCAAGCCGCCGTCCCCTCAGCCATCCGTTGAGCCCGAAGAGCCGGAGCCGTCACCATCACCTGGTGCTCCTCCATTCCCCATGCCTTCTCAGAAACCCAAAGGAGGATCACCCAAGCCGGCCCACAACGAAACCAGCGATCAGACACCGTCCCCAAGTACCGGGAAACCGGATCAACAGGTTGGGACATCCGAAAGTGTCTAGCTCGCAGCTTCCCCCCCCCGCTAGCAGCCTAGTACCACTCCTGCTTCAGAATGGCGAGATCGTGCCGACGCAAAAGCCGTCTGGCGCTCCGCCGACGAACGTGTCGGTGTCGTCGCTCCCGCCCCCATCGCCAAGCCCTTCGGCCGATTTCCCAGGGCCCAGCCTTCCGACTGAGCCGTCGAACGAGCCATCCGACGAGCCGTCGAACGAACCGTCGAACGATCCGGTAAGAAAATCGACCATGGTTTTTGAGCAATATCGGGGGCGGGGCTTAGGGCCTAAGCCTGGACTTAGCCTGGGCTTAGCTTAGGCTTAGGCTAGGCGTAGGATTAGGCGTAGTCGCGCGGATAGACGAAAGAATCTCATCCTTCTCCTCTAGCTGAATTTCAGCCAAACGGCACGTCATCCGCTTCGCCGCCGGTGCCCGGGCCCAAGCCGTCGGCGAGTAGCACGATCGACCCGCCTTCGGCGACCCCGCCGCCGCCGCCATCCGCGACGCCGAGCAGTACCAGCACGACCACCACCACCACGGTCAGCCCCACCACCGCCACCACAACGGCAAGCACGACGGCTGCGACGACGACGCCGAGGTACTACACGTAGCGTACCGTAACCTTAATTGGAAAAAATTGGTCCTTTTGCATTATCGGGGGGATGGATCATTTCTAAGGCCTAATTCTTTATATAAATAGAGGAAGTGTTTCCACTCTTTTTTTCAACTATTCCTATGCAATTAGTTGAAAAGCACCAAATTTTCAGCTCCACCACAGCACCACCGCCGCCAAAACCCCCCGTCAACCCTTCAAGGCCCTCCCTGAGCACCAAGAAGTCGACAACCCCGGCCCGTAGCGACCCGTACGCCGAGGGCGCCAACGAGTGCGTAAAGTTTTCCTCAAAAAAATCTCCGCTAGCCTGCCTGCCCCAGCTCACCGCTCCCATTTATAGCGACGACTCGAGCACGACGGGCTGGTGGATGTACGGGGTGGGGGCCCTGCTGCTGTCGGTGCTCGTCTGCTTGGTGGTGGGCGTGGTGGCGCTGCTCGTCGTCAAGTACCGCCGGCGCACAAGCTCCAGGGGCAGCCGCGGATCGCAGGCATGTGCTTCCCCTTCTGCGCCTCGGTGATTACCTGAAAATCGACGAAAACCTACGAAAACTCACAAAAAAATTGGCAATTTTTGCCGAAAAATCGAGTATCGATCTCTTTATAAAAGGAAATAATTAAAAAATTTATCAATCTCTGCAGGCAACGCTCACGTCGAAGCAGCTGCAGTCGCAAAAGTCGGACACGAACACGCAGAAGACGGTGCACACCGAGCAGGAGACGCGCAACAAGGATGCCACCCCCAACGACCTCGAGTCGCAGGTCGTAAAGCTCGGCGGCCACCACCAAAACATCACCGCTTCAGACGGCGCTCCGCCCGTACCACATCCCGCCCGAGCAGTTCCACTACAAGGGCCCCGTCGTGCTGCACAACGCGTTTGCCGGGCCCAAGGTCGGCCTAGAGAAAAACCCGGTTCTTTTGCATTATCGGGGGGGTCTCAGGATTCTATTTTTTAATAAATGGTGTAAGTGTTTCTTACCGGTTTTTTACTATTCCTAAACGCAAAAACTTTACAAATTTTTATTGAAAATATCAAAAATATCGATTTTTCCACCAAAAATGATCGATTTTTTACAAAAATTCCTACTTTTTAAACATTTTTGAAAGTTTTTTGGCAATTTGTCTAGCTGAAATATTTTTTTTACCAAAAACACTATTAAAACGCTTCCTAACAAATTACTAGACCTTTCTTGACAAAAAATTGCCCCTCCCCCCGATAATGCGAAAGACCCGAAAACCCCACACAAAACCCCCAAATCTCTACAGAAGCACCGCTACGACGACGAAAAGTCGACCTCGCTGAAGGGGATCCAGTGGGACGACCAGGCCCACGAGGCCGCCGAGATCGGCTCCCATGTAGAACAGATTGTGGTGCGTCACCAGCAGCGGTTCCCCACCTACACAACCCCCCTTTTTCAGGACGTGGCCCCCGAAGAGGAGCAGAGCACGATGCCGTCGGGCAGCGGCCCGATCGAGCCCGACTACGGGCCGTCGCTGGCCGAACCCGCCCAGCCCGTGCCCGCCGAGGCCCCGGCCCCGCCCAAGCACAAGTCCAAGAAGCGCAAGTCGTCCGAGGAGAAGAAGAAGCCGCGCGTCAAGCGTGTACGCCGCCCCGCACACCATTGATTGGATTTACACGTCGAACAGATGAATGGAATAAATATTTTGAACTGGCCAAGCGGATGGGGGATGGGTGCTGGACTGTTATCGGGGGGGGGGGGAGGGGAGGGGAAAATTTTTCCCAAAAAAATCTTTTTTTGTTAAAGAAATCTATAAAACATCTTTTCGTGTTTTATGAGGTTTTTAGATTTTAAATTTTCGAATATTCTTGGCTTTTTGATCAAAATATCAAATACGCTATTCGTTATTAACAGGCTAGTATAGACAGAAGAACAAATATCAGTTTCCCCGGTAGAGCCTCTCCCGATAACAGTCCAGTACCGGGGGTGGCGCCGATCGCATGATTCTCACGACGCCACGGTCATCTACATACACTTGAACTTGTTCGAGCGCCTCGCTTGTTACAGATCTTCCTTGAACAGCCTATCGAGAAGGCACCAGTGGGGACAGCGCTAAAACGGAAACCACGCGCGAGCGGCCGCGCTCAAACAAAGCCCGCGCTGGCCTCCTCGCCCCGAAGGCGTTTCTTCTGACTTCGGAGGTGTCATGCCGCCTCGACGCATGTCTCGGCCCGCAGCTGTGCCCCCGAAATCGCACGCTCATTCTTTCTTGGCCATCAACCCACGAAACGAAGCGGCGCGCTGCCCGGAAGAATGCCGCGGTTTCTTGCAGCTGTAAGTTACACTTTTCGCTCGTTAAAAAAAGCTATTACTTCCTTGACCCCGCCACAAAAAGCGGCCTCAAATCTAGTTTAACCCATTTAGACGACACTGCTCCTTGGCGTGGCGATAGCCTACGAAAGATTGCGGCCGATTGAAGTGACAAACAACCACTACAACTCGTTCCCCACAGACCCCTACGTGCCAGATGAAGCCGGCAATGGCATACATCCAGGTGGCTATCAACCCTACGAGTCGGCAGGTGAGGTCAATATAAGATAAAGGGCACCGCTGACTCAGAACAGCCACCACCATTCGAGGTTGAGACCGACGAGCTGCCGCCAATCGAAGAGGAAAGTTTCCCATTGCCCAAGATTCGGCAACGGCCAAAGGTCCGACGCAGCGATAACCACATATTCCGGCGGTCAGTGCAACCTTGCTATCAACAACCCAGTTTAGTATCTCGCAACCCCTGACCCGTGGTTACGGCTCCAACCGCGGTTTCCCGTGGCGGGAGATCGACGCCGAACGGGGCGATGAGTATGATGCGCCCAGAAGACCATGGCTGCCGTGGAAACAGCCCAGAGTTTGGAACCCCAGCAGAGCTGCCCTTCTAGGCACACAAGCGATGCGAAGGCCAATGAACAGAAGCTGTAAGTGAAAAAAAATCTGCAAACTCAAAATAAGCTTTCCAGATTTCCCAAGGATAGCAGCCCCACCGTTCGCCCACAACATCGCTACTAACAACTGGAACACACCGAAGCGCTTCCTACGAGGCGACTGGATTCTTGCCAAATCGAAGGCTTGATTGCATAAATATGAGCAGAAAGAAGTGTATTTTATTACAGCAAACATCATAAACAAATTTATCAACAACGAAACACAAAAGCTTAACGGTAAGATTTCTGGTAGCGGGCGCGGGCTCCGGATCCACCGAACTTCTTCGACTCCCTGCGGCGAGGATCGGAGACGAGCAGGAATTTATCGTAGGCGGCGAACAGGTCCTTCAGCTCCTTCTTGCTCTGCTCATCAACGAATTTCTGGTAGTAGGCGACCAGGGCCTTGGCGATGGCCTGACGGATGGCATAGATCTGCGAGGTGTTTCCTCCACCGTTTACGCGCACGCGGATGTCGACCTCCTGGAAGCGGTCCTTGCCGACGACCAGTAGGGGCTCCTGGAAAAAAGAAATTAAACTTATAGCGCAGTCGAACTTATATTAAAAAATTCGTCTAGCTCTAACAAAAGGCTAAATTGAACGTGTAAAGCCAATGAATATTACCTGGAGCTTGAATCGGAGAATCGGCGGTTGAACGGTATCGATGGGGCGGCCGTTGATCTTCAGCACACCACGGCCCTTCTTGCAGTGGGCGACAGCGGTGGCCGTCCTCTTTCGTCCATATGTTTGGACGGCTTGCGGTTGCGCCGCGACTTGGCCCGACATGTTACCTAAATCGAACATGTCAACGATCCAGGGCGCGCATTCCCACAAAATAATTGGAAAACAGAAAATCGTCAAGATATCTTGGGTATCAAACCCGATCAGAAACCAGACCAAAAGTTGTTCGAACATTAATTTATTCAAACTCAACAAACAACGTAACAATGTGAGACCATTAACGAGTATTAGAGAGGATGAGGGGGTCTTATCCCATAGACTTCTTAGGCTTCGCCCGGTATTCGGCAACGACGACGGCGTGGTCACGTTCATAAGGTTCTAGCGTTACTTGCTCGCGCGGCTTGAACTTCTCTTCCTTCAGTTTGTTGACTTCGCCAGCGAAGACAGCCTCTGGTTCAGCAGTGCTGTCGATGCAGTTGGCCTTGATTGAGATAACGGCGTGTCCTCCATTTTTCAGGAAGTTGTGAGCATTGAGGGCGACGATACGAGCCTGGTCAGGTTGGGCAACATCTGCGAAGATAGCGTCAACCATTCCTAAAAGGTCAAAATAGAACACATTAAAGACAAAGACAACGGTTCAGAACAGGCATAAAGCTTACCAACGAGCATGCGGTATTTGTGGGGATGTCGGGCATCTTCGACAATCGGGACGATATTCGGCCTCTTTTTCGCGACGTTGAGCAGATCACGGCCAGATCGGTGAGAGAATTCGACGGCGTAGACGATACCGCCCTGAAGAAAAAAATATATAGATTTATCCAAAACTGACTCACCGGTCCGACGATATCCGAGCAGTGAGAAACAGTTGTGCCTGAAGCCGCTCCGAGGTAGAGTAGCTTGGTACCCGGCTTGATGTGAGTGTCTTCCAGTCCACCCATCATGGCAGCAGCCAACTTTGAGCGGAAAGGATTCCAGACACGGTACTCCACGGAAAGACCAGCGTCTTCGTCGACAGATACTCTCTTCTCGCCGTACACAGACTCGCCGACGACCATGTTCTTGGTGGCCAGAGCGTCTTCCTTGCCCTTCACAACGAAAACACCTGAAAAACATAAGCAAAAAACTAGAATTTCTAACCTTCGAAACGATGCGGCTCGACGATCACCTTCTTTCCGCCCCTCATGCCACCCGCACCGCCACGGCCACCACCGCGTGGGCTTCCACGACCTCTTGGGCTGCCTCCACGTCTGAAAAACGTATGAAAATAAACACAACGAGAAAAGTCATACCCTCTTCCACCACGATCTCCTCCGAAGCCTCGCCCACGTCCGCCAAAGCCGCCTCGATCTCCGCCGAATCCGCCACGATCACCACCGAATCCACCGCCGCGAGGAGAACCACGGAAGCCGCCGCCACGGTCGCCACCCCGAGGGGATCCACGGAAGCCGCCACCACCACGACCACCGCGATCACCTCCTCTAGGGGATCCACGGAAGCCTGAACAGCCGATGATGGGGGGATGGGGAAGTAGCGTTTCACGGAAGCCCTTCCGATATAAAGCGTAATCATTTCCACCGCCAAGCGGGGATCATTTGCTATCTGAGGGCAAATTTAATACCTCCGTTGCTACCTCCACCGAATGGGACCATCTGAAATGCTGAGTGGTCTAAAAAAAGTCATTGAACGAGATTTTGACGAGAGGCACAGAGGAAACGACGAGTAAGGGATCGTGAAGTGCGTGGGGAAGATGAATTTCGAGAAAATGGTGCGAGAAAGAGCGGCAATTACCTCGAAAGTCTGCGAAAAAGGGTCAAAGGGGTTTTTGTTAGGAGAAATCGCTGGCTCGCAAAGGCGTAAAGGTGTATGGGGTCCTGGCGCGAGCGGGGGTACGGCCGGGAAAGAGACGCCTGGCGGGAAGCCAACTGCAACGCAACACGGCACGTTAGTCAGAACAGGCTTGAGGGAAGGGGAGAGATTGCGATCACACGTGATGCAACAAGATGTCAAAACAATTTTGTTGCAACCGATCAAGCTTGGATCGCCAAGTGGCGTGTTCCACAAATGTCCCACAGTTTTTGTGTGCAAAAATATCCCCTGCAAGTGGCTCTATAAAACTGCTTTCTTTGGATGAAGCAGGCGGGTCTATTCCGATTTCTTTTAGAACATAATTATTTATTTCACATCCTGTCGTTTCTTTTTTTTACATAACTCAGGTCTTTCCTAGTCCTTGTGTGCAAAACTATCGCTACCGGCAGCCGGGGTAAAGAAGATAATTCTTTAGCTCACTTTACCTTTTTGTAAGCTAAATGGACTGCGATTAATGGACTCTGGTCACTGAGGTGACTCTGAGACTGAGGGGTCGTCAGCGTCGAAAAATTAAGCTGACAAATTGCGCCAAAAGAGGGCCGTCGGGCTGAAGGACTGTGGTTATTCAATTCATGATAAAACGACATTTTTTGCATCCTCTCTATATTCATCAATGCGAACCACTGAATCGACATGAATCATCGATTTTTTTTCAGAAATGGACCCCTCGGGAGCACCTCCATTTATGGCATCACGGCGGATCAGCCATCTAAAAGGAGCCAGGTTTGGCGCGTCGGCAATCATAACCCCGACTTAGGTCCGCGGTCTCTCAAATGAACTGGCAGCAGCGGATTTGGTGGGCAATACGAACGCCTATAAGGTTGGAAAGTAGAGCCAGTATTACAAAACCGATTTTCAGGACGTTAATATGTATATCAAACGTGACTATCTTCTTCATCACATACTTTGGCTTTATGTTCCCCGTGATGTGGGCATCAAAAGTGTGGTAGGTGAATGGTTCCTTTCATTTAGCCGTTATTGCAGGCCCCGTTTGTATTGGTTCTGGGAGGGAAAGCTGTATCGGTGGCTACAGGCTTTTCTCGGATATTGGGGCTATACAGCTGGCTATGATGGTAAGCGTTTTTGGAAGTGGTGGATGTTTGGATGCATATTTTATCCCTGATCATGATAATTATCCTATTTAGTCTACGAATACGGCGACGATCTTGCTCAGTGCATCGGAGAGCGCGTCTTGCTAATGTCGAACCATCAGAGCACTGCCGACGTGCCAACACTAATGGCCTGCCTTCAGCATAAGGGCGTCGCCAGTCGAAAGGTGGGTTTTTCGCTTTGACCATCATTCGAAATCCATTTTCCCGATGTAACTCCTCGATTTCAGACCCTGTGGCTGATGGACATGATGTTCCGGTGGACCCCGTTCGGCATCATCGGAAATATACACGGTAAAGCTATTCACCAATTTTAATCCTAGAAGTTTAGGCGACTATTTCATTCAGCAGGGAAAAGCTGGCCGAGACAAGGAGTTGGTTCGGCTGAAGGACCATTTGAAAAACGTCTTTTGGGAGAGGTCGTTTGACGGTTTCTTCTCGGAAATGTCTGTTTTTTAGGGATCGTCGTTGGGTAATCCTGTTCCCGGAGGGCGGCTTTTACTTCAAGCGTATCGAGAGCAGCCAGGCGTGCGTTATTTTCCGATGTCCTGGAGCTCGCTTTTTAGATACGGACAGAAAAATGGATTCCCGCACACCGAGTACACGACGCTGCCCAGGATGGGCGCCATCAAGGCAATTCTCGAAGAGGTGGGCCCAAAATTCCGACGGTCGAGATTGTCCCTTTCATCAGGTCGGACCGCGTGAGGAGGACGGCGATGAATCAAAGCGTCCTCGCACGTACAGTAAGCTAAAGCTGATCAAGGACACCGTCGGGGCGATCCGCGAGAAGAAATATGTGAAAGGTGATGCGTTTATTATCGAATCTGACATAGTTCAAAGGCACTGTCGATGAGATCTAGGGCTCTGGGGGCAAATCCGCCACTAATCCGCTAATCTCAAAGTCGGAATGGCGGGGGATTGTGTAGCAACTTTAAAAATGTCTAAAATGACAACGTATTCAACAGGAAAATTCACAGGAGGTAATATGGCAAAGTATCACAGGCATAGGGGGTCGATTATTAAAAACTTAAAATTAATTGATGACAAGCTGCGTGGATTCGCTGCACCCGTATTTCGTTTTGTTGGCTTCAAACATCTCCTTCAACGCCGCGATGTATTGGCCATGGACCTAGGTTGGATCGTAAGATTCGGAAAGTATTTCCAAACCTTGTCGATCTCTTCGCTCGTCGGGTTCTCATTCTTTTCCACCTTGATCGGGGCACCCATCACCGAGTTTATGGGGCGCCTAAAAAATTGAAATTGGGGGTTTTAATACGCGATTTTGTAAAATTTTCGCAAATTTCCAAGGCTCCTACCGGTATGGCAAAAGTCCAAACGTGTAGTTGAAGACGCCGCGGCCGTGGAAGAACGGCGGGGAGAAGCCCCAGACACGCTTCATCCACGTTTGGAAGGCGCGAATTTGAGAGCCCTAGTGGAATTTTTGGAAGTCGAAAAACGCAGATACCTTTGGGTTTTCGGCCTGGGAGTAGATGTCATTTTCGCCAAACGAGTAGCACGGGACGAGGGAGGCGCCGCTTTGAATGGCCAAACGGACGAAGCCCTTCCTAAAAGCTTCACTTTAATAAGAACGCCGCCAGTTGCCTGTTGTTCAGCGTCAAAATGTGATGTCCCGGGTGCGCGTCTAGGGCCTCTTCCGCTCCTCCCACCACCAGCACGGCTGCCTCAAATTCGCAAGTCAGGGTAGTGGCCAAGAATTTGATACCTGTCCTTTCTTCTCGCCCCTGAGCACGTAGTTGAGGCTCTCCTTGCTGCAGCCGATGAAGCCGTGGAGGAGCCCGTATTCTCGCCGGATCGGCGTCCAGAACTGGCCCTCGAGCGTGCAGAGGCGGAAGCTAGAAGAGATTTTCAGCCGTGCGCAACTAGCGTTCCATTTTTTTGGAAAAGCATATTTCTGAGGGTTTAAAAAAAGTGATATGAAAAAGTCATTTTTTGAAACAATTTTTCATCGCAATTTTTTGCTGATTGTAGTCTTTTCGCATTTGTAGCTTGACGCAATTTTTTTCAGATTTTGGTGTTCCAAAAAAATGGGATTTCGAAAATATGATTTTTCTAGTTTTTCGGGATTAGCGCAATTCAACTCACAACGTCTTCGGGAAGAGCTGCCGGATTCCGGTGGCGTTCGAGCCAAAGTTGACAAAAGCAGCCATCGAGATGATGCCGTGTGGATGCGAGCCGACCAGATAATTCTGGAAACAGAATATTTTTAGAGTCGAAAAGCTCAGGCTTACTGTCGAATCGTCCAACTCGGCCGTCTTGTGTAGCTTGACGGGGAAATATTCGGCGAACCACCTATGAATGCGCATATCGCGACACCACTCTTGGCAGTAGGCGCCCCGGCGCGGGCTATCCCAGTCGTAGTACAGCCACGCCGCATACAGCGCCAAGATCCACCAGTACGCCGAGAATACCTAGAGGAAACGTTGCGAGAAATCCAGCGATTTTTACCAGATAAATCGGCAACACCAGCACCAGCACCACCGAGCCGAGCGTGAAGAAAAAGTGGTGCATGACGGCGAACGTCTGCAGGCGCCGCCGGAGCGGGATGTTCAGTGGAGCGAATTTTACGCCCAGGAACTCGACGAACTCGGACATTGACTGAAAAAGGGGTTCGGGTAGCCGGATCTCATAATTTGCAAGATTTTCTAAAGTATAAAAAAATAGCTTATGACTTTTCGCAGGTTTGGCATGTACTACGAGGAAAAGACGGGCAAATTTTCACCCTCTCCTCCGCAGACAGTTTTTTTCGCTAATTTTCACGCAACCTGCTCCTACGCGGCAGAGATTTTGTGGCTAAAACGTGCAGGGCACAGAACACACACGCGGACAGGCACACTGATCGATCGGCGAGGGCACCCTCGGTTGTTGTTTGCGGCCAAAATTTCTGAACATGCGGGTGAGGGGTGAGGTGAGGAGACTAATTACTTCGTGGTACGCGCCTAGGATTTCCAGCTGCTCATAAGAGGCTATCAGGCCATAATGATGTAATAGCAAAAAAGGACATGGGATCGTGACGCATTTTTTCAGAGATAACATCTATTCAACTCCTTTTTTGCAGACACCCGGCCGCCAATCAAGTACATCCTCGATGTGACGATCGCGTATCCGCATGGAATTCCCCTGACGCTGGCCACGATAGCCATGGGTACACGTGAAAAGTGCGATATTGGCGTCCACTACCGAGTATACGATGCCGAAGAGGTTAGAGTTTTTGCGAAACAAATTTTTAATAAAGCACACCACACTACAAAAACTAAGCTATACCTCTCGTAAACTGCTATGGCGATTCCGCTTCGTGCGCGTCGCCTTGCGCTCCTCGATCTCGGCGACGGTCATCTGAAAAAGAGAAATTTGGTGCTTTAAAAGGCAAAGAAAAACAAAGATAAAAATGGAATTTTTCGTGATGGCAAGCAATTCTCAAACAGATGGCGAATAATTATCCACCACTTTTCCAGGTGCCATTCGAGGATGACGACGCGCTGCGGGATTGGATGTACGCGCGCTACAAGGAGAAGGACGATATGCTCGGTGAATACTTGCAAATTGTGCTGCGAAAGTTGACGCAAAAACGAATAGACTCAGAACCAGGCGAATCGCCGAGTTTTTCTGGGGGGAACACTGGGTTCGCGGCCCTGGGCTGTGGGGGAAACCCCGATAAAAAATGGGGGCCGAGCTTGTGCGGGGGGGTGTGATAACGGAGTGCCCTTTGACCTCCGAAGGATCTTGGGAGCAACGGGCTCACTTGTTTACTTGCTTTTTTCAATAGGCGAGCCCCAGGGCGTACGTTTTGTGCTGAGGACACTGCAAATGAAGCGATCGTTAAAAAAATAACTATCCCTTTTTAGGCCGCTACTACGAGACTGGCGAGTTTTTCCACGGGGAAACCGGGCAGCGCGTCGTCTTCTCCTGGTCCAAGATTATTCTCCAGTACATCTTTTGGTTCGGCAGCTTTTACCTACAACTGAAGGTGAAACCCGCGCAATCGGTTGAAATCGTTTTTTAGATCTATTCGTGGCTCCTGATGCAACCATACTATTTCCTGACGCGAGGCGTTTAGACGAGCTGCCTCCCGGCGGCTGATAACCAGGATCCTTTTGCCACTTTCGAGCAACCCAGCAATCTCAGATCGCGCGTACCCCTCGCCGCGGTGTTGTATAAACCAGGACGAACAATTTTGCTTTACGGCTAGCCCCCTCTTCCTTTTCATCATCAAATGTATATTTCGTCTATTACTTTCACCCACTAATCCCCAGTTTTTAGCCACCCGCGCATAATGTGCATTACTATCGCTTTATTCTTCCTTTCCGAAATTGATGTAGACCTTTCGATTTCGACACCGGTGATAAACTTTGAGCTGACCAGTTCGGGGGATAACATTTATTGATCATATTTCAACAAAAAGTGTGAGTTTGAAAAAACAAATTAATCTTTTAGCCCGAGTTGAGATTTCGGTAGCTGGGATTTAACAACAACGTGGCAGTAATCTCAACAAAAATCAAGTAAAAACAATTCTGGGTTTCAAAGAACACAGGAAGGAAATAAATTAACGCCCGATAGCGGCGGCAAGGTACGTGTAAGCAGTTAAAAGTACAATACAACAATCGGATCGTTGCGCTCATCAAAAGATTTGGGAAAGCAGACCCGGTTTAATTTGAGCATATCGTTTTAGAGGAAAGATGTGCAGCAAAAACAAAATCTCCAAAATTTAGCGCCTAGAAGGAAGTGCGTTTCTTTTTCTTGCCGATTGATTGGTTGTCTTGAACTTGACTTGCAATGAGCGCCTTGAGACTTATCTTAAGCTTGTGGCTAAAAAAGGCTAAATCCGTCAATAATAGCCCTGATACCCAGGATTGGCGACGGGCGGTGGTGGAGGAGGTGGCGGATCGTTGGGGTTCGGCAGCGGAATGTAAGTTTGCTAAAATCACATAACCTCCTAGTAGGATCAAAATTACCTCGTAATTATACGCCAGCATTGCGGCCGAAGCGTCGACGGCTTCTGGTTGCTCCGTTTTTCTAAGAAAAGAACAATCAGATTCAAGGCACAATATTTACGTCTCAATGCCGCGCTCCCGTTTCGATTGCCGGAACAGCCCCTGGAGTCGTTTCTTTTGCAGCAATTTCGTCCTAGAATAATAATACGTTGAGAAAAAAAGGCTTACTCTTCCGGCAGATCAAAAACGATCGGCTGATGCTTGGGCGGTGGAAGGGTCTCTGGTGCAGGCGGCAACCTGAAGCGGAAATAAGGCAATTCTGAACAATGCTTACACAACTATAGCAGAAGTCGTTGGATTGACATTATCGCGATCATGTTTTGAAACGCGTGCAGAGCTGCAATTTTCAAAAAATTCCTAGCAATATCGAACCATTCTACCTCTTCCCTTCTTCCCTTCTTCTGCTCGAGCGCGAGGAAGGTCTCGGCTCTTCATCGTGGTCTTTCCTCCGCCTCGGCGTCTCCTCACTATCGTCGTAGACGATTCGTTCGCGTTTTGAGGACCTTAAAGAGACATCAAAATCAAAAATAAAAAACCTCGAAGGCGGGCTCGCCTCGCGTCTCTTCTTCGATCGCCGATGCGGCGAATCATCGTCGTGCCTTCTCTTGGATGAGCGGTGCGAGGATCGGTCTCGGCTGCTGCGCCGTTTTGACTTGCGATCCCGGGATCGGCTTCGGCTGCGGCTCCGCTCCCGTCGGCGCTTCTCCGGACGCTCCGTCTTCGACAATGCCTTCTCGAGGATACCGCCTCGGCCAGCAGACAGCCTAAATGTTGCCATGAATTTCTGACATCTACACCGAACACTAATTACAGGACAATCTCTGAAACACTAGTTCCTAACGGAAAAACGAACTCTGGAGTTTGATACGCTGATCCGACAGCGGTGTACGTTCCCAAGGGGTTCCGGAAGGGGCGCTGGGCGCTGGTTTCGAGCCTAAACAAATTCGATGACAGCAAAAAAATTCGCCCTACCGATCGCAGTTACTATAGCGCGGATCGGAAACGGAGAAATAGTCTGTGAAGAAGTCCGGCTTTTGCATGACTTCTTCGGCGAACTCGCGGTCCTCGCTAAATCGAGAGAAATTTTAGATATCCGGTGCTGCACAACCTGAATTCCCTATCCTCCCAAAGCGCATTCCGGACCATCGTCATGATGACGCCGAGTCCGTTTTTGCCGCGCCAACGGCTCGGCTTGAAGGCGTCGGCGTTGTCGAGGGCCAGGCCTGGAAAAAGAAAATATTCTCCAAAAATTATAGATTCTTACCTATTCCCCAATTTGTATCTGACGGTGAAGCCTCGGCCAATGAAGAGCCCATTGTTAGAAACAAAAGTCTTCGCAGTTGTTGGTCGCCCTTGTATTTTGCAGTCAACGCTTGTGTCATCACGGTCGGCGATCGTATTTTCCAGCTGAAAAAAGCGATAGGTACAAAATCTTTAAACTGACACAGAAGAGTCGAGTCCTTGGATTTCGCTGCCCATCTTTTTGATATTTCGCGGGTTGTGCTCGATCAGGATCCGCGAGGCCGTTTGCTGGTCCCCGGCGGTCAGCGCCTTCATATACCTAAATTATTATGAAGGACTTGAAGGTTATAGTATTTACATGTAGTACTGCTCGACACATGTGAACTCATGCGAATGCCCCGAGGCAAGGCGCACCGGGAAGCGGCAGGGGTAGAAGTTCGAAAACGGGCTCGCAACTAAAAAAAATAGGAATACACAGGGTCATAACAAACTTGTAAAGAAGAGGGTGTAGAGGTTGCCATCCTCTTCTGACTGCTTCTGCAGTGTTCCCATCCCTAAACAAGGATAGAAAATGAGCGATGACCAGGGAAAGCTTTCTATCTTTGAAAAACTGAAATCGGTATTAAACCGGAAAACCGCAAAGCCTGACGAAAAAGCATCGACGAAATATTTATCGCAAAACGAAACTAATGAAAGATTAAGAATTAGCACAAGATGCTGGTCAATAGTTAGACGTCTCCTTTTCGCCCTCGGAATCGTGACCGCATGTCGACCATGGAGCGCTTGCAATCGCTGAAGTTGGTCAGGAGAGCGAAGCACTTGTCCGGGACGCTGCCTGAAAATGAATGGCGTGAGAAAAAACACGACCCTGCTCCTTTTTCGAGAATTCCGGTTTAAAATAAAATCACCCACCATCACGCGCATTTATACAATCCTTTGCGGAGCGGGCCTGCTTCTGCACGCATTCGCTCTCCTTCAAACACTTCTTCAAGGCTTGTCGTAGCCGATCGCACGCGATCCCGGATGACTAAACCGCGTTATAGGGAAGTCCCGTAGAAGGAGCCTGTAATTGGCTGCCATCCTCGTCCTCGCCGATGATTTGTTGCGTTTTCTTGGGCGCCGCCATGTACTCGAAAACCTGAAAATTATTTTTTAAACAAGTTTTCATCGTTTTCCAAAGAGGAAAAGAAGATTTTAGAAAAATCTTGCTAGCTTCAAGCGAAGTCCGGATCGCCTCCCCCGCTTACGACATGCAATTCCGGAGTTAGTATCATTTGTACTTCAGAGCTTCAAATAAAAAGATTTCAAATTTTTAAAGTTTAGTAGAAGTAAAAGCAAAAATAGAAGCGGAAAATTAGCGTCGAAAAATTCGGCCTTTTCTAGTCGTGGCAAAAAAGCAAGATCGGGGTTTTTTTTTTTTTTTCCTTCGATTTCCGCTGTAGCAATCGGAGGCTTATAAATTTGAATATTTCTAGAAGGTCGATACTTCAATGGAGGACGATAAAATAGCAAACACAACGGATTACCTGCTCAGACGCCTATTTGAGGCGCTCCTCAAGCAGCTGCAAGGCGTAAAGGTAAAATTGCTTTCAAGAATAATCAAGTTTTCCTTTAGCTCGATACAACACGACCCACGTCACGTGGAAAGAAACGGAAAGCCGTTCCGGAAAATGGTGCCTATGCCGTCTTCGGCCGGATGCGCGCGATTATTGGGGGTAGGCTGGAGATTGCCGAGTTTTTGAACAGCTTCTAGAATCGGTGTTGCTCGACGCTGTCCAGCTGGCCATCACCGACTCGGTGAAACGGTTCGAAGAGTGTCTCGAATCCGAGGCTGAGCCTATTATTGAAGATGACGTAAGATCTCCTTGCAAATTTCAATTTGTCTCTAGAATTCCCGGTCTTTATTTGGGGCCGACGACGCGGGAGAAGCGCTGAATAGCGAAGAAGATCTGGGCGCATTATGGCTACAAGCGCTGAACGGGAGGAGAAGGAAAACCCGCAGAAGGTTGGCAATTTATGAGGTAGCGTCAGAATAGCTTTTCGAATTCAAGTTGACTCTTCAGGTATGCGAGAACCCGAGAAGCTCGCTGCGGTTTACACTCTACAGCAACGTCAAGTGGTGCCCGTGCTTGTTCTACGAAACAGAGTAGTTTTTGTGATGTCGCTCAAATTCAGCCTGATTCCAGGGTGCTGACAAACCAACGGCGCTGGAGCTGTAGGCATTGGGTGGCGATGAAGCTGGCCGAAGTTCTTGGCACCGCAACCGTGCAACGGCGAAGCGCGCGCCGGATTCGCGAAATGGCGCTCGACTCGCTGGATCGAGGCCATTTAATGGCGCACTGAATTTTGGGTTCTGGACTGTTAGCGGGGGGGAGGTGGGAACCCTAATTTTTTTGCCTTGCCTAGCTGTTAATACTAAACCATGTATTTTTATAACGTTTTTAGTTATTTCTTATAGCTAAAAAGTTTAAAAGTTTTTAGATGTTTTTAAAAAATTCAAAATTTCTGGTGCTTTTTGGTCATTTTAAATAAATTTTGGCCAAAAAAATTCAAAAATGTCGGAAAAGTTTCTGTGCGTTTTTACCTAAAAATCATAAGATACTAAAAATGGTTTATATTTCATTATAAGGCCGTAGGGGATTACTTGAAAAAATGAGTTCCCCCCTGCTAACAGTCCAGTAACGAGTTTCGCGCATTTTTTGTAGTAGTATACATCTGTGTGTTGTAAATATGGGCCATATCTAAAATTCCGACAAAATAGCGTCGCCGCTTCGTTTTCTAAATAGTGACATGGCTGTCGCAATTTTTGCTGTTCGCCATTGTGGCTGCTGTGATTTTGAATGTCGGTATTCTGGCTGGAAATCTGTAAATATCTTCTTTGTATCTATGTTGTTTTAGGCTACAAACTGATTGCTATTTGATCTCTTGCCTCCCTTTCACATTGCATTCCCATAAATCTTTGGCCGCCGGCGAATGTGATACCCGCATAAATACGTGCGCTTTCCGGAGCACCTTGCGTTACCAGGTGAACCACTAATTGGAATAGCCGTTTTTTGAAGGGGCCCCAGGTGATCTTTTCTTGGCGGACCTATAAGTTCGGGTCGGGCCGCGGCTCGTTGAGATCTTTGCAGCCATTCGTACCTTCAGAGAGTTCGCTTTAAACTTAATAACTTTTCATTTTAAAAGATAGTTTTTTAACGTTCTTTTTCTGAATAATTTTTTTGAGCGTAGAAACGTCTAGTGTTAAGTTTTAAAATTGCTTCGAACTGTTAATTTTGTCGAGGAGGAAAATTTTGTAATTTATAATTACAGCTCTACAGCAGACGGATCCGTTTATACTGACTATTTGGACCTCCTGACATAATTTAACTTGCAAGTTGCAAGTTGTAAAACAATAGAATTTCCCGAACGTGCAAAAAAATGTCTGTAGGGTCTTTAAACTTTTAAATTTTGTAACATTTCCAGTATTTGCTATGTTGCCTTTGTTTTTCAATAAAACCCGGAGGTCTACAGCGCCCGGATATGAATCGGGTACGCGGCGAATGTTTGCACATCCACTCGACTCGATCCCACACATGCTCTTTACTCGAAAACATTCACCCCGCCCGAATCCCAGGCGGATCGAGTACGGTTCTGGCCGATGGCCAACGCATTCCGGCGCAAATTTATTTATTTAGTAAAGTCGGAGCCTAAAACTAGGCTTGGTGGAAGCCAAAAAGGGGTGACTCACCTTGGGAACTTTCCGTGCTCCTGGAGGGCATTTTCACTATCGAAACGCTACCAGCAGCGAGTGCCAGAAATTTCGCAATGCTTTTTTTCTGATCATTGGCTCATCGTCTGTTTGCGGTTTAGATAATCGTTTGGGCGGGCCACAAGAGCGCAGGCTATTTAATGCTATGAAAATGGCTCTTTGGGCTCGCGGTGGTTTCTTTATTTTTTTGAAACGATGGGATTTATTAGCTTTTAAATGTTTGTAAAGCTCTGATTTTTTGTGCATTCAACTAGCGGTAAAACACATAGCAATACTTTTCTTAAATTTGTAAAACAGAGATGAATTCTTCTTTTATGGAAATCTTATTGCTGGAAACCCTTGGAGATTTTGTCTACTTTTGGTAAAAGACTTTTTCTTAGTTCGTCTATCTACTTCGGTCATTATGTCAAAATGCGAGCCCCCTCCCGCCTACGACGACATCGCTACGGCCAAGCAGTTTGAGGCCGACAAGCATTTCTATGAGGACAAATTCGTTAAGGTATTTTCGCACGGTTTACTGTCGAAACTTGAGCATCACCTTTCTCAGATAACGCGCGAGGGCATCGAGCTGAAGACGTACTATTTCCCGACCACCAAGAGCAAGTTCATCCCGTTTGCCGAGGTGAAGCAGCTCTTCTACGCAATACAGGTGGGCGTTGAAAAATGAAAATTGGATTTCTAGTGGCTTTCTAGAGCGCCCTAAAGCAGCACTGCTACATAAAGCCGTGGGGGATGGCCTTCTCGAAGGTGTGGTGGGCGTCGGATATGATGAGGTAAGCGGACCTGGAAAAGCTCTGCTAGCCTGCCTGCCCTTTACTATTCCTCAACAATCCCTGCTAGCCTGCCCTCTCCTCTTCCTCAACAATCTTTACTAGCCACCCCCTTCCAGACAATGCCCAATCGTGGAAAAGGTCAACTACAATGTCATCCTCGACGTCGGCGACAGCACGATGAAGGTTGGCGGCATACTTGAGGGGTATTCACGAGTTTCCAGGGCTTCTCGGTGACCGACATCCACACATTCCTCGCCGTTCTCAAGGCGCATCTCCCGGCGGTGCCGATACACCCGCAGCTGCCCTTTTAGGCTAACGACAAAATCGCTTTAAAATAAAAAATCCAATAATAATAAATTTATTCGTTAAAACCGATCCAAACAACAAACCTAGGCAAATAATTGTGCGATTTCCTATGCGACCGCCTCTTTCGTCGCGGGTTCCGCTTCTTCGGTATTCGTAAAGGCGAAAGCATACCTAAAAAAATAATAACAAAAAGGTTTTTTAAATACCGTTCCAATTGGCTCGCGGTTGGGACGGCCGGCGCGTCGGCCATCACATCGCGCCCGGTGTGTGATTTCGGGAAGGCGATTGTCTAAACAAAAAAGAGATTGTTATGCCAAAATGATACTGGCCGGTTAGCAGGGGGGAACCAATTTTTCGCAGTAATCCTGTATGGTCCGATAACAAAATATAAGCCCTTTTGATAGCATTTTTACATCGATTTTAGATACTAAACGCTCAAAAAGCTTTAAAAATTTTCATCTTTGGTAAAAATGAATCGAAACCAAACAAATAAGTTTAGGCAATCAAAAACGACTAAAAACATTAAAAAAATAGACAAATTATTATTAAAAAACTACCTCTCTAACAGAAACGCTCGTGTCGCCCTTCCCATGCAAAAGCGCCACGTAGCGGTCGAGGCCGAGGGCAAAACCCCCGTGAGGCGGAGCGCCCAGCTTCAGCGCCTCTATCAGATGCGCCTAAGAATTATAAAATTAAATACAAGGTTTCAGGCTACCAATTCGGTGGGGTCCTCGTTGAGCACCTCGCGCAAGACGTACTCCTGCACGTGGCCGTCGTGAATCCGAATCGAGCCGCCGCCCAATTCGACGCCGTTCATCACCAAATCGTAGTGCTGGCCTAGATTTTTTGATTTGTTGATTTTCCGCGGGAACCCATATTTTATCAAAAAGTATATAGTAAAATAGGATGCCTCTATCTTAATACTATAGTTCGTTTTTTGTCAATTTCATGAAAATCAATTCCAAAATTTAAGGTTAGCAAATTATTAAGTTTTTAGCTCTGAAAAACTTTAAATTACGAATGTTACCTCGAATTTCACGCGTCTTCCCGGGCTGTTGAAGCAGCGGCATGTCTTCATCAAATGGAGCCGTAAAGGGGTGATGCGCCGAGACCAACCGTCCCTCCTCCTCAACGAAGAGCGGGAAGTCGACCACCTTATTTTTCAGTTACAGGAATTCACTAAAAATACCTACCCACAAAAATTCCATTTTCCCCGCGCCGCGCAGCCCCATCGCTTGGCCGACGTGGTTGCGGAGCTGACCAAGGGTATACTGGACGCGGCTCTTTGGACCCCAACTACAAAAAAAATATTTTTATTTTCAAAAACCTAGCAAAACCTGACAATCCCCAATTGACCCGCTTTCGATTTTTCCTTCTTTTCCAGTTGCGCCAACCACATAGACTTTTCGCCGTGGAAAAAGCGGAAGGGCTGAAGAAGAAATTTAATGTATCTTGAACTGGCGAAGGAATACCGCTGATTCCGGGTTCATTTCGAGCAGCCGCTTCCACTCTGCTTTCTGTCGATTGGTGAACGAGATCGGGTCGGGTATGATGAAGCAGCTGACGGCAAAATCTTCGCCAACATTTTCAGGCTTCAGGGTTTCCAGTAGCTAAATTAAAACGTACGTAAATTCGTACGTAACTTTTTTTACCTCCGGGCAATCCTCAATTTTCCAGGGTATCCTTAGATCCGGCTTGTCGACCCCGTAGAGAGCCATACAGTCAGCGTAGCGTAGCCGTTGGATTGGCTTAGCCGGGCGGAATTGGGCCTAGCAAAGCCCTTTTTGGTTCTTTTGCGTTATCGGGGGGGTCTCAAGATTCGATTTTTATTTAAATATAGGTGCTCTAACTAAAAACACCCAAAATACCTACTATTACATGACTAGGCATTCTAAACTTCAGCAAAATTCGGTCTCCCCCGATAATGCGAAAGTAGCTCCTTTTTAAAATTCAAATTAAGTAGTTAACCTCAAAAAATAGCATTACCAGTTCTTCCGGCCAAGAAGCTATGAGCAAATCTTCCACGAGCGAGATGACGCCTTCCTGGTCGGTGAACGACAATTCGAGATCGACCTAGACAAAAAAAGGGGATAAATACTCCTAAAAATGAACCTGAGTAAACTCCGGCTGCCGATCAATCTTCGCGCCCTCATCACGAAAACAGCGCGCTATCTATTCAAAAATTTTTTTGAAAAATGCAGCTTACTTGAAAATAGCGATCCAGGCCGCCGACCATCAATAGCTGCTTGAATTGTTGAGGGCTTTGGGGTAGCGAGTAGCAGCGACCCTGATTTGGCTTAGATGCTGGGACCTGAAACTCTGCCGCTCCGCCTGGGGTCCTCCGAAACAGAATCGGGGTCTCGACCTGAAAATTCAATTTTAATTCCTTTCGATTTAATTTATCTAGTCCAGATTTTAAATCCATACATCCACAAATTGGCGTTGCTCTACAAGAAACCGCCGCATCCGGTGAAGCAAATTGCTGCGCAGCCGGAGCATTCGTTGCATTTCCGCTCTTCTCAAGTCTAGATACCTAAAAAACCTTTAGGTCAAAAATGGCAAAAAAAACACCGATATTTCAGTCTCGTCTCTTCCGCATTAGCATTCTCCAAATCGAGCGGCAGCTTCTTGGGGGCTTTATTCAAAAGTTCTAGCGTGTCTACTTCTATCTAAAATGAATTATTAGAAAAAGGGGCGGCCAACCCACCTCAACACCGCCAGTTTCCATATTTTTATTGGCATCTTTTCCGCGTGATCGGACTGTTCCTGGAGCCGAAAATCGCTTATTCTAAAGAAGAAACCAACCTTTCAAGCGGACCACCGATTCGTAGGGCAAATCTTTCACGAGCTCACGCAGTTCCGTTTTGGACTTTGGCAGAAAGGCTTGTACGCTGCCGTATGCGTCCCGGACAACCTAGAAAAACAACTTTGCTTGATTAAATTGATAAAACTACCAAAAACTGGTTCATCCGTCGGAATCCCACCCAACCGGAAACGGAGACATGCTGGCCTAAAAGTTACGTTTTTTACAGTCAGGGAATTCTTTCTCTTCGTTTTAAATGATAAAAATGCTATTAAATTCCTTCGTTAATTGATTTTTCCTACTTTTTATACTTCAAATTTTAATTTAGTGGTTTTCATAACTAAAAAAACCACCAATATGCTCCTCCCTCAGCTCTCCACAAGTATGCGTCCGGTTCGTGTAGGCGTTTGCGGAGCTTGGGCCGGAAATGTGGCGCGAGCTTAGAATTCGTATACTTCTGGATATCATTGCTACCTCTAAAAATCGCGGTTCGAGCTGATCAGATTCTTCTATCCAAAACGAGACGGCGCCAACGTTTTCTTTGATGTCTAGGCTCAGAAAAACGAAAACCTCTTTATTCCATTTGGCAGGCGGGGAGATTCACAGGTGGTAAGGGTACAAATGACTAAAAATAAAACCCGTGGTGAAAGACTGGGAATGCGAGGGAGGGCGAGAGTGAGAGGAAGAAAGATGGTATTGCGAAATAAATACAAACAGAATGCAGTGAAAATCAATCCCTGTCGATGTCGTCGAGCAGCTCGTCGTCGAGGTCGAAGCGCGTCGTCTGGCCGCCTTTATGCAGGGCTTTGTGCACGAACCTGAAATTTTGAAGATAAAAAAATTGCGGTGATGGAATCTACTCACTTATGGTAGGTCGAGGAGAGGCGGTTGAACAGCTCGTCGAGCTCGCCGTCGGTCATGCCTGCAACAAAAATACATATAAGCTAAAAAAACGGGTCTTTTGCGTTATCGGGCAACAAAACAATGATCTCAGTGCAATTTAACGCGCTTCTCGGTACAAAAAACTGCCTAAAAATATCGATAAAAATTTGTTTAAAATTAATTTTCAAATTCAAAAATTCTGGAACTAAAAACTAAAAATTTATATTTCTGTATTCTTTACAAAATACAAAATTTGTTAAGCGTAAGCTTTAAAAAACGCCTACCAACGCCGCAGGCCATCGCCAAGTAGCCGCCGTGCTGCTCGTTGGTGTGCGAGCCAAAGTTGATGAACTCGTGGCCCTCAACGCGAGAGACTTTTGGCGTTGACATTACCACTCTAGAAACGAGCATTAACTTGAGTAAATCAACAATTAAAACGTTAGGAAATAATATTTTTTTAACCTTATTCGAAGGGAAAAAACTTCTAAAATTTGCCTAGCACCCGTGATCCCGCGGCTAAACAGCACGGAGCCGAACAGCGTCTGCTTCTCCGGCGGGATGGAGGAGAGCGTCATCGCTAAAAAAAGTAGATTTAGAAAATTTGTAGAGCGAACCTAGGCTAATTTTGTTGTCCGACACATCGTAGACGCTTTCGCCAATTTCCTCGGCGAATAGGCGAAGCTTACGACGCATTTTCTAAAAGATGTAAAGAAATGTCTTTATTTATTTCCGTTTCAGGATCTTTAATTATTTCAAGCTAATGATACCTCAAAAAGCCGGTGCTGCGTGTCGAAACCTTCCAGCATTTGCCGAAGACCTTGGCTCAGACAGGTTAGCACAAAGTCGCGAGAAGGAACGCAGGAGGCTCGACCTGAGAAGCAAAATTGGATAAATTTATTCAAGCTCATACCGGGATAAAATTGCGCGATCGCTGCCGCTTGCGATTGTTTTGTGGTAGCGATAATGGCACCGCCGACAGGAACCTGAAAAAGCTATTAAAAAAAACCCAGGCGAAAAAACCTGGAAATTCTTGTCGAGCGACTGGACGAACGCGTCGATTCGGCCGGCGTTTTTGGCCTAATCTTCAAACTAGTTCGGCAAGGAAATCAAAGCTCACATTCGTCAATCTTCTGATACATTCCGGGCTCTGCAACCCGTAGGCGTTGTTGACCAGGTGGAAGATGTTGTGGGTCCTAAAAAAAGATCGGCATCAAAAAATTTAATTTGCAAAATATACACCTGCAAATCGCTGCCACCGCTTCAATATCGTCAGGAGCACGAGGGGCAAAGGGGGAGAGGGTCGATAAAACGCAGAGAATCTAGGGAAAATGATAAGCAGTTTGTAGGGATTCTTACCGTATCCCCAAACTCTTCGACCAGATTGTTCAGCTTCGTGACGTCGGTCATCAACGCATCATCAACGCGGATCGGGTCGACGATGAGCGGCTCGAAACCTGAAGGATAAATTAGTCCAAACAACTTGTGACAAGCGCTACCGGCTGTCAGAATCGACTTGAAGCAGCTCTTCTGGTCGACACGGAGCCAGATGACGTATTTGGCGTTTGGTCTTGCCTAAAAAAAACGGTTTAGCGTGAATTAAAAATGAATTTACTTTTCTCCACGATCCCATGCATAGCATCAGGGCCATTCCGGTGGCCACCGGGACGACGAGGGCACCACGCGCGCAATTCAGGCCTGAAAAAAACAAGATTTCTAGGGGTCTATTTTTCCTTTTTCGGCATGAAAATGAAAAATGCATAAAAAATTAAGAGATACCGCTATAGAAAATGCCCCGAAAAACATGAAAATTCGAGAGATTTCTTCTTCTGCTTTAAAAAAACATCGTCCTTTCAAAAACTAGAAGATTTAAGCATTACCCCATGAAAAATTAGGAGATTTTGCATCTTTTTTTTCTGACTTTTCCCATTTTATTAAATCGGATTAATCGGTAAATTCCCCCACCAATCGAGTGCAAAATGTGCAGAGCGAATTCGTTGGCCAGACAGTTGAGCATCGACGAGCCGAGGGCCTTCGGCTGGATCTCGCATAGGTTCCCGGAGCGCCCGATGCCGTGCGTTAGACTAAAAATATCAATTTAAAAATTAAAGTCGATAGATACCTGCAATGTAGGCGCCTCACAAACTGGGACGCTACTCGGCCCTCCCGCTCGCCGGCGCCTAGTGGGTTCTGGAAAAGGAAAGATCTCAAAAATTTTTGAAATATATTTTTATGTGTGAATTCACAGTTTAAATAAGAGATTTAAGAGAGCAGAATTCTAGCTGCACGAATCAAGTTCAAAAGCTCACCATGTCCATCCGGTTATTCGTGTCATGACTGGCCAGCCAATTCAAGAACAGCTCGAGCGAGTGGTCCGACCATCCTTCTTCCGGGATCTTTTTCTGGAAATTATCGTTTTCCCCTTTTTTATTCGTAAAATTGCGTGGCTTAGTTTCCATTCTAAGAAAATTATTTTGTCGAAAAACGGGATGTCTAAATTTAATTCTTTTTGCGAAATTTTATTTTGCTGAATTCGATTTTGTAGAAATTGCAAGAAACTTAAGCCAAGTTTTCCATTTTTCACAAGTTGGGATTGCGCAGTAAAAAATGATTTTTCGAATTTTCGACATAAGAATGCGACTTCCGCATTCTTTTTTCGGCAAAGTACAATCTCGACAAAATTAATTTCGACATCACCCCAACAAATCCCCCAACGTCACCCCGATGCCGTACTTCCCCGAATTTCACGGGGCCCGTCAAAATCCGCCGCAAATCCACAAAGGTTGCAAATTGGGCGCGCCCAACCCCAGCTGCCCAAACACGGATACGACCAGGTACGGCCGCTTACGGCAAAATCAACAGCCCGTTTTGGTGGTCAGCCAGCGCCCGCCAAAAACGTGTTGCTAAAAGCGGATCGTACCTTTTCCCAGAGCTGGTTGAGCAACTTGTTGCTGGTCTTGGCCACCAGGCGACTGTACTCGTTTTCGGAGCGCCCGAAAGCGTCGCGCATCGACCTGAACGAGATTTATGTTTTAGAGAAAAAGTTTGAAAGCCCAAAACGGGGCCCGTCAAAATCTCGAAAAACGAATCTCGAATTTTCATAATCTCCATTCTTCAGAATCACGACTTTTTCCTAGACAAGAGGTGCCATTCCTACCGGAATTTGCAGAGCTCGCAAAGTGGGTAAATCCCTTGCAAAATTCGAGATTCTAAGGTAGAAATTCTGAAAATGCTAGGTTTCGATAGGAAATCGCCCAAAACAACCAGGCAGCAACCGGCGCAACCATCAAGAACCAAGGAAGCAGATATCCTTGTCAGGCGGAAGAATAATAAAGTGTGGCGCCCTTGGCGCCCAACCCCCGCGGCATCCAAGAAAAAAGGCGGCTCAAGCAGGTGTGAAGCCCAAAGAAAGCGGATTAGTTAACGCTCCGGCGCGCCCAACAGCGTGTCCACGTGGGGGTGGCAGCAAAAACGTACTAATAGCGCAGCCAGGGTGTTCGAAATTGTCGATGGGCTGCGGCCTGGGAAGAACGTTTGCTGGACACAAGCGCGAGAGGATTTAGTAGTTTACGGCGGGAAAAAGAAAAGTTACGACTATTTCTTCCTACGATTTAGCCAAACCCATTCTTTTTCCTAGGAATAATTTTCCGAATTTTTTCTTAAAACCAGTCAGATCCGACAATTTTGTTGTAGCCAATTAGGTTCGAAAAGCCTAGGAAAAAAAGATAAAGGCGCGACAAAGCGTTCTCCTTATTTCGTAGAAGACATACCTCCCGTCAATGGCCAGCAGCAGACATGCGAGATCGACGTGCAACGGCAACTTCTCGGGTGTATCGAAACTATCGCCGAGAGCGGCTAGGCTCTTCTTGATCTTCAACACCGAGGAATTCATTGGCAAAGGACAGGAATGAACTAGCGGATTGGCCCCAACCACCCTCAAGTCCCGAACAAAAGCGGGCCCAAAATGAAAGGAACAAGTTCAATAAGGCTTCCGGTCGACACAATAAAGCAAGAGTTTTCGAGTCGACATCATTGCCCGATCTGCCGGGCGAAAAGAGCAACGAAAAATAAGCCTCCGACTAGGGTGTCTGCACGATAGCACGGCGCAGAGCGCTTGTCTTGAGACTCGACTGCGAAAATTCGTAAAATTCAGCATTTATTTGAAAAACAAAATGCTCCAACAACAATAAGCCTTCAACATTGGGTGCAAGGTAGGGACCGTGGGACCAGGGTAGAGTGAAACATCAGACGCGACTCGCCGGAGCAACAGGCGCACTGAATAACAATCTAGGAAATGCGTGCGGGGGGCTAATGGCGCTTGAGCCGAGGTGGTGGGCGTCAGATGAGACATTCTTGGGCCGGGCGGGAAACGGCCCAAACCGGGTACCAACTAGATATTACTCTGTCGGCAGGGTGTGGGTACGCCGCGGGAACGACGTGGTGGTGTGCGGCACACATTTTGTGGATCGACTATGTGTATTGGAGGTGCGGTGCGCTGGATGTCAAAAGTAGAGCCGGGCTGATTTTCATTTTGTTGAAAATTATAAAGCCGAAATTGCAATATCGGCTTGACTTCTTTTTGGGCCTTATAAAGGTTGTTGTTGGTCACGTGTAGTCAACCCTGGATTTTGCATACTGTAATTTCGACATTTCGAGAGCAAATCGTTAAACAGCGTTTCCGGATCAGCGCACCGCCCAGAGCTAAGTGCCGGAAAACTGAGGGTCGGCCCGATTTGGCGTGGTATGCAGAGCGCGAACTCGCAACTTTCCGGCCCCTTGAAAATCCCAGAAATGGAAAAGGCATAGGTGCCTGCTTTAACTAGAAAAACAACAACAGGGGTAAGCCGATGGGGGAAGGGTACGCTAGCCATGACTACAAAAAGGAAGGGAGGGTACTGTAGAGGGGAAGGCAGAACGGGTATCATGGGGTGATGCCGCATCGTAGAGGAGAGAATAGTGCGCCGAAGAAAGGCCGAAAACCCAAAAAGTGAAATAGATATAGCCCTTTCGGGAAAGTAATTAGATATGACGGACGGGCACAGTTTGGGCGTGCTGTGACGGTTCCGGGGCTTTCCGCAGGGTATGACACAGAGAGTCCGAGGCGTTGGCGGGGAATTGGCAAGCGGCGTTAAAGTATTTCTGTAAAAATACAGAAGTTGTGGAAGTGGGGGTGGGGCTACATACAAAGATTTAGGGCGATGGGTGGGTTTGACGGGGAAAGATGGGGAAACAAAAGAAAGCTGAAGGGAATGGAGAATGGCGAGGGCACAATACGGCTTGATGATATTTTTCTAGCTGATTATGAAAATGCTGCTCAGAGTTATGCTAGACGCAACGTTGCAGCCTTCACAATCAGCAAAATCAATACAAGAAGTCATATTGCAACACCTCGCATTTAGAAGACGTCCTCGAGGTCCGGGACCTCTTCAAGCGTCGGCAGGTCCTCGGCGACGACGTGGCTGATGGTGTTGCGCTGGCTCTTCTTGATCAGCTGCTCGATGCGCTTCTTCGGGTCGGAGCGGTTCTCCTCCTCGTCGTCAGACTCGCTGTCCTTGTCCAAGATGCCCTCAAGCATCCACAGGAAGTGGTCGTTGCCGAACAGGGGCACCAGGTTCTCCTCCACGTCCCAACGAGACGGGTCGGGCAGTTCCTAAGCAAATAATTATTGGCCCAAACAAAATTCCAACCTTGATCGGCTTTTCAACCTCTTCAAAGTGCTTGTGCAGGCCGACAATGTTGCCGTTGTCCTCTTTGCCGCAGCGCCAGCAGATGGCGTTGAAGTTCTGCAAAAATAAGTTTTAGCAGGAGCTGTAGCTGTAGACACTGCACTTGAAACAAACAAACAAAAATGTCTACATGATCAAAATCACCGTCACGAACCCACCTTAGCCCTGATAAAGTTGATCAGCTTCATGCGCTGGTAGATGTCGAGCTTGTTGTCCTCGATCACCTTGAGGATGTCAAATTCGTGGGCGGCCTTCATGTGCTCGATCAGCTGTTCGCCGCGTTCGGCAGTCTCGTCGCACAAGAGGCAGACAACTCGGGTTTCGTCGACATCAATGTTGTCCTCCTGCCACTCGCACCAGGATTCCCTAATCAGGATTAATGGAAAGACAAGATTACCACTTACTCCTCCAGCTCTTCGTCACTTTCAGGGAAAGCGGTGGTGGTGTCTTCAAAGTCCTCGCTGAGCACGTCCAACCAACGTTTTCCGAGCTCGAGGTAGTTGATGATGTAGAACTTATCGTAGTAGTGGTTCTTCGGATTCACCTGAACATGGTAAAAACAGTTAGTCCGTGCCAAAAAAAACTGGTGCGAAATAGAAGCAACTTCACGCTAGTTCTAGTTTTCTTTTTTCCAGTTTTTCTTCTTTCTCCTCATGAAAATTACTAAAATCCTCCATTTTTCCGACGTTTTATTAGTTTTTAGTAAACGGCAATTAATCGAAACACAAAAAGATTTATCAAGCCAACGAACAAGAAAATTATTTACCTCGCGATGGTTTCGCTTCCTCATGTGATCCATCAACGTGTTGCGGTCGGCGAACGTCTTCTCACAGTAGATGCACTCCTGACGGTCGAGCTTCTCCTTGAGATGAGCGATGTACTCCGTCACAAACACCTAAGGTCGACTTGAATCTTGTAACCTTACAAAGCCTACCAAGTTATCCGGAGAGCCCAGATTCAGATGGTGAATCATGTAGAGGTGGTGGATGATCTTGCTGCGATTTCCCTTTGCCGTGTAGCGGCAGAAGATGCACTGCTGCGAGAAGTTGGTATCGTCTCTGAAAGCCAAATTCTAGGGAAATAAGGGCGAAATATTACCGCTCACGCTGCTGGCAGGAAAGAGCTTCCTCAAGACGACGCATAGCCAAACGCTGGCGCAGCGAGTAGTCTTCGGGCAACTTCTCCGACATCTCGAAATAGTAGTCCGTGACGTCTAAATAATATCTTATCAAAGAAGTTGATTCTTGGGAAAAATGCACAAAAATCTTGTAAATAAACTCACCCGCATAGGGCTCGCCCTCCTTCAGCTCAATACGCGGGAAGATCTTGTCGATGCTCTGCTTGGCGAATCGTTGGCGCCAGTACTCGATGTAGCGCTTCGGGTCGACGATCAGGCCAATTTCCTGGACGATGATCTTGTGCTCCATCAGCAGATGCTCGGCGAAGCTGTCCATTTGCTCGGGCAGATCGAAGAACTGCAGGCACGACAAGCACATCGTCGGGCCGCCCCATTTCGGCGAGTAGCCGGTCACGGGCACGGTGCCGGACAGCGTGCGAATCCTGCCGCGGGGTATGAACAGGTTCGGCTTCTCAGACTTCCGGCGGCGGACCCTCTCCTCATCTTCCGAATCGGTGAAGGGTTCTTCGAGGTCGTCATCTATAGCGAAGGTATAAGAACCAGACGAAGAAACTCACAAGCGTCACTGCAATAGTAGCCATCGCCGTTGCTGCCCTGCGAGATGGTGCGGCTCGAATTCTTCGATTGACGCGACTTGTTGTTGCCGCCTGCGTTGTTGGGTCCGTTGGCTAAAGCATATTTTAAATTTTCCAGATCAGAAATCAATGCCGTATTCAGCTAGCACCAAAAATTTAGAGAAACCTACAATTGGTGGAGCGAGTGCGACGCTTGTCACTTTCGGAGCCCTTCTGGGAACGCGTCTGCGAGACCGACTGCGAATCACGACGAGTAGAGTTCTGACGACTCTTGTTCTTCTTCTCGTCCTTCTCCTCAGCCACCTCGCCTCCAGCACCGGAGGGGCGACGACGCTGTCGGTTCTTGTTTTGGTTGTTGTGCGAATTGTTTCGACTTTTGGGCTTGCTGTCGCCCTTCTCTCCCGTGGTCTTATCCTTCTCGCCCTCAACGGAGCAGCTCTTCAGCTTTTCAGCCACCTAAATCGTCGTTTATAGGAAATTTTCGTAAACAATTTTTATTGTCAGCAACAAAATCGAACCTCCTTGACGGCCTCTCCATTGCTCGGATTGGATGCCATGAATAGCTTCACGCCCAGAAGACGCAAGCAGCCCGAATTTGAATTCTCCGAGGGAACTAAAACAAAAAAATTAAGGGTGCAACCGGAGGAGCCGATTATAAACCCAGAAAGCGGCGAGTGGAGGGGAATAATAAGCAGTAAGAGATCCACGTACCGGAAATAAAAATATTTTCAATAAAGCGCCTGAGAATATTTTTGGGTGTGAGCTAGGTGTCGAAATTTGGGGCAGCCGCCGGTCGTTATTGATCAAAAACGGTAGTAAACAAGTTCCAACGCAGCCTGCTGGCAGCGATCGGACCCGTTTACGAGCGGTTCGAAAAGCTCGGGCCAGGCCCGTCGGCGAGGCGCGGGCGCCGAAATTATGGTTGGCTTACGGTAGTGGTGGGGGCTCGATGCCGGTTCGCGGTCTGTCAGAGCCGCGCAAGGCCGAAAATAGGGGATCCTGGGGGCCGGCTGGCAATGGCGCGTCACGTGCGCACAAAATGCGAGGCACAACGTCCGTGTGTCAGGGGGCGCGCCGCGTTGTCGCTCGTGTTTTGATGGGGGAAAAGGGGTGTTTGCTGGGTCGATCTGTGCGCAGCGACGTGAATGTCTACCAAAAAATCCCAAAACATTTTCTAATAGGCGGCAGAGCCGAGGAAAAATAGGCATGTATGGGGAGCAGCGCTGGTGGCGGCGGTTTTCTTATTATATGGCGAAATAGGGTGTGATAAACGTTTATAATTTGTCGTGATTAAACACTACAAATTTTAGTTTTAGTTTTTGTTTTTAAAAATTAGAAATGCGGAAGCAAAAATTACAGTGACACCGAATTTTGTGCGTAAATGGGTACGTCGTTGAACTTCGAAGGCGCAGTGAATTTTGCGTCAAGAGGAGCGGCTCGGCGTCTTGCTTACGTTTGGGTTTTTTGAAAAATCAAAAATTTTTCGCGGTAATTCCACTAAAATCCAGCTTTCTTTATGTTTTAACATTTCCTGTTTTTGGTATCAGTGATAGGCAAGCTACACGGATGTGAATATGGAAAAAACCTGATCCGGAACTCGAAAAACCAACATTTTTTGCCAGACAACACTCGCGTCGGGTAGGGGTCGGAATCTCGAAATTTCGGAATCTCGAAATTTCGGAATCTCGAAATTTCGGAATCTCGAAATTTCGGAATCTCGAAATTGCGGAATCTCGAAATTCCGGAAATATTAGTAGATTCTTGGAAGCAAAACTATTATGTATCCAAATTTTTCAGATGCAAATACAAGATTTCCGATACAACGAAAAGTAGACCCCCTCTAACTCGACGCAGAAGCGTCGGATCGGGATGATAGTCATACCGTTCGAAAGCCCTTGAAACGACGAGTTGATAAACACCTTTTTCAGAGGGTCTACTTTTAGTTTTATCGGAAATCTTGTATTTGTATCTGAAAATTTGGATCATAGTTTTGCTTCCAGGAATCTGCATTTTCCGGAATTTCGAGTTCCGAAATTTCGAGATTCCGAAATTTCGAGTTCAGAAATTTCGAGTTCCGAATTTCGAGTTCCGAATTTCGAGTTCCGAATTTCGAGATTCCGACTTTCACCCCTCGCGTCAATTAGCAGGTGCTAACAACCCCCGGTACACAACCATTGGGCCCAATAAAAACTCACGGGTCTGGCTAAGCTTATCGCAGACGGCGTGGGCTTATCACAGGGTGGCTGCCCATGTGGCTGGGGGCCCAGGCAGACAAACAACCCTGAGGGGCCAATGAAACTTTATTCCAGTAAAAAGCGTCATGAATTGGAAATATGAAGGCGAATACTTCTTTGTAATTTTTCCCAGTTTACACTTCCTCGGATAGGAGCCCGTTGGACAGGTGCGAGAGGTTGACGTGCTTCGGGGCGGCTTGTCTGAAAAGATAGTACTTTTTTTAAACGGTTTTTACAGTCCTAAGTTCAGAATCCTAACGTAAAAACTACAAATTCAAAGATCTAACCATTTTTAAAATGTTGAAATAGTTTTCTATACTTGAAATATAACTAACTCGATGCAAAGCACGTCCAAAAGACCTTGTATTACCTCAATAGGCAAATCTTGATTAATAGAATATGATTTATAGGCTTTTGAAGCAACGTACTGCTTCAGCAGGGTGTATCGATCCTCGTCGCCACTGTCCGTCTTCAACAGGAAGGCCATCGTCACGAGGATGGTCAGGCCGAAGATGGCGGCCAGGGAGACGAGCAGCGTGGCGAGGATGTCGTACTAAAGCCCACTCTGCTTGAATTTGCTTGGCATCCGCTCGGAAAAAGCCGGCCGCAACCAAATAGGCCTCAAAACCCAACTTTTCGGACGTAATTTTGTGCGCTGATTACGAAAAAACCTATCGCGAGTCGTGAAAACGCAAATTTCACGATTCGGGAGACCTTTACGGGGTCAGCTTTCAAAATACGCCAGAAAAGGTCGAAAAACGCTTGATGTAAATAGCGTTCAAAAACCTACAGTTTCTCGTTTCGTGGCCAGCCACTCGTTTGCGGATTCGGCGAAGAAAGCTGAACAAAAAAAAAATGGATTTTTCGTCGAATTTCAAAAACTTACGCTTTAAAAAGACGCCGACCCGGACGCACGGGTCGATGAGGTCGACGCGGATTCGATGCGGGACAGGTTGCTTAGAATATATTTAAAAGTGTAACTAAGTTCTGCCCACAAATTGGACCCGGCTACTGAAATTGCCGAAGAACGGCCGCTGGGAGACGGGTTTGCTAAAATGACGCGTGTTTAGGGTTAGGAAAAAAGCAATAAAAATATCGAATAACCAGAAGAACCAGGCTTAGGCTTAGGCTTAGTCTTACAAGGGAAGGGCACGTGGACGAAGTGGAATTTCACAAAACCCTCGCGGCTACCCCCGGGTAATCGACTATGGAGATCACGATGCCGCTTTCCGATTTTCCTGCGGAGGCCTCTGGACAGAGATACAGCACTTCCGGAAAATGACGATTTGCATGCGGAAAATTAGGATCCGGGGAAGCTTTATTAGGCTCGCCCATCAGTATGGAATCACCGGTCGAATGGTCGATTGGTAAGCAACTCGCTTGATAGGATACTGACGAGGGTACGGATCCTCTCACGATTTTTTCGTTTTGCTTTTTGACAGGAACTTTTTGCACGAGTCCAGAATTTCCTTGACTTCGACAAAATTTTTAGAGTGATGAATATCATAGATTTAGCTATCCCACCAAAAAAATTGAAAATTAAAAAAATATTCGCGAGAATCCTCCCATCAGGCGAAATTTTTATAAAGTTTGTGAAAGTATTTTAGATTTGGTTACTCTGCAATAACGTACGTCTTAATTAAAATTTAGAGTTATCGCGGCAAAAATAGCAATGAAACCTTGTTCGAAAACCACTGGTCAAAAAGCAAAACGAAAAAATCGTGAGAGGATCCGTACCCTCGTCAGTATCCTATCAAGCGAGTTGCTTACCAATCGACCATTCGACCGGTGATTCCATACTGATGGGCGAGCCTAATAAAGCTTCCCTGGATTCTAATTTTTCGCATGCAAATCGTCATTTTCCGGAAGCGCTGTATCTCTGTCCAGAGGCCTCCGCAGGAAAATCGGAAAGCGGCATCGTGATCTCCATAGTCGATTACCCGGGGGTAGCCGCGAGGGTTTTGTGAAATTCCACTTCGTCCACGTGCCCTTCCCTTGTTAGGCTTAGGCTTAGGTTAGGCTTAGGCTTATGCTTACGCTCACCAGATCTCCTTTGTCGCGTAGCCCTTCTCGTCGAGAATCTGCACGTTGACGCACATGTTTTTGGCTGCAAAATGGAGATGATCTTTCGGAAAAATGACGCCCCACCCATGCAGCGGGCGCTGTTCACGCGGAACGCAAAAATGTAGGCGGTGGAGGGGCGATCGGGGCGTAGAACTAGCCGATGCACCGAGTATAGCCTACAGTAATGTACGGTAGTAAGGTAAGCTTGTTAGTAATATAACCTGGCGCCGAGGTGGTAGTGCGCGTCGAGTGGCTTCTTCTTGAAGACGTACAGCTTGTGAAGGTCGAGCACTTCCTGTGTCTCCCATGACAGGCTGCTGGATGCGGTCAGGTTGGTGCAGAGGGCTGAAGCGGAAATGATGTGTTTTTCGGGAGATTCTCAACAATCAAAGCGTTTTTCGGGCAGCAACACGACGACCGGGGCGGTTTCCGTAAAGTCGCCGGCGAGCGTTGCTGAAAATTACTGTATAATGGCTTAGGCTTAGGCTTAAGTTAGGCTGAGGCTTGGCTTAGGCTTAGGTTAGGCTTAGGCTTAGACAAGCAGTAAGCAGACACCTTTTAGTTTCTCGACGGGCACTGGGTAGCTCAAATCGAGCATGCGGAGCTCTGATTGGTCGACGGCATGTCTGAAAAAGGATATAAAAAGTAAAGGTGTTTAAAAAACCTTACGTCGATTTCCGTAGCGATACTACTTCCGTGTAGTAGCCCGTATCGTCGCGCGACAATTCAGATATCTAAAATGGCAAAATGGTTTCTTTTTTTTCCAGCCTTTTTGCGAATAGAAACTAGGATGTAACTAAAAGCCGATATTTCCCGCTTTCTATTAATGCACGGGCGAAGGCAGGCTAGCAGAGATTGTGTGGAAGCAACAAGATCCCCAAGAAATACCTGAAAAACGCATGGATAGCGCGTGGAGCCCGGGCGACGGCCCTCGGCCACAAAGAGCCTCGAGTACATGGTCGTGCCGAGATTTGCCGTGTACGTGCGAAAGCTGCAGGTTTCTGCATTTCGTGGTTTTGTATAGTTTAATATTTTGAATTACTGTCGCTCCGAGGTCTTGGGACGACGTCACCGTTTCCGGGCGTTGGCGTGACCTAGAATTCTTCCTTTAAGGGCCCGGACGTGCCGCCCCCAGCCAACAGGGGAACGCCCGGGGGAGGGCGCGGCCCTTCCCCGCGTAACCGATTGACTATGCCGTCGGCATCCCTTTAAAGGGACCGGCAAGGGAAGGCAGGTTTCGGGTACTGGACTATTAGCAGGGGGACGAGCGCGCCGTACGCCCCCCGCTATCAGACCAGTACCGAAAATTCCTCTTCCAAACTCACCTGCGGCACTGGAACCATATCGATTACCCAGAGGTCGATGTCGGCGTGGCATGGTGCCGGCGCATCGGCAGAGTGAGACTGCAAGGCTTAGGCTTAGGCTTCGGGTTTTTGAAAAAAAAGACAAAACCAACAATTGATTGGAAAGCGATTTGCAGGGGATCATCGGCTTTTCTCTGGTCCCACTAAATTTTTTTTGCTGAAAATTCTCGAATTTCCCACCACAGACGAATATACAGGGCCCAGGTTTCGCGTAAAATTTCCTCTAAAGGTAATTCTGAACTCCGGCAAGCTAGCAGGGATCATTGAGGAAGCTCCCAAAGTGCCTCTGCTAGCCTGCCCTCTCCTCTTCCTCAAAAATCTCTGCTAGCCTGCCCTCTCCTCTTCCTCAACAATCTCTGCTAGCCTGCCCTCTCCTCTTCCTCAACAATCTCTGCTAGCCTGCCCTTTCCTCTTCCTCAACAATATCTGCTAGCTTGCCCCCTCCCTACATTCCGACAATCATCTCCAGCCGACATTCATGTTGAATGACGACTATCATCCGATCCATGTCGGCAGGTCGGCTTTGGGTGATGGTCAATTCGAGTGGCTGCGTAGCAGCCCCGTCGACCGATGCCTTTTCCGTCATCTCGAAGTGGTGAAGCGCAGATCCAGATTTCATAGAGAGACTGTAAGAGTTATTCTTGTCTTGAATGGTCCATTAAAAGCTTAGGTTCAAGCTCAGGCTTACTAGGGAGGTATCTGAACTCGGCATCGAACTTTGAAAAGTCAGATACACCATTCGACGCGCCTTGTCGAGGGGATTCCAAATATGTAATAAAATCAACCAGAGCCTATAACCGTAAAAAGTTATGAGCATTTTAAGTTTTGCAGTGCAAATCGCCGCGGCGATATGAGCCCCTCCCAGCGCACCCTGTCCATCGGCCCCGTGGCCTAGTGGTGTGCGCATGGGTCTCCGGTCTGTACGACCAGGGTTCGGATCCACTCAAGATTTTTATTTTTTGCTTTTTGACCAGTTCCTACTTTTTGCATTTCCAAACTCGGGAATAAGTTTTTCTTGACTGTGTGACCCCTAAAAGGCAACAGCGATCATAAAATAACCTCGGGCAACAAGACCAGGATTGGACGCTCTCTATATCAAAGTTGGCAAAATCAACAAAAACCGCCCTTTTAAGACTCTGTACGAATTCGAAGAATATAATTTGTCGAAAACAGAACAGTACATCTTGATCAGCAGAAAATTCTCTTTCGAATGAGCTATCTTACATAGGCTTTACGCGAAATTCTCGAAACGTCTTCGGCAAGCTGGCCATACCTACCCTTACCCCGCATTCCAAAAATATTTTTTTACGGAAATTTTTGGCAGCCGTATGTAATATAGCTCATTTGAAAGAGCTTTCTTTGTTGAATAAGGAGCACTAATCAATTTAGGCTAAATTCCATTCCGCGGGATGATACATGGTCTCAAAGATACTGTTTTTCACCATTTTGACGACTTCGAATGCTCATAACTTTTTATCGTTATACGCTCTGGTTGATTTTATTACATATTTGGAATCCCCTCGACAAGGCGCGTCGAATGGTGTATCTGACTTCTCAAGGTTCGATGCCGAGTTCAGATACCTCCCTAGTTAGACTTATCCTACTCGTAAAACATTGTCCGATTCTCCGCCATCTCGAGTCGCACTTCTTCAGCCTCACCACCCACTGCAACAAGGAAACAAAGAAGGGCTAGGCAAGCCGTTTTCAGGAGCATTTTGGAAGGAATAGAACGATAGATTTTTGGATGCCATCCTCTGATTCAAAGTGTAGATTTCAAAGTGCGGACTAGCAGAGATAATTTGGGAAATCGTTGGCTTAGTTTGGGCCTGAAGGCTTAGGCTTAGGCTTGCTGCTTCGGTTAGGCTTAGGTCTAGGCGCAGGTTTAGGCTTAGCAATGGGCTTGGGCTTAAACTTTGGCTTGGGATTAGACTTGGGATTAGGCTTTAGCTTATCTTCGGAGGAAGCGAAGCACTATTCTTTGACCATGCCCAACTATACCCTATTTCGCCTGGTTTTTGTCTGGCTTCCACCGATAAGCTGACGTGCTGCGCATCGATCTGTACTATTTACTCCCCCGCGAGCAAGGGGGGAGCCCTCACGCGCCAGTGGGAATTTCGCAATCCCGCAACCCCCCGTTCGTTCGGCCCGCTATTTCAAGCTGTCTTTCTGGTCCACCTGCCCATTTCCACATGGCTCGTTGCATTTTCATCATTTTAATCCTGTACTTAATTTATTGCAAAGTTTTGGAGGTTTTGCTTCGGGATTTTTAATTTTCAACGAATTTGCCACCTCAACCATCTCTGCTGGCCTGCCATTCCTCACTTTTCAGATTCCTACTCCTTCCTTATGGAAAAACGTGGCCAATTTGTCGGGTATTCAGATGAATTTGTAAAGGTATAACCAATTACGCAATGCAATTTTATATTTTTCTAGCTTCAAGTGGGGCACCTCGAGGTGACGTGGTTTTATTTTCCGACGGCCAGCAGCAAGAACATCCCGTACGAGAAGATCAAGGGCATATACTATGAGCAACAGGTTGGGCAGGCTAGCAGAGATTGTTGAGGAAGAGGAGAGGGCAGGCTAGCAGAGACTGTTGAGGAAGAGGAGAGGGCAGGCTAGCAGAGATTGTTGAGGGGGGGAGGGCAGGCTAGCAGATTGTGGAGGAGGGGGCAGGCTAGCAGAGATTGTTGAGGAAGAGGAGAGGGCAGGCTAGCAGAGACTGTTGAGGAAGAGGAGAGGGCAGGCTAGCAGAGACTGTTGAGGAAGAGGAGAGGGCAGGCTAGCAGAGACTGTTGAGGAAGAGGAGAGGGCAGGCTAGCAGAGATTGTTGAGGAAGAGGAGAGGGCAGGCTAGCAGAGATTGTTGAGGAAGAGGAGAGGGCAGGCTAGCAGAGACTGTTGAGGAAGAGGAGAGGGCAGGCTAGCAGAGACTGTTGAGGAAGAGGAGAGGACAGGCTAGCAGAGATTGTTGAGGAAGAGGAGAGGGCAGGCTAGCAGAGACTGTTGAGGAAGAGGAGAGGGCAGGCTAGCAGAGATTGTTGAGGAAGAGGAGAGGGCAGGCTAGCAGCGATCTTTTGGGAAAATTTTTATCTTTTTTTAGAACCTGAAAAGGCAGCTGTGCAAGGTGAAGGGCTGGGGGATGTCCTGTACGCCTTGCTGGTGGGCTTGTGACGTGATGAGGTGGGTTTTGGGTTTAAAAAGTTATAAAAATATGATAAATGGAATATGGATTCATTTTTATTACGGTAACCGGTAAAAAAAAGCGATGGTTCAAAAGCCTAGGGCTATAAAAAATCTTCAGAAATTGGCACCCAAAAGACGCGGCCCCGTTTTACAACGTGGTCGTCGACTGCGGCGAGACGACGTACAAGGTAAGGACGCTTCCCCAAGAATCTCTGCTAGCTTGCCTAGGAAAAAAATCTTATTTGTCAGGGCTTCTCCTGCCAAAACATTGGCGGCTTCCTGACGTCGATCCAGCCGCGTCTGCCAAGTGGATGCGCCGTCCGTGGCGAGCTGCCGTTCTGAGCTCCGGTTTTTACAACTGTATTTTTGATTGGCAAAACGTGTACATAAATTTTTTACTTACTTACTTATCATCCAGGGCGGGCTTGGCAAGCTAGCAGAGATCTTTGAGCTCGGTTTCTTGGCCAAAACCTTGCCGATTTCGGTGATTTTGAGCTCCATAAACATCTACTTTTCGAGATCTATCGAATGATGTACTCAAAAGCACAAAAATATCATTTATTACCAAGTTAAGAGGCTTAGAACATGAAAAAGGACTTTTAGACCCGATTCTCGGGGTGTTTCCAATCATAACGCCCAAAACCGGGCCGATTTCGATGATTTTAGCTTTAAAAAATCTACTTGTTAAGTCCTATCAAACATATACTCAAAACTGCACAAAAATTGTCTTTTTAAAATCGTGAGGCCCTCATGGTTTCACAGCCCAAAAAAATTGTGATGTTGGCTGTATTATCTCAGGGCTTCAAGATTTTTGGCCTGCGCAAGAGGATCCACGTGATCGAGCAGTTCAAGGGTTTGAAAGCGATCAACAACATGTCAGGAAGCAACACTGGGAAACATTCGTTTATTCGACAAAACATCACCACCCAACGCAACAAGGACAAGGAGGTCAGTGAGTGGTGACTGGGGGCGGCGGGAAATACTTGAACGGAACACGCATTAAAGACGATGGATGGATGGATTTTGGGGGGAGGAGGAGGAGGACGAGTTGATGGGGGCGGGGAGGACGAGGTCGTTTTCTTAAAGCCGAGTCTTGGGGCGGGGGGCGGCTTATTGCGGCGGCGGGGCGGGGGCGGCGGGAGAAGCGCCAGCAACACCGGGCGGCACGCCCTGCGGCTGGTGGAAGATGACCGGCAGACGGCGAACACCCTCGAACTTCGCGTCCCGCTTCCACAGCTCGCGAGACTGAAAAGGTGGATCATGCTCGCGCTCATGCTCATTTGCTGCTCTCATTTTCCAGCTCATGCTCAGGCTTAGGCTTTCCCACCATCTGATCGGTGACCGAGGCGTCGCAGCGCATGTGGTAGATGGCAAAGTAGTGGCGGGCGACCTTCAGGTCCTGCAGGGTCTTGTTCTGGAACCAGAGCCGCACACGGTACGACTCGCCCTTCTTCACCATCCCCATCGGCGGCTGCACGCGGAACAGCTCAGCCGACGTGCACTTCACCTGAAGGGGAAGGCCAGCGGTGAGCATTTGGGAGAGGAAGCCGCACCTTGAATGTTTGGCGCTCGGCCGAGTTGTTGGTGATCTGCAGGTCGATGTACTGGGGCACGCCGAAGCGGCCGCCCGGGAATGGGATGCACGTCTGGTTGAGGCCCAACTAAAGGATTGAGATGGGTTGGAAGGGATCAAATAATCTCTCCTCTGCCTCAACAATCTCTGCCAACCCACCTGAAACTCTGGCTCTCCGGGGCGATTGGGGAGGGATGCGGTGGCGGGTCCCTGGTGCGGGGCGGACATGATGCTCGGTGAGGCGGCCATCGTCAGCGAGTCGGTCGACTTTGGTAAATCACGCAGCGCGCGCTTTATTTTGTACCTCTTTTCCTATGCTTTTTTGGGGTACTTTCCGGTCTGGATGCAAATTGCAAAACACCCAGGATGCAAATTGCCCCTCCAAACGCAAAGGTTAGCAATGTTCATCTACAGTTTGATCTTCCTCCCATTGACACCATCAGATCCTTATCTCAAAAATACGTATCCTCCCGGCTTTTCCTCCCCCCGGAAACCACCCCCAGAAATTTAATGGCTCAATTGAGAGGGGCTTTAAAAGCTTGGGTTTGTCACCTTTTCCGCAGCGATAAGCCCATTTTCGGGGTGACCCCATGCTGTTCGTCGTATTCTTCGCTGCTTTATTGGCTGGGGGTAGGTTTTCAAGGGGAGGGCAGGCTAGCAGAGATTGTTGCGGAAGAGGAGAGGGCAGGCCAGCAGAGATCCTTCAGGAATTCCATAATTTTTTCAAGCCAACGCCCAATCTCAGTGCAAAAATGACGACTATACGATGCTGGGCAACGGGAAATGCTATCGGGTACGTGTCGCTAGGTCAGCGCACTAATCGTGGTTTCAAGGTGTTCACCTCCAACACGGCCGGCTCGTCGGCGTCGGCTGCGTGTCATTTAACGGGCGGCGAGCTGGTGTCGATCCATTCGGAAACGGTAAGTTAGGCTTAGGCTTAGCCTTAGGTTGCATTTTCCAGGACAACTACATCATCGGTATCTGGGCCCAGGGCAACCTGGTCTCTGAAGCCTGGATTGGACTACGCTGCGATACCCTAGACACCTGCGGCTGGCTCGACGGAACCCCACTGAATTATACACATTTTGACGGTGAGGGGAAGCTAGCAGATATTTTTGAGGAATTCAAGCGGGAGGGAAGGCTAGCAGAGACCATTTGCCAATTCCAGACAACCCGCCCGACCTCGACGATGGCAACTGCTTCTTCATGAAGGTTGGAATGGTGGATGTCAGTAAGGATTTTGCTACCATTCCGCAGCTGCCCTATAGACATCTTCAACACATGGGCCGTCGGGAAGTGCGACAAGAAGAAGAACTTCATCTGCGAGCAGGTCGACCACAGTAGGCTCCGCAAATGGGGCTCTGATAGTCGGCGATTTTCAGTTCCGACCAAGGCGCCGACTACCGTGCGCCCGTCACCATACCCATTTAGCCACTCGCCGGATTGCGGAACTTACTACTTGTTTAATGGATGGTTCGTATTTTAGGGGGGGGTTTGGGTTTTTTCTGAGGTTGGTAAACCCGACCATTAATGCGTTTAGGTGTTACAACGTGTTTCCGGGCGGTTTGAGCGAACCGGACGCCGAGCTGACGTGTGAGGCGGATGGAGGGCATTTGGTGGCGATACACGAGGCTTTTGTAGGTTGCTAGCCTGCCCTCTCCTCTTCCTCAACAATCTCTGCTAGCCTGCCCTCTCCTCGTCCTCAACAATCTCTGCTAGCCTGCCCTCTCCTCTTCCTCAACAATCTCTGCTAGCCTGCCCTCTCCTCTTCCTCAACAATCTCTGCTAGCCTGCCGATTCAGACCAACAACTTCGTCACGCAACTCCTCGCCAGCATCGGAGCCCCGTTCGGGTGGATCGGGCTGAAATACCTACCCAACGGAGTGTACATCTGGACAAACGGCTCCCCGATGGACTATAGGAATATACCAGGTACCTGTGGCTTCAACCACCCTTTAGAATGCGCTACGGTAGCTCAGAGTCAAATTTTAGCTATCCTATCGCCGGCGTTGGGGTCCTGTTTTGCGATGTCGACTTTGGATCAGGTAGGTAACAAAATATTTCTTTCTGGCTTTATCTCTCTCTCTCTCGCTCTCTCTCTCTCTCGTTTCCTCCACACTCTTACAGTACTACCCGGCCCAATGGATCCCGTACAACTGCTCGACGCTGTTGCCCTTCGTCTGCCAGCGGCCGAGAGCCGGTTGGTATTTTGTTGCTTTAACAAGATCGAGGGCATGCTAGCAGAGATTATTCAGGGCGATTTATACATCTTTTCAGATGTTCCGACGACAACCAAAACCTTGCCGACGACGCAGGTCGTCTCCAGCTGCGGTCAAACCCAGTATGGAGGATACAGTGGGCAGGTGAGAGAGCGAGAGAGAGAGACGGCCTTCTTCAGATCCCCTCGCCAAACTACCCGTACTCGTTCCACGGCTCATACTGCTACTACCAGATCACCGGGAGCAGCCGGGCCGTCAACGTCGAGGTGCCGGCGATTCAGGGCATGGTGAGTGTTGCGATTTCCGGAAATGGACTCTGCTAGCTCGCCTAGGAAATTGTAAAAGTCTAAAGACTTCGCTTTCCCTCTCTCTCTCTCTCGCTCTCTCTCTCTCTCTCTCTCTCTCTCTCTCTCTGTCGCTCTCTCTTCGTGTCTCTCTCTGTCTCTCTCTCGCGCGCGCTCTCTATCTCTCTCTCTTTCTCTTGCTCTCTAAATAAAGGGTTCAGAACGGCTTCTGGGTGCTGACGCTCTTCGAGGGAGCCCAAGCCGATCGTTATTACCTCATCGACGAGTAAGTCAGCTTCGTAAGCTCGTTTAGGCTGGGCTTAGGCTTGGGCCTAGGCTTCGGCTTAGACGGCTTAGGCTTGGTTCAGCATTTTCGCCTCAGGATCTCCTCCCAAGACTTCCCCCGCATCATCCACCGCTCCTCCAGCACCAACCTGCTGCTCGTCACTTTCTATTCTGCCGACTCGGTCATCGGGCAACCCTTCTTCGTCTCATACAACAGCACCCAAGGTGGGGCAGGCTTGCAGGGATCATTGACGGAATTACAGTACCCCTTTATCCGACCCGGAATGGTACGGTGACCCCTGCGACCACTACGGTAGCTCCCAGAAAACTGTCGTGTGATGTGAATTGGTCGCTGGACGAGCAGCGGGGAGTGTGAGTGATTTTGAGAGAAAGGCAGAGAGAGAGAGAGAGAGAGAGAGAGAGAGAACTGGCAAGCTATCAGTAATGCTTTAGGTGCTATGCCATCTCCTCTCCAGGCACTTTTGATGATGGAGCGGGCTACTGTAGACTACGATACGCACAGATGCTCTCAGTGCACAGCTTACAGCAGGAGACCGGGTTGTACGGTAGGTGGGAAAGAGAGGGAGAGTGAGGGAGAGAGAGAGAGAGAGAGAGAGAGAGAGAGAGAGAGAAAGCGGACAAGCTAGCAGAGATCCTTTTGGATTTTCAGCTCTGCTCAATCGTGCCTACCCGAATGGTTTCTTTGATGTGTGGATCGGCGGGAAGTACGGTGGTTTTTCGGGTTGCTCTTTTTCTGTCTCGCTCCGTCTCTCTCTCTCTCTCTCTCTCCCTGTCTCTCTCGCTCTATCTGCGTCCTAGGTTCAACATCAACGCCTGGAAATGGTGGGACGGGACGGCGTTCGACTACTCGGCCTGGGTCGGAGGTGAGGCAGGCTAGCAGAGATTGTTGAGGAAGAGGAGAGGGCAGGCTAGCAGAGATTGTTGAGGAAGAGGAGAGGGCAGGCTAGCAGAGATTGTTGAGGAAGAGGAGAGGGCAGGCTAGCAGAGATTGTTGAGGAAGAGGAGAGGGCAGGCTAGCAGAGATTGTTGAGGAAGAGGAGAGGGCAGGCTAGCAGAGATTGTTGAGGAAGTGGAGAGGGCAGGCCATCAAATCTTCTTGAGGAACCCTTTCCAGGACGTGACAATGGCACTTCAAGCAGCTGTGCTTCCGCCGTCCGGCATGGTGCATCAAGCTTCCAGCAAGGCTGGGTGGCCCGCGACTGCTCGATCTATCTACCGGCTGTCTGTTACCGCACGGCCAATATCAATGCAGAATAAATTTACCTTTCTTCGATTCTTAAGGGCAGGCTAGCAGAGATTTTGAGGAACACTCAAAAATTCTTTATTATCAGCACAGAAATACCAGTCGTAGTTACCCAAAAAAAATATTATTAAATTTTCAAGGTTCGGCCCTAGAAAATCTGCTCCGGCCTCGCTGTAATTAGTAGCGGTGCTGAACGCTTTTGCTTCTTCTGCCGCTTGAGAGCCTTTTGGAGGGTGATGAGGAATTGCTGGAAGGTCATCTTTTTGCTGCCGTCGTCGTACAGCTTCTGAAGGCTCTGGACGAGGCCGTCGTTGCTCTGAAAAAGGCATGTTAGCAAAGATTTTTGAGGAAGAGGTTGTTTTTGTCATTCTCTCTCGCTCTCTCTAGCTTTCTTTCAATCTCGCATCCTTATATTGTATCTACGGCTCGCGCTCTCGTTCTTACTCACTCACTCTCTCTCTCTCTCTCTCTCTCTCTCTCTCTCTTTCGCTCTAACCTGTAATTCCTGCTGTTTCATTGTCGTCGCCCGACTCGTCGTCCCTCCTACCGTAGTCCCTTCTACCGTAACCCCAGACCCATCCTCTTCCACCTCATAGAATTCCTCTCCTTCATCCTCATTCTCATCAGCCCACTCAAAATACTCCTCTTTCGTCGGGATCATCGGCTTGGAGTTTGTGGCTTGGCGCTCTGGTTTTTCCGTCGTCAAAAATTGCGCAAATTCCGCCAGTTCTCGCTGGAAAACGACTTCTTTCGATGGCTTTGTTGGCTTAGATGGCTTGACTTTCTCAACAGATGCCTTTCCTGAGATTTCCAAACCCATTTCGCGTGTCATCGGCTCGGAATTCTGAGTTTTTGCTTCGATTCCTGGCTTGCTAGCTTTTCCAGGGCCTCCAGCCTCTGCCAGCCCACTTTTTGAGCTTGATGTAGGGCTCAGATTTTGGAGTTCCGGCTCGGCTCCTGAATTCTCGCTTTTGACTCCTTTTCGAGCTTCACCAGGCCCATGTTTTGAGCTAGACGTCGTTGCTTTCAGCTGCTCGAGCTCAGCTTTTTGAGGCTGAGCTTTTTCCATTGATTTTCGACGCAATTTCTTGCTCGTCATTTCCGATTTCTGGGTAGTTGTCGGCTCTTCGACGAATGCGTCTGGATTCTTGTCATCCCACACCCACAACCTCTGGAATGACGACGCGTCGATACCATCGACGGCGTCGGCAAGGGCAGAATTCGGTTTCTTCGGCTGCTTGGCTTCTAAAAAATGGCTTGAGCAAGACATCAGAAAGTTCGAATAGCTTCTTCAGCAATCTCTGCTAGCCTGCCCTCTCCTCTTCCTCAACAATCTCTGCTAGCCTGCCCTCTCCTCTTCCTCAACAATCTCTGCTAGCCTGCCCTCTCTTCTTCCTCAACAATCTCTGCTAGCCTACCCTCTCCATTTCCTCGACAATCTCTGCTAGCCTGCCCTCTCCTCTTCCTCAACAATCTCTGCTAGCCTGCCCTCTCCTCTTCCTCAACAATCTCTGCTAGCCGGCCCTCTCCACTTCCTCAACAATCTCTACTGGCCTGCCCCACCTTTCATAGGCGCTCTCCTCGCGACAGCCCTGTTTACTAAAGTTTGCTCCCAGGGAAGCAGATTCTCAGGGTCAAGCGGGAACGGCGTCTGGATCTGATTCGGCGGCACCGTCACGCTGCTCTGGAGGCGCTGGGCCACCTGGAATTTCGTGTCACGCCCCTTTGAAAACTGTACCTCAAATGATTGCTGGAAGTTCCGGCGCACTTCCGTGTCGGTGTCTACGATTTGGTCCTGTCTGTAGTTGTTCAGAAGGATGCCGAAAAGTACATCCATCTAAAGGGCAGGCTAGCAGAGATTGTTGAGGAAGAGGAGAGGGCAGGCTAGCAGAGATTGTTGAGGAAGAGGAGAGGACAGGCTAGCAGAGATTGTTGAGGAAGAGGAGAGGGCAGGCTAGCAGAGATTGTTGAGGAAGAGGAGAGCGCAGGCTAGCAGAGATTGTTGAGGAAGAGGAGAGGGCAGGCTAGCAGAGATTGTTGAGGAAGAGGAGAGGGCAGACTAGCAGAGATTGTTGAGGAAGAGGAGAGGGCAGGCTAGCAGAGATCCTTGAAAAAAACTGACTTGCTCATGGGATATTGTGACCGATTGGCGCAGCACGGTCCATTGCACGCAGGTACGGTAGTTTCCAGTGGTCAAACTCCCGGTGTAGGTATAGTAAGAATGATCATCTGAATTCAATTTTTATGAGAATGCCGATCGTTCTATTTGTCGGTATTATCTATTGCGACATCTTAAGGTTTTGTACTTAAGCGATAGGCAATCTAGCAGAGACCATTTTCCACTCACCTGGTATCATCTTTGCGTAGTCAAACCCGACGCCGATGACCTCATGCTGCTCGGTGGCGTTGTGCTCCTTGGTCAGCTCTTCGACCTCTTGGATCGGGCGCAGAATCTTGTCGAACTCGGCGTTGGCGGCGCCGACCTCGACGAAGACGGCGATCACGGCGATGCCGTTTGGTTTTCCGACAGAGTTGTCGAACGTGCCGTACTCGTCGCGGTTGTAGTGGACGAAGTGCAACTAGAAGCTTAGGTTTGGGCTTAGGCTTAGGTTCTGCTTAGGCTTATGCTTGAGCTTAGGCTTGGGCTTAGGCTTAGGCTTAGGCTTCGGCAACTAACTCTCTTACATAACAGCTGTCAAGCTCCCTTTAAAGCGCCCCCATTGCTCCCAAAACCCCGCCATTTCCGATCCGAATTCTCATCACTCCACCCAGCTCCAGCCAGCCGCTGCCATTTACCCCCAAAAATTCATCCCAAATGCTCAGAAAATTATTGATTTTCTGCTTTTTAATAGCTGCATTTTTGTCGGCTGTGAAAGCCTCCGATTTCGTTTATTTCGGCAGCTTTTCCGGCGACGCAACCATTCTACATCCGCTCAGGTTCGCCAATTTTAAGAAATATCGGCAAAAAACTGCCTTAAAGCGTGTAAAACCCTTATTTTTAGAGCGCACGACCAGAAGGGCTAAAAATGGAACATTTCTCGAGTGAAAAATTCGATAAAATTTGTCTAGAACCCTACATCAATTTTTAACCTGTGAAACAAATCCTGATTCCCAGGTCCCACCGCGAATTGGAAGCTTGCCAATAATTTTTGTTGAGAAGAAAAACCAGTCCCCTAGCCCCTGTTAGGCTTAGGCTTAGGCTTAGCGCCGGGAGGGGTCGAACCCGGACCCTTTTCCACGTAGGCTAACACGCTACCAATTGACCATGGCAACGAAGGTCTGAGCATTGTAAAAAGTCTCTTTGAAGTGGGGTATCAAGGTTTTAAATAAGGTTTTTCAGTAGTAAAAGTATTTTTTTACATAGTTTTATTTTTTAGAAACTTCGATTTTTCTATTTTTAAGCCCTAAAATCATTTTAAATAGTTTAATTAAGTATTTAAAGTTTCCACCAACCTCCGCAGGTAGCCGCTGTCCATCCAGCAAATGTTCGGACCCGTTCATAAACGGATTTCCCCAATGGCCGTGCATCTGGTATAGGTAGTACGGGATTCCGTCGGTAGACGATGACGTGAATGCTAAACCGCGCCCTTTTAACGTACCCAAAAACCATACTGGATCGATCGTTGGGCGGGGTGGTGTAGATGTAGAAGCCGTGCGCTATGTGGCCCTGAATTTTGGGAATTACCAGTCATTTCATGTCGTAAACGTCCAAAATTTCCTCAATAATCCTTGCTAGCCTGCCCTGATTGCCGTGACAAACCCATTGCAGTCGGTACCCATCATTGGGGTAGTAGTTCAAGTCGAAAAACGTCAAATTCGGGTCGTATGTGCTCGCGTTGGTGAGAATGTCGATCGGCGACTGCTGGTTGTCGGTGGAGACTGAAAATGTAGCGTTGCCTTGAACTCCAACTGCTAGCCAGTGCTCGAAATTCCCTAAAAATCCCTGCTGGCCTGCCTGACTTACATTGGTAGCAGGTGACTTTTCGGACGTTGCCCGGCTGTCGTCTCGATAAATGGACCTCCCACTTTCCGGCTGATGTGCATTGGATTGGGCTGAAAGTTAGATAAATAATCTGGAGTCACAATGGACCTGAAAAAAAGCTTCCGTTTGTACGAGGAACTGGTCTGTTAGCGGGGGGATTTTAGTACGGGTGACTTTGGCTACCTAGCTAACTTGTATCCCTTGCTTTTTTAGTGTATTTTATCGTTCTACAGGTTTTTGAGTACGATAAAAATCATGAAAAAATTTAAAAATCAGGATTTTTGCGAGGGCTTACTTTTTATAAAGTTTTCGCGTCGTTTTTTAAGCTTTGTTGAGTTTGTGTTTTAGCGTTTGGAGGAAGGAAAAAAGGAAAAATTTAGCCCCCCCCCCCGCTAACCAACCAGCTTCTCTGGTTCTAAACCTCTTGCAAAACCTACCCGATAGCGCCGATCCCCCGCGACGACGTGGTCCCATTCTCGAACTGGATCAGCACGAATGATGTGTATTCGCCGCTCGGGCACGCCGGCGTCGCCACCAGGCAACCTGAGAAAATCATAACAAAAAAGACCCGCAAACCGTTGACGAGCTGATAGTTGACAGACGTTTGCTGGCATTGCATGCATCGGTCTAGAATACCGCACCTCGCATCGCTGGCCAAGGTTTGGGGGCAAGAGGAGCAGGCTGGAAATCTCGAAAATGACTGTACCTTCGTAACCCAGCTTTAATTTTTTAAACTGGCATCACCAAGCGAAGGAGGAGGGTCGATTACCCTTTGCTAACTGTTTGCTACAGCTAATTTTTTGAGAGCTAGACCCTCGAAAACCGCATATAATCGAACGCTTTAATCACGTAAAATCAAACCAACGTTTCTGGCAGCTGTATAAACATCTACTACTAATGCAGTAGCAACTACCAAAACTTACACGTAAAGTCGCCAATCGGGGAATAAGTAGGTGGAGGCTGGGTCGGGATCAGCCCGCCAAACCCGCCACTGCCATAAGAAGCGCAACTCTGTGCGATAGGAAAAATGAAGTAATATAAAATGTAGACAAGGATCCGTCGCATCGCTATAAGGGTACCTGCAAAGCCTTTGTAAATTCTGCTCGCGAAATTAGTAATTTTAGACCCTTTTAGAACCCACATTACAAACGTCGAAACTATAAAAAATTCCTAAAGCACGCATTTTAAAAAAGCAGCAAAAATTTTGATACAGAACACACGCGCTTTTCTTGGGCTTCGAATGCGTGTAATTTTTACAATATCGCTAAGGAAAACTGAGCGACGACGAAGCTTTTGAATTTACGACTACAACTTGTGTGATAAAATGTGACCAGCGAACAAAGGGGCGGAGCTGCCGCAGGACCCGGATACCGTATAGGCCGTGGAGCGAGACGGATCCGCCTGCCAGCCGATTATCCCCTCCACACAATTCGCCCCGCGCCCAACTCCCGTTTGTCGGCTTTCCCCCCGAACCCCGGAATCTGATCACCCGAACACGATGAAACAGTTTTTCGGAAACTGCGAAAATTATAACTGGCCAGTGGAGTTCGGAAAATGCTTGAAAACTTTTTGAAAAGACCGGCTGGCTCCAGTTTCCCGGAAACTGCGAAAGTTTAAATTAACAATAGATGCGAAAAAAATATGCGAAAGAAAGGAAACCTGGCCTTTTGTAATGACAGTTTTTAGAGAAATCCCATTCTGATCACGCAAACGAAAAGAAGCAGTTTTACGGAAAGTTTCCGTTCGTTTCTAGTTGTCTTTCTACAGTTCTGTAGAAGCAGGTTCCTTACACCAAGATGGGCGAGTTTATCCAAATCGAGTTATGTGGTAGCTACATCGCAACATCATGAACTTGATTGGTTGATCTTTTCAGAAAAAGCCTGTCGCTTCCCATCTGGCTGCTCCCTAAAAGTTGCCGCTTGACCGTAGCGCGATAGCGTAGCGCGTCGGAAACGAGCGATCCTCTCCCGATTTTTATTGGGTTTCTTTTAACTTTTTGAACGTTTAGAAACGACTGTACTCGTTTTTCAAGTTATTTTTCCGAACCGAAAAGCACGGTGAATTTCACAACTTTCTTTTCCAGGTATTGACCAAGATGGGCGAGCACGGCCTTTTTGGAACGGGCGGCTACGGCGTCATCGGGCGCTCAGCGGGCAACGGGCCTCCACAAATCGGCGGACTCAGCGCGCAATGTAATTTTCCCACCCTGTCTAACACTTGTTTTTAGGCGATCCGCTCTTCACCGATTTCTTCTACGCTTCTGATCGCCCACTGTACTCGCCACCGCCGCTTCCGTTCACCGAGCGCGGCATGAGCAGCATGAATCAATACGGTGGTCACTCGTTGGACATTGGTTCGATCGGAAATGGGCAGCAGTTTCGCTTCAGTGTATGGAATTTGTGGCTCTTGCAATAAAGTAACACCTTTTTAGCAAAACTACCATCACCTCAACCACAGCTGCGACTCGACTGTCATGTCGTCGAACTCGAGAAGCGACGTCGAGTTGGCGCCTACGTACCCCGACACCAAGCTGATGCCCTACGACATTTTCGACGCCAACCGCAACGCTTATTCCCTCGACGTCAGCGCCGTTTACCAGATGATCGAGAGATATGCGAAAGACAAACTCGGGTGCAAGTACGTTGGCATCGTCCTAGTATCCTGCTTTGCTTTTAGATATCTGCAAGATAACCTTCCGCCAGCCGGTCCGCGTCGTGATGCTGTCTTTGCTGTGCTCATGCGGCAGCCTGATTCGTTTGAAGTGCGGTGTTTAAGGCGATCAGAATTTTTTCTACATGGCCGGATATGGATACCAATGTCATAACAAGAATTTTAAAAGTCTTTAGTAACAATCTCGAAGCCGACGTTAAAAGCTATCTAGAAGATTGAAAATTTAGTCGGAAATCCTGCATATTTGTTTCAAAAACGATAGTCTGTGTTTTCTAATAGAACTAAAGAACCGGTTCTTTCTGCTACAAATAAATTTTATTTAGAGCCTGGCATTTGACGTGTTCGCCAACTTTTACGCCCAGAAGCTCGTCGAAAGCGCCAAGTCGGCTGACCAAGTGGCCTGGATCCGCACTTCCATCGTCTCGAAGATCCCGGATATTTGCTACAATCGCTACTCATGCCGTGTTGTGCAAAAGTCGTTGGAGGTTTGAAGTCGTTGTTTATTTGTATACTTTAATTCCAGGTGCTGCCCGAGTCTGATAAGCTGGCGCTGCTCTCCAAGATCATGGAACACGATGTCGTCACCATGGCCGTCGACCAAAACGCCAACCATATCGTCCAGAAGATTGTCGAGAAGTTCAAGCCCGCCGAGTGGAAGCTGATGCTGAACTCCGTCACCTCGCACGACGGCAGCTTTTTCCGCATAATGGAAAGCAAGTACGGGTGCCGCGTGATGCAACTGACCGTCGACACTTTGTCCAAGCAGCTGGCCAACAAAATAACTTTCTGCGTAAGTATCATCCCCTTTTTATCTAGCTTTTCCCATTTCAGGAGGTCCAGACGGTCCTGGTGCCGTTGATGGAAAAGATCTTCACGCACTGCGAGCGCCTCTCGTCAAACGAATTCGCCAACTACGTCATTCAGCACACGCTTCAAATGCCAAACCTTGGCGATTACCGGAACAGGATCATCGAGCAGTGCCTTTTGTAGGCGTTTCATAATTTTTCTCATTATTTTTAGGCGCAACTTACTGTCGCTCTCCCAGGAGAAGTTTGCGTCCCACGTCGTCGAAAAGGCGCTGGCCTACGCCCCGCCGCAGCTCCGCTTCGCCATGCTGGAAGAGCTGTTCGACGGATACCTGCCGGATGTGGAGACCGGAAAGGATTGCCTCGACGTCCTCCTCTTCCACCAATATGGCAACTACGTCGTGCAGCGCATGCTAACGGCTTGCATCGACGTGCTGAAGGGCCCTAGGAGGTATTTATTTTTGTCAATTTGCAGGGCGGTAAAGTTTCTGGTCCATTATTTATTCTTTTTGTACTCTAATATCCTTTTTTAATGTAAAAATGTGAGATTCTAGCTTTTCGAACTTTCGGGTGACCGTTCGGACCGTTGCCACGCAATTTGAGCTTTTTTCATTTGAAAACTCATTTTTCTTTAGCGCCGTCAGTGCGTCCGACCTCGCTTCGTACCGCAAGTGGACCGGACGTCTGACCGACCAGATCTCGGAAAATGTGGGCCATCTCAGCCGCTACTCGTCCGGCAAGAAGATCATCCAGCTGCTGCAGGACTATGTGAAATAGGCGCCGACCCGTTCCTGACATGTCGCCCCCTAACTTTTTTCTGTGTAAATTTTGTGTGCATCCTTTTGTGCATTTCTGTTAAAGGCCTCATTGGCCTGCTCAATTTGTTGTATTTTGTCCCCATGTTGTCCCATCACTCACCCTCCTTTCTGTATATTCTTACCAAAGCTCGCCACCCCCTCCTCCCCGGCACCGCATGCCCACGAAATTTTATTTTTTCGTTTTCTGGATATGCATAGCCATACTTACCCCGTTGAATACAGTTTGTTGATACGTCACGTTCACACAATTACCAAGCAAACGTGTTGGATGCGACATTTACCTCAAGGAAAATACATATTTTGAGGCAACTGAAAATCCGGGAGGAGATTCCCATTTTCTATCTTTCCATATCAGGTCCGTTCGTTTATATCTCGTAGGTGGTTTTGGGGGGTTGATGAAAATTCAAAATTGTGGAACTATAGACATTTAACAAACGCCGAAGCTTTTTCTTATAGTTCGTCAAGTGCTATGACTGAAGTAGGACTTACATTCAACGATTACGCAGTCCCTGCCAAAGGTATCTTTTTGTTTTTTTATTTACACGGTTTTATCCAGACCTTCCGAAGCCCCCCGCGGAGGTGAAGCTGCCGCCCTCCAAGCCCGGTGCCGCTGGAAGGAGCGTTCCCAGTACAAACGATGGCTCACAACCCGCAAATAACAACTCGGCGCTGGGAAATACGGACAGCAAGAACCAGGACAGCTCGCTCACCTTCCCTAGTGAGAGCCTCTCGGCGAGCGGCAGGCAAAGGTAAGGTCGGGTGGCGCCCACGGTGCTGCTCTGTTTTTGGTCAACGTTAACATTTTACGCATGGTATCAAAACTTCGAAAACTTTAATTTTGTGTTGAAAGATGAAGTAACGACGATAAAAAGTCATGAAAGCTTCTTAAGAGCTATGAAGCACTGAAATTAGCGCGATCTAGGCTTACGTACCACAACCGCATTTGATGACCCATTTAGTACGCTGATCCTGACGTCGACTCACTCGGACCCGATCTCCACCGACGAGGATTTCTACGAGAACTACCGAGCCGCCCAAGAAGCCATCCGCAAAGGACATCACCCGATTTTGATCCCGGAGGGCACTTCCGGTATTGCATTGCCTTTGTTTTTCGATATTTTTGAATGTAGGATCCTACTTTGTGCAAGACACCACCGGCCGCTACCTCGCCGTGTTCAAGCCGAAAGACGAAGAGCCGTTCGCGCCGCTCAACCCGAAATGGCCAAAGTTCTTCCAAAGGTAATTTTGAGATTTTGCTTCATTTTGTGTTTTTTTTAGGATGCTGTGTTTCTGCTGTTTTGGTCGTGCCTGCCTCATCCCCAACAACGCGTATCTCTCCGAAGCCGCCGCCAGCCTGGTCGACGAGCGCCTGAATGTAATTGGTTTGATTTGAGAGTATCTTTGTCGCCAGCTCCATGTCGTGCCGAAGACCCGGGTCGTCAAGCTGGCCTCTTCCTCCTTCTTCTACAAGCGAACCTTTGGCTTTGGCACGGGATCCGTTGAACATTGGCCGAAGGAGGGCAGCTACCAGGTGCGCTGATTCTGGCTCTTCCTCAATTTTCTTTTCAGCTTTTCATGCACGGTTACGAGCCGGCCAGTACCGTCCTGGCCCGCTGGGACTACGATCCGAATCTGCTCAGCGAGGGTGAGGAGAAAGAATTCAAGCGACAATTCCAGGTCGGTTTTGTGTACTATTGAAATTTATTTATTTTTTTCAGAGGCTGTGCGTGCTCGACTACGTGATCCGGAACACTGACCGCCATCGCGAGAACTGGCTGATCAAGTAGCTGCAAATATATTTTTTGGAAAAAAAACTATTTTGAGGCACATTCCTGGCAAAGAGATCCGGATCGCCGCCATTGACAATGGCTTGGCTTTTCCGGTGAAACACCCGGAATGCGCCTCCCGCTTCCGGCGATTCCCGTTCCAATGGGCGACGTTGAAGTGGGCCAATGAGGTATCGCTCGTTTTGTTTCCAAAAACACTGTATTTTTCAGAGCTGGGACGTGGAGCTGCGCAAAGACCTGATGCAACGTATCACCCCGTTCTTCATCCACAACCTGTGCTCCGAGCTTCGCCCTTTGCTGCGGTATTTTTTTTGCTTTTCTCGACACTTTTGAGACTAGAATTTAGTCGCAACCGTTTCGTACGTGCCAAAATTTCAGGAGTATAAATCGGGTCCATGTAGCATCCCTGATATCCCCAATTTAGCCACGACCACCTGGACCGCTCGCTGACGAGCCATCAGCTGAAAGTCGTCCGCGGCCAGCTCTACAATCTGAGCGCCGCCCTGGAGGAGGGTCTGACGCCGGCCGAGATGTCGCGCCTGGTCCCTGTACTGCTCCACAGGAAATATCGCAAAATCCCCAGCGGGGGGTCACTGCTCGACAATTTTACGGTATGCGCATTTATCCTTTTTTCATTTTCTTAATGATTTGGTAAAATCGAGTGGAAATTTTCCTGTGGGGCCAATTATACGTAGTGATCTAATGTCATGATTAATGGTGTTTTTAGTATAAGTTATCTACGTTTCGAGTGGAAAACTATTCAGAAAACTTAGTAAATTCCTTCAAAAGTCGAAATAAGACCGAAATCTGATGCGGAAGCACCTGTTTTTTTTTAAATGATTTCTCTTAGCTGCGCGACATGGACTACAACGGACGGGTTTGCTGCTGAGTCTCGGATTCGCCTGCTCCACCGATACTCGCCCAACACCGTTCGCTTGCACCTCCTCCTCCTCCTCGCTGCCTGCGCCATTTACCCCTCAATTAATAAATTGCACCTCCCCAAGTGAACGCTTTCGATGATTCCGTTTTGTCCGGGTTGGAATGCCGGTGGATAAAGTACTTGGTCACACTCACCGCTGATTTGTTTATTTTGCCCCCATGTCCCCCACGTCTGCCTTTCTGAATGCTCTTCACTGACCGCTTATTGATCGCACAACGATAGTTTTCTACTTGTTGCTGATTTATTCTCGCACCGGCAAAAGCTTCAATTGATTTTTCGCTTCTTCTTCTTGGTTTCTCAATTTAGGTGTTCAAGACGTTATAAAGATTCCCACGTGCTAGAAATCCATCCTAAAAACGGTGGACGACCTACTGTCATGATTTACCTATAGTTAGGAAGTATTGGTTTAATTAAAGGTTAGTTTTGCGCAAGGTTCAGTTAGCCAATGATGCCGTGCGGGATTTGCTAAACGGGTTCTAAAATACGTTTTTAGGCACAGATTTAATTTTTAGTTTTACTTTTCCGGACCTCGCTGTTTTCGTGGGCTAAACGGTTGTGTGCGGCGGGCCGAGGCGTTGCTTTTTGCGTTGACACACGATGGCCTCATGTGCACGAAAAAGGGCTCTGTTTGTCTGTCCCTTGGAATGCAACCGACCCCACTGGTCACGCGGGCTCTTCTTCTTCTGAATGAAAAGCTGCCGATCGGCGCGACTTTATCCGCGACCATATTGATCTGCCCGTAGACAATGGCCTCCCTCGTCCCTCGCCAAGAAATGCGAATTTTCCCAGCCGCTCTTGGCAGATGTTTTCTTCCGCTTCGACTCTCCCCTCTTGCCCCGCTCGCTATCTCTCTCGGCAATCAAGCCCTGTTGTTCTGCCTCCAGAGACTTGAACTCCGGCAAACAGTCCATTTTCAGTTATACTATGTCCGAAGAGCCAACAAAAACACAGGACAACGTCAATGAAGCGGTGAGAAGCGTAAAAGTTGACTAGAGAATTTGCAATGTTTAGCCCGAAAACAAGGAAGATCCGAAAACCGAGGACGGCGGATTGAACGATTGGCTAAATGCTGGCACTTCGTGGGGAAGCAGCTGGCTGCAGAATGCTAAACAAAAGGTGGCTCCAGTTTTTTGTATGTTTATTGATTAGACTTTCCAAACATTCGAGCTCGTCAAGAAAGATTTGAACGAGATCAAGGATGTGATCGGAAATGAAGTGACTGGGATTACGACTGCGGCAAAAGGAGGTGATAGCTTTTAAAATTGCCAATGATTTTCGTAAAGGTATCGAATCGGTCGGCGCGCAACTCAAACAGCAGGCACAACTCCTGGAAAATCTGGTATGATTTCTACGCGCGTAATGGATTAAGCCACTTAGGTTACCCCCGATGAAGAAGAACGACCGACCGATGAAGCTAACCCGCCTGGACAAACCAAAAAATCTGAGGTTAGATTAACTTCATTTTTTTGAATTATGTGCTTAGGTCCCGAATTCAAACTCGATGGGTTTCGGCTGGATGAAGAATTTGGTTGATACCGTCAAGAATTTCGGAGTAGGTGAATTCATTCCGATGTTGTATTTTTGTATAGGTCGAAGATACTACTCTCGGGGAGAACGATCATACCGAAGTAATTCGCCGAAAAGGGATGCGCAGGACAACGTTGCCACTGGTAATCTTGAAAGCTCTACTTATCTTTTTTTAGAACCTCCTGAAAGCCCTCCAAAGTGATGAGAGCACGTATCTCGTGCCCCCAGAGGAACCAGCGACCTTCCAAGCGTGGTTAAAGAAGTTTAAGTAAGAGCTCGCTATTCAACCCGTTATTAATAAGTTGATTGTATTTATAATAGTATGACTATAAATTTAATACTTTTTAATAAATCGCCTTTATATAAAGTGATACAAGCTGTTTTAGTATGGGCGAGCACGATGGCGAGATTGAAATGCTGATGTCGAGTATGCCCGAGCTTAAAACCATTTATGAAAGACTGGTAAGGAGAATCATTGCTGCTAAAAATACATTACCTTAGGTCCCGGATAAAGTTGATGCGGAGACTTTTTGGATGCGCTATTTTTACAAGGTTCGTTTTTCCTGCTGGAAAACTGGAGCGCTGGTTTTAGGTGGAAATCGCCGAAATCGACGAGGAGATGAAGCACACGCTCAAGGATCTGAAAATCAACACTGAGCAAAAGCAAAAGCTGAAGGAAGGTAGGAACCTCGGAATTTTTCATTTTTTTTGCTTTTAGAGCTTCAAGTTGAGACCGAACGCTCCGAGCCGACCAGTGGGGCGCAGAGCAACGACGGCTGGAGCTTTTGCGAGAACCAGGATATTGAGGTTTGTAAAAAGTTCATTTTTATGAAGATTCTGGGCTCTTAGGAGTTGACGTCGAATGGGGAGGACACCGAAAAAGAGGACGACCGACTGTCGCCCGGCCCCTTGACGCCCAAACTGCCCGAAGACCCGAAAGTCGAGCCGGAGGCCAGGTTTGTCAGACCCTTTCGCAAAATCATAGGGGCAAAGAAAAAAAAATTTGTTTTCCTATATGAATTTTTCTAGCTGTCTAAGCGGAAAAAGATACAAATTTAGCTTTTTCAAATAGGAAAAACAGTTTGTTCGTCCATTTTTAGGCGTTAAAAGTGGTTAATTTAGTTTTTGAATTAAAAAATATAGATTTTTCGCTACATTTTTCGGTTGAATTTTTTTTGTAGGTTTTGAACTAATTTTTCTCGATCTGCAGGAAAGAAACTGCGTGGAAAGAGACCATAGGTTTTTCAAAAAAACACTCATTTTGCTTTCAGCAGCCCCGCCAAGAAGCAGACGCGAAGCAAAAAGGGCAAGAACTCATCGAAGCAGAACAGCGGATGGGAGCAGGTGCCCCGGCAGTGATTGCCCATCTGCCAACACCTACAACGTATAATCTGTGATCCAACACGATTCTTTTTCTCCCTCGTTTTTTTTTCTACACTGAATTATCGATTCCCAAAATTTTCTCATTACAACATTCGTCGTTTCGACTTCCATAACCGGTACGCTAGCCCAAACACCTCTTTCTCCATTTTTTTCTTCGCGCTCTCTGTCTCCCTTTCGCTCTTTGTAATAATTCTCCGCTGTAAGGCTGTTCACCCTCACCATTTCTCTTGTATGTAACGCAGGGGTATCTAGCTAGTGATGTACATATGATCGGAATAAATCTTTGTGAAATCCATTTTTTTCGGCTTGACCTTCAAGTTGATATGGCTTCCGGAATATTCTAACCTTGTCGCGGTTTCAAAAAGATTTGAACGTATTTTTGATTTTTAGATATTTTCAATCGATGGCTGCTGTCATTGGCGGGCCCAAATTTGTTGGCATCAAGTTTTGTCCGGAATGGTGAGGATTTTGGCGAACTTTTGGGATCACGAATGACTAACCGGTACTGGACTGTTAGCGGGGGGCTAGTTCTGGACTATGGCCCCAATCAAGTCATTTTAATCATATGCACACCAAGATCGTTAAAATCTTAATTTTCGCATTTTAAATTTGTTGAAAAGTTTTTTGGGGGCGTCTTAATAATAGAAAAACCGCTAGGAACTATAAAAATATTATAAAACGCTCAATAAAGTCGCCAGCTGGATAGCTACTCCTGCCAATATCCCAGTACCTAATTACTGATTTCAGTAACAATATGCTGTACCCGAAGGAGGATAAAGCGAACCGAAGGCTCCACTACGCGTGCAGGAATTGCGAGCACCGAGAAGAAGCTGAAAACCCGTGCATCTACGTCAACAAGCTGGTGCACGAAATTGAGTAAGTGACTTCCGCATTGACTTCTTCAATGATGAGTTCAGCGAATTGACGCAAATCGTGTCGGACGTCTCGCAAGATCCGACCCTGCCAAGAACCGAGGATCACCCCTGCCCGAAATGCGGTCATCGAGACGCCGTGTTCTTCCAAGCGCAAAGTCGGCGAGCGGATGTAAGAAATTATTCAAAAACTACCATTAGATTCAAAGGTTCTTTCGCGCAGTTTTGCTTTAGGAACGATTTTTATAAAATGAATCGCGCAACGGTTCCTACAATTTCTAGGGGAAAAGGGGCAAAAAATCAATCTATTTTCCAGTATTTTTCGGAGTTGATCTATAATTTTCCGCTTGAAAGATAGTTATATTCTCGCAAAAGCTCCAAATTTTGTGATTGCATTGCTAGGTAGATCTTCTGTAGGAAAAATGTCTGTTTTCCACCCCTGATAAACCCACTGATATTCCGAAAGCACCAATTCAGAAGATGATGTTTTTTTTGCTTGAGGCGAACCGCGCTTTATCAACTCAAAGAAAATCTGCTCCCCCTTATCACAAAATTTCCAGGAAGAAATGAGGCTCTACTACGTGTGCGGTAATCTGGAATGCGGCCATCGATGGACCGGCTAATTTCGAGCGCCGCCGCTTCCCCGTTATTTATTGTTGCTCCCGCGTTTGTTGTTTTTGTTTTGTCGACGTTTTGTTTCCTTGATACTGGGTATTTCGTACGTTCTCAATAATTTATGCATAAACTTTTTCTGATCGACGCGAGCTCATTTTAGTGATCGGGGCTTGTTACCTCTCGAGATATCGTTAATGGATTATAAAAGAAATCAATTTAATTGTCTCTTTATTTTAGATTACATTTATTTACGTTTTTTTAGATTCAGAATGATTTTACGTCAAAAAGTGCTGGTCGAGGTGCTCGGCGAGGTCAACACCGGGGATGTCGTTGCCGCACAATTGGTTTCAAGAGAAGGTGCGTAAATTCTGCGAAAGGATGCCTTCGGTCTCGACCCGAAAAATCATGGTTAAGAGCTTGCCAGGGCTTTAGATTTTTCTTTGTGTTGATCAGTCAGTTCTATGGCAGCTATTTCGTATCGGAAAAATCTCGTTAATGTCAAGACTTCAAGCTTCGTTCAAAATTTATAGGCTTTTTCAATCGTCGTAGATTTTACTCCGAAAATTTACGATGTTCTAAATACATTGTGGTTCAGGCTTGTTACTTTGCTTCTCAGGCGCGGCGAGTGAGACGACGAATCAGGTAGGATTAAGAGCACATCCTCTTATTTTTGTTTTAGGCCGCAGTCTCCTCCGCCCTTCTCTCAACCATCTGGGGCCAATTCGACAAGGGCACCGGGGCGGCCTTCGGCGGCTCCGGCCATCTGAAGGAGGTGGTGCTGGAGTGCGAAGACGGCTACATTGCTGCCTGTCCGTTGGCCAACATGTTGCTCGTGTTGAGGGCCCGGAGTGTGAGTTTTCTTTACTAAATAGCTACCGTCTATGAAATTTCGAGGATTTGGCAAAATCCGGGCAGATTTTCGAGAAATTTGGAAGTTTTCTATCTAGTCTTTCTACTCCAATGACACTAAATTTTCCTTTTTTTAGTCTGCAAAATTGGGGCTTCTACGCGCCAAGCTACATACCCTCCGCAATCACCTCAACGACCCGCTGACGATTATAGCAGAAGCGAACGCGGAGTGGGTGCTTTTAACATTTTTACTTCGAGCTAGTTGGCAATTCACAACCTACCTTTTTAGAGAAATGGCCAAGGAGAAGCGCAAGAAAACGACGGCCGACGACTATTGATCACGAGAAGCTACAATTCTCCCAAATGAACATTTGCCATTGTAAACAGTTAGCCGGTCGTCATTTCGACCTTGTTGCTTGCTGCGTCATCATTGTGATATGGGTGTGTTGAACCTACTTGAATTTCCCCGAATTCCTGTTTGCGCGATCCCTCTGTACCTTGCTTGTTGTTGTCGTCTGAATCACGCGTGTATGCTAACGATATTGTGTGTGTACAAGGCTGGAATTGCTGGCCAAATAAAGAGAAACACCGGAAAGAGTCGGAATTTTAGCAATTTGAATCCAAACTTTGGCTTGAGCTGGAGAATTATCCGGGATTATCAGAAATTTATCCCCAACCTGCTCGATGGTCTGGGCTCACAGGGAGGAGGTAATTTTCAAACCTCTTGTCGCAAATGCTTTGCGTCGCAGCCAGATGCTTCCATCCAATCGGAGCGCCAACCGGATCAGCAGAGCCAGGGCCGCGGCGACGGCGCCGGGCCGCTGACCGCCTTCCCGACGCTGCGCAAGTTCTCGTCGTTCGCCGAGACGAACAGTGAGTCTTCAGAAAATGAAGGGCAAATGGTTTTTTATTTACTTTTTTATCATAACTCCCAGGGGATTCCTCGATGCACAGCGAGCGCGTCGGGCGCAAGTACGAGCTGCTACCGCTGATGCTCACCGCCTTCCTCGGCACCTCGAACCTGTCGGTGTTCCCGAAGACGATGATGTTCGTCGTTTGGTTTAGATTTTCGTAAAATAGGGTTGGCAAGAGGGTTTTTAAGTATATAAAGAGTTTTTGCTGATTTATGTTTTAGATTTCTGAATTTTCAACTCAAATTTTTACTAAGACTAACTACTAAGTTATAGCCAAAAACTTCCGGCTGGGGGGGTAAAGTAAACCGTAGCCGATTTTTGTTTTTTGGCTATCTTCTAATTTAAATCTCAGGTTCAACGGCGGCGTCTTTTTCCTGGTGCCCTACCTGCTGGGGTTGGTCTTCTACACGATCCCGTCGGCCCAGGTCGAGGTGGGCGCTTGGCGGGCGGCTTTAGGCACCGGAAGCCCTAGGTGTACATTGGCCAATTCACGCAGACGACCCCTCTGAAGGGCTACTCGCTGTTCGCCCCGATTATGGCTGGTAGGGAATGTCTTCTTATGATTATTTTTGGGTCTTTAGCCATCGTCTGGACGTCACAAATTGCCATCTCGATCGGCGGCGTGCAGGCCCTACTTCATATGACCATTGCCATGCAGGTAGCATCTAGCCTATTTTCGTAGACTTTTACGATTATAATACGCGAAAAGGGCCTGCCTCGAATCACCCTGTTGCAGATGCTGCTCAACTACCCGGCGCGCGAGACCTGGGCCAAGTGCCAGGATTACAATTCGCCATGTAGGGCCTCAAATTAGATTTGGTATTTTTATTTATACTCTATCATGGATTTTCTGGTTATATATCGTTGTTTTTTACAGCGTGCATCTCGTTCGCCAACGACCGTGGCTGTGCCGATCAGATGGACACCACGATCGCACAGATGCGCTATGCATTTGTGCGTGTTTGTAAAACATATTGAATTTGGAAAAATGGCATTATTGATTTAATTTTTGTAGTTATTAATCGAATTTTTATTTTTATTGTTTACCAGGGTTGAAAAAGCCGCTTCGCGACTTTTCAACCCTGGCCCCGTGCTGGACGAATGAAAGCTTACACTTTGCATAATTCCACCCAACTCCCGTTGAAAAAAGTGAAAAATAAGCTCTCTGCTCCTTTAAATAGGCTACCCCCACTTCCGGTGTATGCTAATTGATTCCTAACAAAGAGGGTCTCAGATTTTTCAACAAAAACTAAAATTTAATGTCGGAAATAGGCGATTTTGGTCAATCCGATATGTGTGCAGTCATCTCCAGACCATTACGCTCCTAATGACGTATCAAAAAACGCCCCTAACTACTCTGCTTCTTGAGATACTGCTGGAACACGCTGACGGAAGTTGTATGCAAAGTGGCACACACACACACACACAAACACTATTTTTTTATATTTTTTATTGTTTATATTGTTAGATGGGATACTCCTTCAGAAAGACTGTCACCAGAGCTTCGAGAACCTCATCATCCAGCCGAACCTCGCCCAGCTGCCCGTCATAGAATTCCTCTAGTACGTTTTTCCGATTTTAGGAAAGCAAATTTCGCGAGCTCTAAAAATTTAATTTATTTGAAAAATTTCGTGAACTCCTCCAACTTTAGCAACAACGTCACGAAGGTGTCCAGCAACATCTCCGACTTTGGCAGCTTCAACTGGATGGTTGGTAGCTCCTAAATAATCTCTGCTAGCCTGCCCTATGCTCTTCCTCAACAATCTCTGCTAGCCTGCCCTCTTTCCAGGGATTCGCCGTCGCGACGCTGATCACATGTCTGGTGGCTGGGCTGTTGGTCATGTCGATTCGCGCCTATTGTAGGACTTCGCACCAAAAAACCTCAGTAATTTCAGCCTACTTTGCCATGTGCATCCAGCTGCTGATGGCCATGCTGCTGATGGTGTTGACGGTTGTTATTTTGTGTACTTCTTACAGTACCACCTCAGATCCATTCGCACTACAATATCCCAGCGGATATGCCAGCCGACGCCGCGCCGCCCACCCTGCATTTTCAGCCGCGCTACACGACCCTGCTGCAGTGGACGGTGGGGCGAGCTAGCAGAGGTTGTTGAGGAACAACAAGTTTTAAGGTATGGCAACAAGCCCTGATGCTGTCGATCCGATCCCAGTCGCTGGGTCAGGCGACGATACCGGCCGCCGGCGCCTACGCGAGACAGGACGACTTTACTATCAAGGTACTCAAAGGCTTAGTGTGGGCTTAGGCGTAGGCTCAGGCATAGGCTTGGCTTAGGCTCAGGCTTGGCTTGGGTTTAGGCTTAGGCTTCGGCTTAGGCTCAAGCTTAGGCTTACGTTTTTTACCCATTTACACCTATTTCCCTAGTGGGTGCTGCTGGCGACGCTCTGTGACGTGCTGTTCTCGCTGTGCTGCACCTACTACATGGATGGCGGGTTTTTCTAGCGGTTTTAGGGGAGCATGAGCCTAAGCATGACCATTAGGGGAGAGAGCAGACTAGCAGCAAGCATTAGAGGTCTCTTTTTTCCAGGTCTGATGGTCGTGATGGCTGCGGTGACGGTCGGCAACTTGAACCCGTACGACTTTGACAGACAGAGTACGTTTATACCAGGCTTACGTCCACTTCCTGTCCTTTTAGCCCACGTCTGGCTCCATGGGCTGGCCGTCCAGGCGCTCTCCTACTACAACAGCCAGTCCTTCATCCTTGCCCACCACTTCTTCGTCTTTCTGGTGATGCTCAACAGCTATATGAGTTAGTTTCTCATTTCCTCGTTGATCTCTGCTAGCCTGCTCTTTCCTAAGCATAAGCCTTTTTGCCAGGTATCGCCATGTGTCAACATCAATTCGTCCGTACCCTCCTCGACACGAAAAAACGCTGGCATGCCTCGATCGTGATGGCCATCGTCTCGACGGTGATCTCGCTGTTCTTCTTCTTTGAGGTTCTGTTTCCGTAGGGGGTACGGTAAACCGGTCATCATTTAGAATTACGACCAACTGTTTACCTGGTTCTCGTCGGCCCGCTCCGTGTTGACGATCATGATCCTCGGCGCGCATCTGACGCTCTTCGTCACGTGCTACGGTAAGATGGGGGCTGGCAGTGATTATTTGAGGGATTACCGCTCCAGGCATGTCCCAAGTCTACTACGACATCACGGTGATGACCGGCATCCCGAACGGGTGGCGCGAATGGTTGTGGGACCAGCTAACGCAACACTCCAACTGGCTCTACGCCCATATCGTGCCCGCCCTTACTGCAGTACGACGCCGTTGATTGATGCTTAGGCTTGGGCTTGGGCTTGGTTTAGGCTTGGGCTTGGCTTAGGGTTAGGCTTAGGCTTAGGCTTAGGCTTAGAATTTAGTGGCTGTTGAAGAACTTCAGTGGCTTCTTCTTGTACTCAAGGAAAAAACCTTGAATGGGTCTTTAAAATCCATTTTCCAGCTTCTCCTCGGCACCCTCTTCAACGTGCCCGTCGATCACATGCCATTCAAATGGGTAGGGCAGGCTAGCAGAGACTGTTGAGGAGGTTGCGAAATTTAGATGGCCGAAAATCCGGTACTGTACTACTTGCTGACGCCGCCCGTCCTCGGCGCCATCGTTGCCTGCATCACCATCCCCACCGTTATGTACTTCAAGGTAGAGGTATTCAGGAGCGGTCAGAACATGAAACCCCCAGGGCGATTTCCTCGAGCTGTTCCGCCCGCAGCCCGGTCTGCCCTCCTACAAGCGGCTGCGCGTGCCACTGGGCGACGGATAACCGGGTTGACGACGTCGCGGCTGCGCTGCGGACATCACCACCCAACCCCACGACTAACGATCATTGTGCGCATCTGTTTTTTGTGCTTTTCGTTCTCTTGCGTGTGGGTGTTCACGCCAATAAATTTGGGCCCATCCGTATGCCGCAAAGAATCCATGCTAGCATGTAATACCCCAGGGAGAACCGTTTAAACTATGATTTTCGGAATCTGCATGCAAAACTCCGTCGGAATACTCTTCGTTGGAAAGCCTTCGAAGGTACGGGCGAATAGGAGGAGGTGCGGTGCCTAGTTGCAACTTCAAAAAATCATGGCGGCCATATACGCTACGCTACGGCTATGCCAGTTAGTAGATCGGAATCAGCGTTTCAAGCCGGTTCGAATGAGTCCAGGGCGAAATACTGGCGAGGGCTGGCTCGAGCGTAGAGATTCAATGTTCGAAACCACCGGTGCTGGAGACCACCAAGCGCAAAGCAAGTTCATTTATTCACAGTAAGCAAGGAAAAGAGCACAGGCACATGTAGGCATTAATGATATACAATTCACGCGATTTTCAAATAAAAACACACAGCCATGGACGGTTAATGGAATGGGATTTGAAGGCTTCTAAAAGAGGTCGGGGCAGCGGCTCCAGTCCTGGCGATCTTTGCACTTCCAGTAGTCGCCGTTCGAGCTGAAAGGGGAGCAAATGATCTCTGCTAGCCTGCCCTCTCCTCTTCCTCAACAATCTCTGCAAGCTTGCTCACCCCAAAAACCCACATATAAACCGGGAGCTTCGTGTCCGGATCGAGCAGCTTATCGAACCAGAGCGGCTTCACCTCGGGCACCTCTTTACCTGGAACTTACACGTCTGGGCAAGCTAGCAAAGACCATTTAGGAACCCTCCAAAATCCTCTAACCTTCCTTCGCCACCCGCGCCGCCTCCACCTCGGCCTGGCGTCTCCGAACCCGCTGCTTCTCCTCGATCTCGACCTTCTTCGCGTTGGCGGCGTCCCACTGAACACAGAGTTCCGCAATTTCCAGTGCAAGCCTGCCTGGCCGGCCTCCATCAGCCGCTGGTCTGGTCTGAGGCGGCTGTCGGTGGGGGCGACGCCCGGCTCGGGCTCGTTCAGCTGGACGGCGAACTTGGTGAAGCCGTAGGTCTTGTCAGCGTTGGGCCTGGAGACAGGGTTTTGCCGAGGCTTAGGCTGATGCTTAGATTAGGCCTATGCTAAACTCGACCCAGACATGCTGGCAGAGACCCTTTGCGCTACCATACATCGGCGGGTCGGCCGTCCAGAGGGTTGTCGCGGAGTCGGGCGGCCCGCCTGGCGGCGCCATCCGCATCTCCGAGTTCCAGTGACCAGAGAGCAGATGTTGCGCAACACGGTCCTTGTCGACGACCTCGCCGTGGACCTAGGCAAGGGCAGGCTAGCAGAGATTTTGGGGGAAAACTACCTGGCGCTGGGGTTCCCTGGTGAAGTAGGAGTATGGGTGGAACTTCAGGGAGCACCTGTGCCCGGTCGTGTGGTTGACAATCTCCATCTCGCCGTGGTTGTCGATCCACAACTTGCCCACGATGATGTTGTGCACCGTGGTGGTCACCTAGCAGAGATTCTTGAGGAATTCACGTCGGTTACCCCACCTTCGTCAAGGTATAGTGATGTCCAGTGGCGTCGAAGATGATGTGTGTACGCCCGACGGGGACCAGGCTCAGGTATTTTCCGCTAAAGAAGGTTTTCCTTGCGCGGCCTTTTAAAAAGATTACCGGAAGAGGGACGTCATCGTGAAGAGCTGGTACAGCTTCCAGCCGCGCCCCTCGACGTAGTGAGCAGCGCCGGGCGGGTGGTGGGACACCTGCTCCGTCAGGCTCCGCCACCCGTACTCCGCCACCCGGTCGCACTCGTACGTCTCGCCGAGCATCGGGTTGAACGGCTTCGTCGTGCGGGAGCCGGTGGTGGCGTAGCTGGAGGTTCAAATGATCGCTGCTAGCTTGCCCAACCTGCTAACGGCGAACGCAGCAACATGGCACATCTGCAGCGACGGGTTCAGCGCGGAGGCGGCCGTATCGAGCAAATGCGCGTACTCCAGGTCCTCGGTGACGCGCTGCAGCATCGACAGCGGCTCCGAGAAGTTCACCTGGAACTCGGTGTTTTCGGGCAGGCTAGCAGAGATCCTTGAGGAAGTGAAATATCAGCTACCGGCATCGGGATGCGACTCAAATCTTTCCCAATCGAGTTCTTCAGGATGCTCCAGAGGCTGAGGGACGCTTTCGGGCGTTCCGGGATCTGGTCGCGGCGGCGCGGGAGCGTTGGACGAGCCGTGGTCGCTGGGAATTTAGGGGATGCCTGGAATTGTCTACCATTTCCCAAGAATCCCTGCTAGCCCACCCACCTCAAACGACGTCTTCAAGCGGGCCATTTGCGAGGTCGAAGCCTCGGGGGATCCGCCGGCCATCACCAGATCTTCATCGCGGCGTCGAGGGGTGCTGAATAAAGGCTTCAACAGCCCTTTTAAAGGCCAATCACCTCTTGATGAACTCCTCCTCGGCGTCGTAGAACTCCTCGAGGTCGGTCACTAAATGGGAGGATGCTAGCAGCTAGTAAACGGGAGGATTGTTGAGGACGGGGAGAGGGCAGGTTAGCAGAGATTGTTGAGGAATCAAATAGTCATTTATGCGACGACCCACCGTTCGGGTTGTTGGAGCGCTTGGCGATCAGTTCGAGCGTGTTCTGCTGCTGGGCGAGCGCCAGGATCTGCTCGTCGAGGCGGTCGCGTTGTCGGCGCTCTCCCTAAAAACTAGGATTCCAAAGAATCTCTGCTAGCTGCCCTCAGACTCCGGCTCTAGGGCAAGCTAGCCAAGACGATTGCGGAATTCTCTTAGCTCCTAGTAGCTACCTGAACCAGGCTCCTCAAATGATCGACCTCCCAGCCGGCAGTGGTCGCCACTTCGGCCGCATTCTTCGACACCATCTCGGACGCTGTCTAAATTCCCAAATGGTCTCTGTTAGCTGCCCAGAGTCGCACCCTGAGTTCAGCAACAGCTTGAGCGAGGCCGGGACCAGGCTGTAGTTTTTTGAGGGCGTCGAGGCGGGTTTCTCAAATGAGATTAATGGCTGGGTATTGATGGGCCTGGCCCATCCAGCAGAGATCCTTGAGGAACGCAAAAATTCCAACTCCCCAAGAATCTCTGCTAGATCTAAGAATCACAATGACACACCAAGCTGTTGTCGGCTCCCAGCGAGTCTGTGCAGCGCCTGCGCGAGCCCGTGCGGCTGCCGCGACGCTTCCGCCCCGTCCGCATCGTAGTAGGACTCGCCGGAAGTGGAATTCGACGCCCTGCCGACCTCTTCTAAAGCCAAGATTGACAAGGGCAGGCTAGCAAAGACCATTTGGCCCGCGGGCAGTGCGATGGCGGGCCAGGTTGAGGGCGGCCACCCATTCGTCGCGCAGGCTCGGGCTCGGCGCCTTCAGGTGGAACATTTGGCCCGCCGATGCGACGACGAAGCCGCCGGAACTCTGAAAGGGGGGTGGCTAGAAGAGATTGTTGAGGAAGAGGAGAGGGCAAGCTAGCAGCGATCATTTGAGAACCCGTACCCCATCAATGGTGACGCGTGCCTCGCGAAGGTCAATCTTCCCATGGCAGCTCTTCTCCAGCTGGTCGTCCCTGTTTTAAAGGGACGTTGAAGGCAAAAATCGAGGTCCCCGACTTGTACTTGTAGTAAGATAAGAAGCCCTGGGCGTCTAGAGCGAAGCGGCGCCGACGATAACCTTTGATGTAGTTGGCCCACTTGTAGAGATCGCCCTCCTGAAAACAGAAAAATGATCTTTGCTAGCCTGCCGTCTCCTCTTCCTCAACAATCTCTGCTAGCCTGCCGTCTCCTCTTCCTCAACAATCTCTGCTAGCCTGCCCTCTCCTCTTCCTCAACAATCTCTGCTAGCCTGCCCTCTCCTCTTCCACAACAATCTCTGCTAGCCTGCCCTCTCCTCTTCCACAACAATCTCTGCTAGCCTGCCCTCTCCTCTTCCTCAACAATCTCTGCTAGCCTGCCGTCTCCTCTTCCTCAACAATCTCTGCTAGCCTGCCCTCTCCTCTTGCACAACAATCTCTGCTAGCCTGCCCTCTCCTCTTCCACAACAATCTCTGCTAGCCTGCCCTCTCCTCTTCCTCAACAATCTCTGCTAGCCTGCCCTCTCCTCGTCCTCAACAATCTCTGTTAGCTTGCCTTGACGACAAGCTCGGGATCCGGGGCGCCGAGCTGCTCCAGACATTCCACGGAAGCCGTGACGCGAGCAACACTAACTTCCGGTGCCTCGGATATCGTGTTTGGCTGAATTCCAAAATGGTCTCTGCTAGATCGCCCATTCCTACCTTTTGAAAGAAGCCGAGAAGGCTCTTCCGCTTCGGCATCGGCAGCTTTCCAACGCGCACCATTTCGGGTCTCGCGGGCGTGGAGATCTGAAGTTTTAAGTGCGAACTGTGTGTAAATTATTTTATGCAGATTTAAATCCTGTTTAGTAGGTAAATTTATCAGCAAAAAAAAAGAAAAGAAGAAGAAGAATGGTGTTTTAGTTGCCTATCGACGCTCGGATTCCGCTGGCCCATCGTCAAGCCGTATCTCGACGTACTGCTCCTCGTCCGGATCCGCGTGGGGTTTGCCGGTTGCCGGTTCATCTCCGGAAAATCCCGGGTTACGATGGCCCTGCTTGAAGGAGGCCTGCTGGATGCGGAGGCTCAACTGCTCGCGCTGAAACGGGGTTAAGCTTAGGCTTAGGCTTAGGCTTAGGCTTAGGCTTAGGCTTAGGCTTAGGCTTAGGCTTAGGTTTAGGCTTGGGCTTAGGCTTAGGCTTAGACTTCCACAGCACTCACCTTGGCGATGTTGGCCGTGCCGGTATATGCCATTCGCGGATAGATCAGCACCAACACCCGGTAGATGAGCAGGCTCGAAGAGGCGACGAGGAGCAACAGGGCTAGAAGTGCTTTCAAGGGCCGGTGAAGCCATTGTACCTCCTATGGCTGCCAGCGTCAACTCGATCCTTGCTTTCGGACATCGGAAGGCCACCATATTGCACTTGTCGACGTCGACGCAGCGCGTGTTGATGCGGGCAGTGTAGTAGAAGTGGCAGAGGTTCTGAAGGCTCTCAAGGATCCCTGCTAGCCTGCCCTACCCTTTCATTCAGCCACGGCCCGCTTGAGTTGCAAAACAGCGCCGTGTCCTCGGCTCCCTAAAAACTAAATTTTTGCATTTTAAAGGACCATAGAAGGCAAATTTTTAGGATCAGACCGTTCGATTAGGAAGTTCATCCAAGCCGGCCTGGCTGCATTGATAGATAGCGGGACTGCAGTGTGAGAAGGATCCAGATTGTGAATTTTCTGCCTCGGTGGTGTTCTCCTGAAACGGGACGCTAGCGACACACGGGAGAGGGCATGCCAGCATAGATTGCCGAGGAAGAGGAGAGGGCAGGCTAGCAGAGATTGTTGAGGAAGAGGAGAGGGCAGGCTAGCAGAGATTGTTGAGGAAGAGGAGAGGGCAGGCTAGCAGAGATTGTTGAGGAAGAGGAGAGGGCAGGCTAGCAGAGATTGTTGAGGAAGAGGAGAGGGCAGGCTAGCAGAGATTGTTGAGGAAGAGGAGAGGGCAGGCTAGCAGAGATTGTTGAGGAAGAGGAGAGGGGGGGGGGGGGCTAGCAGAGATTGTTGGGAAGAGGAGAGGGCAGGCTAGCAGAGATTGTTGAGGAAGAGGAGAGGGCAGGCTAGCAGAGATTGTTGAGGAAGAGGAGAGGGCAGGCTAGCAGAGATTGTTGAGGAAGAGGAGAGGGCAGGCTAGCAGAGATTGTCGAGGAAGAGGAGAGGGCAGGCTAGCAGAGATTGTTGAGGAAGAGGAGAGGGCAGGCTAGCAGAGATTGTTGAGGAAGAGGAGAGGGCAGGCTAGCAGAGATTGTTGAGGAAGAGGAGAGGGCAGGCTAGCAGAGACTGTTGAGGAAGAGGAGAGGGCGAGAGAGCAGGAATCATTTAACTTCCTCATTAGCATCCTGGACTGAAATCATCCCTAGAAATTCCGAATTCCTCACACTTTCTACCCGACCATGTTCGACTTGGCCGCCATCCCGGGCAACGCGGGTAAGGGTAATTTTTATGAATATTTTTTGGTTTTAAAGGGACGAGAAAGGCATGACACCCATTAAAACCAAAACTTTCAGATGACCCGGGCAAGAGCACGCGTTTCTGGGGGCCGATGACGTAGGTTTTTCGCGAATTCCTCACAAATATCTGCTAGCCGGCTCCTCTAATAATCTCCGCTAGCATACCATTGACTTCTGCAGACCCCAAATCATTATTTCCAGCCAAAAATCGGTGCGCAGCCAGCTGGAACCGGGCGACTTTGCCTTCTTCTACCCGCTGCCCGACGACGACGAGAGTGAGGGTCCCCCACTGGCCGTGCTCCTCAACTGCGCCTACTTGTCGTCCAAGAACCGAGTAGGGACTGGTTACGACAGGAGAATCCTCGTGAAACCTTTAGTTCCACGTGTTTCCGGTGAGCAGCGGGCGCCAGGGGTGGCGTGTCGAAATCGGGGAGCGGCTGATGCCCGTCTTCTCCACCCTATCCCAGCTCATCCGCCACCACGAGATCCACAGGTAGACTTAGGGTAAGGCTTAGGCTTAGGCTTAGGCTTAGGCTTAGGCTTAGGCTTAGGCTTAGGCTTAGGCTTCATCCCCCGCTTAATTTCAGCTACCTCTGCCTCGAGACGCGCGTCCTCGAGAATTTCCCGGTGTTCGCGTCGTCGCGCGGAAGCGCCGAGGTCACGAACCCGGTGAGCAGCAGCGACTCGTCGTCGCTGAGCGATACGCGCCCCTCGAAGAAGAACCACTGAACTGCTAGCCATCGCTGTTTACTATCGTTTTCTGTACTTGATGGGGTGTCGAATAAATTATTGGTGTCCGGCCCGGAAAAGTCCCGCAAAGAATCGTTGCTAGATTGCCTCAAAAGGCGCGCATTAAAAGGAGGACGAAATTTCCTTTGCCCACCTTGTTAAAGCACATGATCTCGAGCTGCTGTTCCCGGTCCCAGACCCGAACCCCGTAGGTGCGGGTGACCGGAATTGAGGCGAATAGCAAGTATATTTTGCGGAATAGCGCCATTATTGCTTGGAAATCGATGAAGAAATAAATAGTAAAAAGGAAGAAATTGTCGAAATCGGGAAAGTAGCGGTTTTGGGGTTGACCTGGGAGAAAAAGGCAAAAATTTGTATTCCGCTGTGTGGAATTAAATAGCAGCCCTCCTAGGGGAAGGCAAGGCGACGAAAGTGCTTTTTTTAGGTGAGTCACAATTCATAACAGCTAAACTAGAATTATGCATTGACTGTCCCTTTAAAATAAGCTGGGCTTAGGCTAAGCAAAGGCTTAGCTTAGACTTACTTCATTACTTTAAAGGGCTGCCGACGGCATGTGTCGATCCCCCCTCCCCCCCCCCCCCATCAACAAATTGGCAAGTAGCCAACAGGGGAGAGAGCGCGCCCAGGGGAGAGGCGCAGAGACATTTTCTTTTCCGCGCGTAACCGATTGTCTATGCCGTCGGCATCCCTTTAAGTTGCCACTGACCCTACCAAATCTTTTTTTTTCAAAGCCATAAATTCATCTTTATTACCGAGGAAAATCTAGTACAAAAGTACAAACTGAATAAAACCGGAAAAGTCAGTGCTTGAGATTCACCGGGCTAGTAAATGCGAATATGGATAAATCGAGGACATCGATATTGCAAACAGGAAAGAACCCAAAAACGGCAAAAAGACAATCGAAATAACAAAGATATTTGTACGATGAGATCCACATCCAGCACCCGTCAGTGGTAGCGTAGCGTAGTCGGGGGAGGGCGGAGGGTCAGAGCCGGTAGATCTGGAAGTGGAGGGCATGCTATCAGAGATTGTTGAGGAAGAGGTGAGGGCAGGCTAGCATAGAAAAGCCAGGAAAGTCCTACCGTAGCCTGGTTCTCTGACGTTTTCCGCTCTTTTTTCGTGCTCGTATCGTTGGCGTTCTGCGAGAAATTCGTCACTTCCGTCGCCTAAAAAACTATACAGTAATTTTAGCACAAGCTTGCCTTCAATGGGCCTTTAAAACACGCTCCTCGCTACCCTAACTTTAATTTCTTAATTCTAGCAACCTGACTGCCACTCCCCTTCCTGTCGGTGTGGCTCTCGGCGCAGCTGTCGGCGATCGCCGTCTGCTCAAACTCCAGCCGTTTATACCTAAAGATTTTGCCGGTTTCTGCCTTCAATGGTCCTTTAGGGGGCCCCTAAAGACCCATTCAAAGCAGGCCGACTTACTTTGGGTTCAGCGCGAAGACGACAATGAGGAGGCCGATCACGCTGAGGACGCACCAAAAGTCAAGGGCAACTGTAAAGGGGTGAAATCGAAGGATCTCTGCTAGCCTGCCCGCTCCTCTTCCTCAACAATCTCTGCTAGCCTGCCCTCTCCTCTTCCTCAACAATCTCTGCTAGCCTGCCCTCTCCTCTTCCTCAACAATCTCTGCTAGCCTGCCCGCTCCTCTTCCTCAACAATCTCAGCTAGCCTGCCCTCTCCTCTTCCTCAACAATCTCTGCTAGCCTGCCCTCTCCTCTTCCTCAACAATCTCTGCTAGCCTGCCCTCTCCTCTTCCCCAACAATCTCTGCTAGCCTGCCCGTCAAATTACTTGGAAACTCACGCCAATAATTGTTGGTGAATGGATAATGCATAAAGTAGCCCTTCACATTCTCTGCCAACAGGTCCATCCCAAACGATACAGCAAACATTAGGGCATTTCTGGAAGTGATGGCTGACTTAGGTTTAGGCTTAGGATTAAGCTTTTGAACACCTACCCAAAAATCACCAAAACGCCGCTCGACGTCGCCTCGGGCACCGGGAACGTCATCTCGACGCCCAGCTCGATACCTAAAAGCTGGAGCTGAACCCTGTCCGATTATCTACCTACCAATGGGGAAGATCGGGATGCAAAACGCGCCCAGGCTGATGAAGAGCAAGATCATGAGCGCCTTCATCCATGGCGAGTTGTCGGATTTGTGGTGTAGAAGCTAGGACCAGTTGGTTTGAAGCCTAAACCTAAGCCTAAGCCCAAGCTTGAGCTTGAGCCTAAGCCTTAGCCTATTCAAAGCAGAAAATGCATAGATTACCACGTCCAGGGCAATTGAGGTGACCACGATGCCGGCGTAGCAGATTCGGATCACCTCCTGAAAAATAATCATATGTTTAGGCAGGCTGGCAGAGATTGTTGAGGAAGAGGAGAGGGCAGGCTAGCAGAGATTGTTGAGGAAGAGGAGAGGGCAGACTAGCAGAGATTGTTGAGTAAGAGGAGAGGGCAGGCTAGCAGAGATTGTTGAGTAAGAGGAGAGGGCAGACTAGCAGCGATTGCTGAGGAAGATGAGGGGGCAGGCTGGCAGAGATTGTTGAGGAAGAGGAGAGGGCAGGCTAGCAGAGATTGTTGAGGAAGAGGAGGGAGCAGGCTAGCAGAGATTGTTGAGGAAGAGGAGAGGGCAGGCTAGCAGAGATTGTTGAGGAAGAGGAGAGGGCCGGCTAGCAGAGATTGTTGAGGAAGAGGGGAGGGCAGGCTAGCAGAGATTGTTGAGGAAGAGGAGAGGGCAGGCTAGCAGAGATTGTTGAGGAAGAGGAGAGGGCAGGCTAGCAGAGATTGTTGAGGAAGAGGGGAGGGCAGGCTAGCAGAGATTGTTGAGGAAGAGGGGAGGGCAGGCTAGCAGAGATTGTTGAGGAAGAGGAGAGGGCAGGCTAGCAGAGATTGTTGAGGAAGAGGGGAGGGCAGGCTAGCAGAGATTGTTGAGGAAGAGGGGAGGGCAGGCTAGCAGAGATTGTTGAGGAAGAGGGGAGGGCAGGCTAGCAGAGATTGTTGAGGAAGAGGAGAGGGCAGGCTAGCAGAGATTGTTGAGGAAGAGGGGAGGGCAGGCTAGCAGAGATTGTTGAGGAAGAGGAGAGGGCAGACTGCAGAGATCACTTGCCTTGAACGCCTTTGTCCTATCCACAATCATCCCAGCGACAATTGAAGACACCCCACCGGCCACCGCCGCCAGAGCCGTCGTGTAGCCGGCCATGTGCTGAAAACATCCCAACTCCTGTCACCGCCCACTTAACCTACCCCATAGTCCAACGAGTCGAGGATCGCGTCGGTGACGATGAACACCGACCAGTTGATGGCAAAGGCGAGGCCGAATGGGACGAGAAGTATCACGTAAGATGGCGTCCTAAAATTGTGCTTGCTAGCTGTCCCATCCTCTTCCTCAACAATCTCTGCTAGCCTGCCCTCTCCTCTTCCTCAACAATCTCTGCTAGCCGGCCCTCTCCTCTTCCTCAACAATCTCTGCTAGCCTGCCCTCTCCTCTTCCTCAACAATCTCTGCTAGCCTGCCCTCTCCTCTTCCTCAACAATCTCTGCTAGCCTGCCCTCTCCTCTTCCTCAACAATCTCTGCTAGCCTGCCCTCTCCTCTTCCTCAACAATCTCTGCTAGGCTGCCTTCCGCATCCCCCAAAAGCTTCAAACCCACTTGAAGATGTTGGCCAGCCCCTGGCGCAATGAAAAGGCGTTGTGGTGCGCGCTGGAGGGCGAGGGTGGGGTCGGTGGGCATCCTCGCCGGATGCAAACTGTAATTTGGAAAAATCAGTAATTTTTCTTGCCTTCCTAGCCCCTTGAATTGCCCTAGACTTACCTGACAACATGAACACGATGGTGCCGAGGGCGAGGAAGATACCGTTCTAAGAAGAATGAGGTAGGCTTAAGCTTCGGCATAGGCTTAGGCTTAGGCTTAGGCTTAAGCTTAGGCTCGCAACTTACCAGCTTCAACATCTCGTACGACTCGGGTGTCGGGTGACTTTCGTCGATCAGAAGCGTGGGCAGCATCGACCCAACGGCCACGCCGAGCGGGTTTGCTGAAAAATGATTTTCCGCAAATGGTCTCTGCTAGCCTGCCTCGATTTGTAAAACCTCACCAATAAAGCTGAGGACATTGGCGAGGGCCCGCTGATTCTCCGGGAACCAATATTCGGCGATTTTCGGGGGCAGCACCAAGAAGAACGGCTGCGAGGCGGCGGCAAAGACGGAACCTGGAAAGCGGGCTTTGTTTCCTCAACGATCTCTACTAGACTGCCGGATGGGTCCGATCGATTACGCTAGGAAAACTGCATCAACCTCAACTCGTTCCTCGCCCGAACCATCGGGTTTAGCCAATTACGGTACGAAATAATTCCTCATATACCCACCCGTATGCAGCACGGCCACCCTCGCCCCCATTTCCATCTGCGGCAACGACGCGAAGAAGCGGATCACCGCCCCGAGTGCGTTGAATGACGCGCCGCAGATCAGCTGAAATGATAGGGTAGCTCGAGTTTAGCCTAAGCCTAAGCCTAACCGACTTACCGACAACTTGATGCCGTACTTGTCGGTCACGTAGAGCCCCACGACGCCGGTGGCCATGCCGACAAACTGGAAATGGGATGATTAGGGAGAGGGCAGGCTAGCAGAGATTAGGGAAAGTCGCGCTCAAACCTGAAAGATCTGGTTCGAGTAGTAGCCAATTTTGCACGAGTCCGCCTCGGACTGCACCCGGCCGCAGAAGAAAGCGTCGGTGGTGGCCGTGATCGAGAGGTAGGAGATCCATTGCTGAAAAAAATCACCGTTCCGCAACAATCTCTGCTAGCCTGCCCTCTCCTCTTCCTCAACAATCTCGACTAGTCTACCCGACCTACCGATGCGTTAGAGAGAGCCAGCAGACATGCGCAGAGTAGGATGAACCACCTCTCCGGGTAGACGCGGAATCTGTAAAGACACGCATCTTAAACAGAACACCAACCCGACTTTTTTATTTTTTTTTTGGCCAAACTGATACCGATCTTTGCGCGTCGAGTTGGTCCTGGAGAGCACCTGCAGCTCCTCCTGCGACCAGAGGGTCAGCATCTACAAAAAATTCACCCACCGTCATTTTTGTGCCAATTTTTAGGGGGTAACCAAGTGCGGTGGGGATCGGGCTTCATCTACAATTAGCAAAAGCAAACCGGAAATGCTAAAAAACGGGTGTGGGTGGCAAAAAATAAACGATTTTATGCTAATTGACGGGGTTTTTCCTTGCATTAACCGCCGCTCGATTTTCAAGAAAAAGACTACGCTGCTCCCTGCCACTTCATCAAAACATTGTCTACGAAACGTCGAAATGAGAAACTGCCCGAAAAATTAAATTGGGCGAGCTAGCAGAGATTCTTTGGGAAAGCAGTAATCCTTCGGGAGTGTCAAGGAATGCTTTTGAGGAATTTGGGCGGGTTAGCAGAGGTGCTTGAGGAAATTTAAGGGGGCACAAAATTGAGCCTGAGCATGAGAAATTCTTGGAGATTTCTGTCGGGGCTAGGCAGCAGAGATTCTTGCGGAAATTTCGTGCTGTTAGCAGAACCTTTTTGAGAAGCAGGGCAAGCTAGCAAAGTTTCGTAGGGCAACCTAGCAAGCAATTTTTCCTTACTAGGGAATGGTCTCCACTCGACATCGAATTTCTTGTTGCAAGTTAGCTCATTTTGTAGATCTCGACGAGACGAATCGATTGATGTAACTTTTAGCTGCGGATACCTTATTTTAACAAAGTTACAACCCTTTAAAGTTTTTAACCTACCTTCATAAGCTCTCCCTGCATCCCCTTCACCGTGGCCTGGAGGCCTAGTGGCATAGTAGTCGGCCTCTGGGGAATCTAACGAGGGTTCGAATCCGCCCACGATTTTTATTTTTTGCTTTTTGGTCCAAACGTTCCTTTTTGCATTCTCAGGACCTAGACAAACTCTTTTTTGATTATTTAACCTCCGTGAAGATTTTAGAACGATAAAAAGAGCATCGGAAAAAACTTTACAATTTTTTGCCCGAAGGAGTGGTCATGCTCCCCAAAAAAAATTAATAAAATTTGAAATTTTGTATATTTTATTCCCTAGTAAATACTAACGCACCCCGGCGAATACAAGGTATTTGAATGTTGCAAATAACTAATTTGCCAAGGTATGGGCATGATGTGGGTTGTGTCTCCGCACCAGAACTTTCCGATGCTCTTTTTATCGTTCTAAAATCTTCGCGGAGGTTAAATAATCAAAAAAGAGTTTGTCTAGGTCCTGAGAATGCAAAAAGGAACGTTTGGACCAAAAAGCAAAAAATAAAAATCGTGGGCGGATTCGAACCCTCGTTAGATTCCCCAGAGGCCGACTACTATGCCACTAGGCCTCCAGGCCACGGTGAAGGGGATGCAGGGAGAGCTTATGAAGGTAGGTTAAAAACTTTAAAGGGTTGTAACTTTGTTAAAATAAGGTATCCGCAGCTAAAAGTTACATCAATCGATTCGTCTCGTCGAGATCTACAAAATGAGCTAACTTGCAACAAGAAATTCGATGTCGAGTGGAGACCATTCCCTAGTTAGGGAAGGAGCTAGCAGAGATTCCTGCAAACATTTTTGAAAAGCAGGGCACGCTAGCAAAGATTCTTTAGGAAGCCAACAAGGCAAAGTGGCACTCATCCCCCCTCCTAAACCAACAAAACTACAGTGCAAACAGCCCGAGGGCAAACAGGGGCATTGGGTCGACCCTATCGCCCAAATCGGCCAAGTAGAGCTGTATCTAATCCGTGCATTAATGGGAGGTTCTGGCGATCAACGCGTAGCCAGCTATTTTCTAGGATCGAAGCTCCTCGTCCCGCTGGTCGACGCTCCAATTATTCTCCCCCCCTTTTCCTCGCCTTTTCCGGTCGCCAAAAATTAAGCGATATGTGGGGGGAGGGGATTTTTGGGATAATCTTGATGAATATTCAGCATTCCGTGTCTGAAAAGCTCGGCTATGGGGAGGCAAGCAACCGCACGAGGAACTTCTCAGATTTGATAGTTGGGAGAGAGCGAGAGCGAGAGAGAGAGCGAGAAAGATAGAGATAGAGAGAGAATGAGAAAGATAGAGAGAGAGAGAGAGAGAGAGAGAGAGAGAGAGAGAGAGAGAGAGAGAAAGGTAGCGCGAAAGGATCCGGAGGGCCAGCCGAGATTGTTGAGGAAGAGGAGAGGGCAGGCTAGCAGAGATTGTTGAGGAAGAGGAGAGGGCAGACTAGCAGAGATTGTTGAGGAAGAGGAGAGGGCAGGCTAGCAGAGATTGTTGAGGAAGAGGAGAGGGCAGGCTAGCAGAGATTGTTGAGGAAGAGGAGAGGGCAGGCTAGCAGAGATTGTTGAGGAAGAGGAGAGGGCAGGCTAGCAGAGATTGTTGTGGAAGAGGGTAGGGGAGGCTAGCAGAGATCATTTACCCAGCGCAATGTAATTGTAAAACTCCAAGAAAACTGCGCTACAATTCAGAAGAGCAGTGGAAGAGAGAGGTGCCCAAATTTTCTAGCGTCCGCCTTTCACCTGGCCCATCAACCCAAACACCTGGCCTCGGCGAAAAATTAGCAATTTGCGCACAATTTTTTTTTCGGGATTTTCCGCTAAGTCAGAGAAACCGCGAGGCGATATGGAGAGCTGTTGATGGGCAAAGAGCACTGGCAGGCTAGCAGAGATCCTTGAGGAAACTTGGGGAACTAGCAGAGACTTTTGAGGACAGTGGAACTACCGAATTACCCACGCCCACGAAAGTGCTTTTATCAACCACCGCGATTTTTGCCATGCGGGGGAACTCTGAAAAATTGCCCATTCCACGCGACGTGATGAATTTTTGCAGACAAAAATTTGCCACCCAGCCGCTCGGGGCGAGCGGGTGTGCGCATTTTAAATTTTTTCGACAGCGTAGGGATATGCTGAGGCTTAGGCTTAGGCTTAGGCTTAGGCTTAGGCTTAGGCTTAGGCTTAGGCTTAGGCTTAGGCTTAGGCTTAGGCTTAGGCTTGGCTTAGGTTAGGCTTAAGCTTTTAGGCTTAGGTTTAGGCTTAGGCTTAGGCTTAGGCTTGGCTTAGGTTAGGCTTAAGCTTTTAGGCTTAGGTTTAGGCTTAGGCTTAGGCTTGGCATAGGCTTAGGCTTGGCTTAGGTTTCTCGCTACACTGTAAAAATACTAACCTTCTTCACCCATCCGAACATCTCGAAGTCGTCGTTTGCCCGGGAGCAGCTTCACGACTAAAACCAAAAAATTGTGAGCCGGAAGTGATCAAATGAAATATGTTCTGTTTTGGCAGAAGACTGAAAGGAAGGAAAGAAATCGAGGGCGTCGTCAGGCCGGGCTTATCTCCTATTTTGGTCGACCCCCCGGGTTTTGGACACCCAGTTCTTCAGGTGCACATTTTCAGGAAGCACTGAATCAGCGATTAATCACTCTATAGAATTTCGGACGAACTTTGGGAAGAGCACGGGCTTAACCTGATTTTTATTGATTTTTAAGGTTGACGCTTAGGCTTAGGTTTAGACATAAGCTTAGCCTTAAACCCAGGTTTAGGCTCAGGATTAGGCTTGGGCCTAGGGTTAGGGATAAGACTAGGCTTGGGCTTAAAAAAGTCGTCCAAAACCAAACATTTTATTGCCTTGAGAAAACCCGAAAAGAGCTAAAACCAGATGTTCAATTTCAGGCGCGGAAATGGGAAAATGATGACTCTCATAAAGCGATTTGAGACGGACCGGCACTTCCAAAAAAATTGGGGTGATCCGAGGTTGAGAATGAAATGGAGACTGATGCCGGGCCTTTTATGAAGTGAATTTATAGCAGGAGAGCCGGAGAGAAAGAGAGAGAGAGAGAGAGAGAGAGAGAGAGAGAGAAGAGAGAGAGAGAGAGAGAGAGAGAGAGAGAGAAAACCATAATATAAGCCCGCTTCGCGACATAATATACATATTTCGACCGGCAAATGAGAAGTGGGTCACCTTGCCGGAATTCGTGAAATCTGGTGGCTGGTGATTAAATGATGATTAAATAATTGGGTTGGAACAGCATTAATGGTTTCTTTTTCGATTTTGAGGTCTGCGAATCCTGAGAATGAGCATGACAATTAGAATTTTGATGATATTTGGTCATGAACGCTGAGAAAACTAACAGTGAATCCGTCAGGAATTCTACCAGCCATAACAAAAACCAAATTACCAAAATATTTTTGGAACGGCAACTATTTACCATGCTTTGAAAGTGCGTCACAATGTCGAAATTTTTCAAATTTGAGTTTTGTTATTGTTCTTGAATTTTTTGAATTTTCAATCTTTGCTGAGGTTTAGACTTGGCTTAGGATTGGCTTCGTCCGGGGCTTAAGCCTTTTATTTAGTGTTTGCAAATGCCGATTTGGACAATCATTTATCTTATTTCGCCCTTATCCCGATTTCTTGGCTAACTTGGGGCATTGCGACACTGGAATGCAGGGCGTTCCCTGGCTGACACGTGCGTAACCGCTGTCGCATACACATGACGTCTGCAGCGCGGTAGCGCAAGGCTGAAAGACGTGATTAGGATACCAGAATAGGCTTAGGCTTAGGCTTAGGCTTATGGCTAGGCATACGATAGGCTTAGGCTGCCGCCTAGGCTTAGGCATAAGCTTGGGCTTAGGCTTAGGCTTAGGCTTAGGCTTAGGCTTACCAACAACTGCGTCCGAGCCAAACACGAGTCGCAGCCAACGTTCTGCTTGTAAGTCGCGTTCGCGTCGCACTGGTTGGCGGCTGAAAATGGGCACATTTTAGCGGTTTTGGGATAGACAACGTACCCTTGGGGCACTGGGCCAATTTGACGCATTTCCCGGCCGGGTTCCGCCCGTATCCGCTAGCACATACGCAGGAGTATTGCGGAGCCGTGGCGCAGGCCTGAAAATTAAATAATCTCTGCTAGCCTGCCTTCCTCAACAATCTCCGCTAGCCTACCGTATTATTCGCTCCGGGTTGTCGATTGGCGCAGCTGTCGCAGCCAGCATTCAGCTTGAACTCCTCCTCCATGGCGCAACCCGCAGCGAAGAGTTTTCGGGCTTCAAAGGAAGCAAAATGTAAGTGCTCACGGTATCACGACGTACTCCTCGGGCACTGGCTCACAGGAACGCAGGGACCTGAAGAGGTGGCCTTCGCGTAGCCCGCATCGCAAACGCACGACATCATCGGCTTGGCCATGCAAGGCTGGAAGTTGCGGGGTTGGCTTAGGCCTAGGCTTGACGTAGGCTCACCAAATTCTGGGTTCGAGCCTCGCACGAGTCGCAACCGCCATTCATCTTGTACGTCGCGTTGGGCACGCAGGTCTCGTTACTGCTGCTCGTGGCTGTAGTTTGGGCATCTGCCGTAGCGGTGCTTTCTTACTTGTGGCCTGGGGGCATTTGGACACCACGACGCACTTTCCAGCGTCATTTCTACCGTATCCTTTCACGCATACGCACGACGTCTTTGGGGCTGTGGCGCAAGGCTGAAAACTGGGTTTCCTCAAGGCTCTCTGCTAGCTTGCCCTCTCCTCTTCCTCAACAATCTCTGCTAGCCTGCCCTCTCCTCTTCCTCAACAATCTCTGCTAGCCTGCCCTCTCCTCTTCCTCAACAGTCTCTGCTAGCATACCCTTACCCCTCCAAGTGGTTTCCCATCAACGAGGACCCGGTTTTCGCACGAGTCACATCCCACATTCTTGATATATTCCTCGTTGGCCGGACATTTCCCTAAAAGTTTTAAATAACTTTTAGAAACAAACAGTTTTTGGAATGACTTACAATTCCGCAATGTTCTTCGCTTGCCTACCCTTTGAATCACCCTTTGTCTGTGAATTTCCGGGGCACTGTGCCAGGGGGATGCAGAGCTGTGATGAGCTGTCCATGGCGTAGCCCGCATCGCAGACGCAGGCCATAACTGGCATGACCATGCACCGCGGACGGTCGGGGTTGCTCTGCAATGAGCACTGCTAGCCTGCCATTTAAGAATTCCCAAATTTTTTTTTGAGAACGTTTTTTTATGAAATGCTTACTTTGCCATAACTATTTGATTATTACATTATTTTTGGCCGGAAAGTATAACTTTTAGCATATTTTTTGGCGCTCTATCGAATCGGCTTAAAGGAATCTTGAAAATTTTATGGAAATAATCTTCAAAAGCCGGAAAAACAGAAAATAAACACCTTTCGAAGACTTACCAAATCCGGGGCTCGCTCTTCGCACGTGTCGCAGCCCGCCTTCAACCGGTACGTCGCGTGGGCGACGCATGTCGTGTTGGCTGTAATCTCGGTGTCAGTCGGAGCCCTGTTTTATTTTTTGTCATTTCGACAACGCGATTTTCGACAGATTGACTTTCGTTCTGAGCGAAAAATCTTACCGGTAGGTTCGGGGCATTGGACCAGCGGAACACACTTTCCGTCGTCATTCCTGCCGTAACCCCTGCGGCATACACACGATGTTTTCGGGGAGGTGGCGCAAGGCTGCAAGCTGAGTTTCTCCAAAAATCTCTGCTAGCCAGCCCTCTCCACTTCGTCAACAATCTATGCCAGCATTCCCTGACTTACTGCAGGAGGTTTCCCATCGACGTAGGCCCGGTTTTCGCACGAGTCGCAGCCCAAATTCTGAATATATTCCTCGTTGGCGGGGCATTGCACTGAAAACCTATATTTTTAAAGGTTTTCGATTTACAAAAATTCTCTGCTGGCCTGCCCTTTTACTTACTCTGATTCTGCGTACTTCCGGGGCACTGCGCCAGTGGGATGCATGGGCCGTTCGACTTTACTCGGGCGTAGCCCTCCGAGCAGATGCAGGAGAAGCGGGGCGCCGTGGCGCAACCCTAGAAAAATAGGCCTAGGCTTAGGCTTAGGCTTCGGCTTGGCTTAGGCATCAAAGACACTAACCCCAGTCATCTGGCCATTTGCCGGTGCCCGAAAGTCGCATGAGTCGCACCCAATATTGTAGGCGTACACGGCATTGGCAGGGCACTAAAACCCCGGGTTCTTCAATGGGCCTTTAAAGATTGTTACCTTTGAGCTCTGGCCAAGTGCCAGCATGGCAAGGGCGGCCCCTAAAAATGGCTTTTATGGAAAACACCGCAAAATTTAGGCGCGCCTAGCGAATTTCCGGTTAGAGGCAGTTTACCCCCAACCAACCCCCGCCTACCGTATCTCGGCCGCCTGTTCATCAACAGGTGTGTAAAATATACCAAAACCTTCGTCTTGATCTGGCGAGTATTTTGGTATACTTTATACACTTGTTGATGAACAGGGAGTCGAGATACGGAAGGTGGGAGTCGGCTGGGAGGCGGGGGGGGGGCAAGCTTACCGAGAAAAATTTCGCGGAGCATCTCGGCGCTGCATAGGTTTTTTTAAGCTTTTGCCGTATTTATGGCCTCAGACTGCCACAAACTAGATTTTGTTCTTTTCCAAATGTTCACATTCCCAGGCGCGGGCCGTATGCAGATGGGCGTCTATCAAAAATCTTTGAGAAAGGATCACACAAAAAAAATCATTGTGGTTGCTTGTTAGGCCTAGGCTTGGGCTTAGGCTTGGGCTTAGGCTTAGCTAGGCTTAGGCTTTGGCTTTGGCTTAGGCTTTGGCTTTGGCTTTGGCTTTGGCTTTGGTCTAGGGTTAAGCTTAGGCTTGCGCTTAGGCTTCGGCGTTTTTGCTTAGGCAATTCGTTAAGACTTTAGTGAAAACTCCCCCACCTAGGAACGCAGAGCGTGGCATCGCGGATTCTTCTTTTCGGATAGGAAATTTCGGAAAATTTCGCATTGTTTTTGTGCTGTCCCCCATTTATACCCGCGTTTTATGAGGTTGCGCGTGAAAATTTATGTTGCGACCCGGTGGGTTGGTTTTCCCAGCAGTTATGGTCAAAGCTTTGGCGATTCCAGCGCGCGAAGTGCTTTCCGATCTTTGGCCGTATGTCCTGCAGGGCAGACTAGCAGAGGTTGTTGAGGAAGAGGTGATGGAAGGCTAGCAGAGATTGTTGAGGAAGAGGTGATGGCAGGCTAGCAGAGATTGTTGAGGAAGAGGAGAGGGCAGGCTAGCAGAGATTGTTGAGGAAGAGGTGATGGCAGGCTAGCAGAGATTGTTGAGGAAGAGGAGAGGGCAGGCTAGCAGAGATTGTTGAGGAAGAGGAGAGGGCAGGCTAGCAGAGATTGTTGAGGAAGCGGAGAGGGCAGGCTAGCAGAGATTGTTGAGGAAGAGGAGAGGGCAGGCTAGCAGAGATTGTTGAGGAAGTGGAGAGGGCAGGCTAGCAAAGATTGTTGAGGAAGAGGAGAGGGCAGGCTAGCAGAGTTGTTGAGGAAGCGGAGGGGCAGGCTAGCAGAGATTGTTGAGGAAGAGGAGAGGGCAGGCTAGCAGAGATTGTTGAGGAAGTGGAGAGGGCAGGCTAGCAGAGATTGTTGAGGAAGAGGAGAGGGCAGGCTAGCAGAGATTGTTAAGGAAGAGGAGAGGGCAGGCTAGCAGAGAGCCTTTGAGTCTATGTTTTCGAACATATACACGCTTAAGGTAATAAAATAAAACGATTTATTCGCAGGAAATCGATTATTGCAGGGTCTTCGGCTGAAAAAAAGCTTTTGAAAGCGAGTGCTTAAGGTTTAGTTTTTTCAAAAATAATTTTTCAAAGCTGTTCACTTGCCTTAACTGGGACAGATCCGGAGAGTCCGGAGACTACCGGAGGCGGGTCGCTACCGGCTTGATACAGCGATGGTGGGCATTTGTCGACCGGAACGCACGTTTTGTTGCCGGGGCCCACCGGCGAGCCGAACCCGGGCTGGCAGTGGCAGCTCATTTGAGGAGCGGTAGCGCATACCTGAATTCCGGTTTGCTTAGGATTAGGCTTAGGCTTAGGCTTATACTTCAGCTTAGGCTTAGGCATAGGCTTCCACCTAAGCTCAAGCTCATCTAACCAAGCACCCACCCAGGACGGCTCGTTCTTCTTCTTAAGCGCATCGCACGAGTCACAGCCCGAGTTCAGCTCCCATTTCGAGTTCTCGGGGCAACCCTGAAAAAAGCTTAAAGGCGCCGGCCGGGACAGTGGTTCAAGAAATTCTGAATTTTTTGAGAACAAATTACGACATAAAAATTCTAGGCTTGCCGTGATCCAAAAAACATCACAAAATTTACCTCCGGCGGCGGTCCAGCGCTTGGCAAAGGCGACCCATCTGGAGGAGCAGCGCTGCCGGGCACCTGAAAAATGGATTCATCTATGATTGCGCTTTAGGGCAGGTATTCCAACGCCGTACCGTAGACGCCGAGGGTGTTCCGTTAACCGGAGCGCCGGAAGGAGCGGGGCTTCCGTCCGCGGGGACCCCGGAGGGTGCAACGCTTCCGGCGGGCGGTGCGGCGCTACTAGCTGGTGGCGCGGCGCTGCTGGCTGGCGGGGCTTCGCTCGCGCCGACCACTCCGCCCGTCACCGCAGTTGCCAGCGTTAGCCCTGAAAGTGGATGACTTAGGCTTAGGGTTAGGGTTAGGGTTAGGCTTAGGCTTGGGTGTAGGCTGGGGCTTGGGCTTAGGCTTCGGCTTAGGTTTTAGGCTTAGGATTAGGCATATGGTTAAGCTTGGGCTTAGGCGTAGGCTTAGGTTTAGACTTAGGGTTAGGCTTGGTGTAGGCTTGGGACTAGGAAGAACTTCGAATCCCCCTAAAACCATCCCACAAGCTCAAACCCACCTATGATCAACCGTAGTGCAGTAGCCATTTTTCGGGCGCCGTCACAGTATACGACCGGAAATCCCGGCCACACACCCTTATAAGCCGTGCCCCAATTCGAAATTCGACGACGCGTTCCCCCCTCGGAATTTTTCCGGAAAAGCATTTGTATTCAGGGTACCGGGCGGGATGCGCATTTCCCCGTTTACGAAACTGTACGGAGAGACGTCTACGAATTATAAGGATTTGAAAGGTACTGGTAAGGCAGGAATATGGCTTGGCTTAGGCTTGGCTTAGGTTGAATCCGCTTAGGCTTAGGCTTAGGTTAGGTTCAGGCTTAGACTTAGACCGAAGCTTACCCTTGGCCCTTGACCGCCCCTTGAAAGTGTCCCAAGACACGGCTTTGGAAAACCGGAAAAACCCAACCTCTTCCGCAAACGATCTCTGCTAGCACTCCCATGTCAAAAATGTACAGATACAACGTAAATATAAATGTATATTTATCAAAAAATACAACAGTATACAGTATGCTTAACTTTATCTACATGATGTTCATAACCGTCCCGCGGCTGCGCGCATCTTTTTCTGCGCCTCCTCTTTGCATAGCTCGACGTATTCGTGCTGCGATTTTTCGATCGCGGCGAGGTACAAGTCGTGCTCCTGGAATTGGTAGGCTAGCAGATACCATTTAGGAATCCTAAAGGGAGCACGACAACTAGCAAAGACTGCCTGCCACTTTCTGACCTGCTTAAAAGTGGGTTGCGCCAATTTTCGTATCCGTTCCGCCAGCTGGTCGATGCTCTGATTCGTCTTTTGCAATCGCCCGTCCTCAAATAGCCCCTCAACGTTCGTATCGGACGCTTCCACTAGCTAAAAAGGTTGAGCAACGTCACGGAAAAAGTAAGTTTTTAAAGCCAAAAAACTACCGAATGTGAAGCCCGGATGATGCCGTCAAACTCGCGGTGCCGATCGTTGCGTTCGAAATGCTCGACGAAGGCATCGATGTGCCTGAAAAAAATTGGTTAGCTTAGGCTGGCGCTTTGCTTAGGCTTAGGCTTGACTTAGGCTTGGGTTAGACTTGACCTTAGGCTTATGCTTATTCTTTATTTTATTTTCCATCAAAAATTACCTTCTGACAACCGGTGTATGGTCGAAGAGCTGCTCGCCGACTAGGACGACATCGCCAACCACGGACGAGGCCGTCATACTATGCCAAAATAGTACTAAAACCTGGAACGCTATATATGCAATTTAACGTTTAGTAAAGCTAGCATCGAAAGAATATAATAGTTTCAACGAATTGTTTACGTTTAAAATGCCGGCTAGCGAATCTTGCAAACCAATTAGCCTAGTTTATATATTAATAACTTTTATGGTGACTAAGTCAATCCGAAAATACATAAAAATTTAACAAGTAACTGATACAGTTCCCTATCCGTTTTCCAATTCTTGGCCCGCTACAGGGCGCTCCAGTGGGCGGGAAAAGCCGCGGCAATTCGAAGACCGGTTGACTGGTTCCATGTTCATGGTTAAAAATATTTTTATTTAAAATAATTTGTATTTAGCAGGTTTTTATGAAATCATCAACGTTTTTAAATGTAAAACTTAAAAATACTATAGCTATATTTCCGTCAAGATACGACACGACTTTTAGATATTTTTTGTAGCTTTTCCTGACGTTTTGGACAGTTTTTCTCGTTTTTGTCAGTATTATGATCAGCAATCATGCGTAGATTCCTTTATTCCTTATTTTTATCAGGTAAGTAAACGCTTAGGCAACCTCGTAAATGTGAGAAACAATCGATAGCGACGGTGAATTAAAAAGGAGAAAGAAGAATTGTCATTTTCCCGACAAATGAAGTTCGTGGGCTTTGTTGAGCAGAAAAAACAACGTTAAAAATTGTCGAATAAATTAAGAAAACTTTAAATAAATTATTTTTGTTTGCTATTCCTTCTTTGGGCGACGGCGCACGGACGTCTCGGCTTTGTGCGTGGTTTTTTGAGCGGCGGCCGGTGTCTAAAATCAAATTTTTTTATAAACTCCTCCCCCGATATTGCAAAAGCTCCTGTTTAAATGGTATATTGGTTTTAGTGATTTTGTAAACGGGTTGGAAGTGAAACAGCTCAAAGCTGTTTTAAAAATTCGAAAATTTGGTGATTTGGGGGTCGAAAATGTGTTTTAGAATCGAACTATCAATTTTAATGGACCATGATCAACTATTGTAAAGTTTTTGAGCCTAGAAATCGTTGAAAAGAAGGTACAAATACAGTAGCTATTTCTAAAGCTAAAAATCTAAGCCAGCGTGGAAAAAATCGGGTTTTTGCCCGGGGGAATCGTAAAAGCAAAGAAAAAGCCAGGGTAAGCATGCGCTTTCAAACTTGCCCTCGGGCGCAGCGACTTCGTGGTCACGGTCATCGAGACGGCCGACGATTCATCGGAAGACGAAGTAGCCGAAGTTTCAGTATTTCGCGGGGTCATCGGACGCGGGTTCCGCTGCACGAACTACAACAAAGCTGTGGGGGTGGTGGCGAAGCGAGGGGTGCAGAAGTGTATTTAAACGCCCAAAAAAACAAGCTAAAAGCTAAAAACTTTAACAAGTTCCCCAAAAACACCTGCTAGCCGGCCCTCACTCACCTTTTTCTCCGGTTCCCCTTCGTCAGCCTTCTTTTGTGCTTTCTCCGCGACCGGACGCTTCCGGAGCACTTTTTGGGGGACCTGACATTGCGTGATTTTGTGGTACAGAAAACTAGAATAATATAAAAACAAAACCTACATCCGGCAGCTCTCCGGACCTGGCGAGCATTTGGTAGAAAATCGTGCCGAACAGGATGCAGCAACCCCTGAAAAATTTGGATGTGGGTAGACTTAGGCTTAGGCTTAGGCTAAGGGTTCGGCTCAGGCTTAGGCTTGGCTTAGGCTTGGGCTTGGGCTTGGCTTAGGCTTAGGCTTAGGTTTGGCTTAGGCTTGGGCTTGGGCTTAGGCTTAAGTTTAGAACTCACCAAACAATCGCAATGTACTCAGCCCTATTTTCGAATTCGGTCCCGCACACTGCATACCATTCCAGCGGCTCGCCACGTTGCTAAATGATGTAAATACGCAGCGTTTCCAGACATATTTTAAAGGGGCTGAGACGCCAAAAATTGCAGCAAAATTCAGCTACAAAAAAAATTCTACCTGTTCCGGGGCTTTCCCGCCATTTGGCAGGCAATGGAAGTCAAAGTACTTCTCGTCGTAGTTTGTGGCGCATAGGTATTTATTTTTGTAGAGGACTTTCTAAAATGTTGTAAATAATTATAGAATTAATGGAATTAATTAAAGCTTGTTGAAGCCAGAAAACTTACCCCGGTTGGCGTCTGGACTTTCTGCTTTTCTTTGCAGGGTCCGATGGCCTGGTGAAGTCTGAAAAAATCGATGCTCATTGGGCTTATGCTTAGGCTTAGGCTTGGCTTAGGCTTTTAATCCTTCACTCACCCGTCCTGGACGATATTCACTGGATCGCACACGACCACCAACACCATGAAGAAGATGTACTCGATGCTGATGGCCAGCGGCACCTCGTCGAACCACCAGCGGTCGCCTGGAATTCCGCATATGGTCTCTGCTAGCTAGCGTTTTGGCCGCTTTCAATAAATGGCCTCTGCTAGCCTACCGGCTCTCGATTCCGGTTTTTCCACTGGACGTCGGCGATCCGCACAAATGACGATGAGGGCGTAGGTGCTGAGGAAGAGGATGGTCGTGATTTCGGAGTGAACCTGAAAGGTGGGATAAAGAATCTATGCCAGCCCGCCTAGACTTAGGCGTAGGCTTAGGCCTAAGCCTAGGCCCATCTCTGCCAGACTGACCTTGTAGAAGTCGTGCAGCGTGTGGTATATGGGCACAAACTGCAGCGTGCCCAGCCAGAAGGCGGAAACTCCCGCCAGGAACGAGCACAAGAATTCACGATGGATCCTGAAAATGTTGTAAAGCTGAATCCCAATGTTGGAAGACGACCCTTGCTGGCACCATCCCTTGAAAATTCCAAAACCCACTTTCGCCAGTCGTATTCGACATCCACGATATAGCGCCGGGTCAGGTGCAGCAGCCAGACGAGACTGCAGGCGAATGAGGCGTGGAAGTAGAACGAGTTCCAGGGAACCCAGTAGAATCTGAATAATTACGCAAATGGTCTCTGCTAGCATGCCCTCTCTTCTTCTTCAATAATCTCTGCTAGCCTGCCCTGCCCAGTTTTCCCGCAACCCACCGATCGTAAATGTTCGGATCCGTGTCGTGCCACGTCCACCACAGGTTTTTTATACCCAGAATGTCGTATGGTAGGTCGAGCATCACCGCACCGAGACCCACAGCGGGTCCTTCGGCCCACCACGGGAGATGGAGCCTGAAAAATGTTAATTCTTGGGTTTAGGCTTAGGCTCAGGTCAGGCTTAGGATTGGGCCTAGGCATGGGCTTGGCCTCAGGCTTGGGTTTAGGCACAAAAACTACCGTACTTTTGGACAGCCACGTAGGCGCAGTAGTCGAAGGTGTGGTAGATGCCGAAGAGGATGTAGAGGGGGGCACGAGCACCGAAAAACGTCAAAACGCCCTAAAATTGAGATTATCTCGTCAAAAATCTCTGGTAGACTGCCCTCTATTTTTCCTCACAAATCTCTGCTACTTTTCCCACCTGAGCCTGCCAAAAATTGTCCATATCCGGAATGTTGTAGCACAAGTTTTCGACGTTGAAAGCGTGAATGGTGATGGCAATCCAGACGTAAAGGTAGCGCCGTTCGCGGTTACGGTATGCTAAAGGAAAAGTTAAAGAAAGAGAGAGCGAGAGAGAGAGGGGGAGAGCGAGAGAGACGCACCGTGAATAAACGTGAGCAGACAGCAGCTGACGAACATTATCTCTCCAAGTAAAAACGAGAGATGGTTCTCGATGAGCTGCGAGATTGGCTGGTACTTGCAGAGCCAGTCCATCCACTGAAACGAAGAGAATAAGTCCCGAAAGTTCCTCAACAATCTCTGTTAGCTCGCCTCCTTGCAAAACGCACGCCAATAAAGTTAACAAATTTGATGTTCCACTCCTTTTTCGTAGCATCGTCGAGCTCGAGCGGCACGTACGGCCACACGTACTCGTCCAGCACGAAGGCGTCCATTTTTCCGGGGACGCACGCCCGAGTTTTTACCTGAAAATCGTGATAAATGATTTTTTTGATAAAAAGGAGCATTTTGGAACTGTAAAAACCAATTTTAAAAAATGGGCACAACACTGCTAGAAGGCATAGAAACATGAGAAAAGCGAGAGTTCAGCGCAAGCCACGCAAAAAGTGATAACAGCGCCTTCCGCCCGGTTATCTGTTTTTTTTTACTTTCGTATAATTTATATCCCGCCAAAATGCCTTGAAGAGCGCTAGAATCGATGCGTAATGCAGAGCCTATAATCCACTACATTAATGAAAGCTATGAATATCGTTAGGGTCCGAAAATCCCGACTTTTTACCTTAAAATCCAATTTTTAAATATAAATCGATGCAACGTTTCTAAAGCGCTTCTTACTATTCCTAAGCGTCAATATACGCAACTTTTAATCGATACACAGAAAGAAAAAGATTTTTCGACCATCGATTCCGATTTTCGCAAGAAATTCAAATTTTTTAAAGTTTTCTAAACTTGCAAAATCGTTTTGAATTGCAATACGGCTCAAATGCTAAAATAATGTTTAAGAAACGTAAAATTACGTTACTAGTCCAATAAAAAAGTTCCCCAAAAAAGTTCCAATACCGGCGTTCCGCCGTGGCGCGGGGGCCAGCCGGTTGGTATTGGTGTGTGTGGCGCGCCGAGGGGTCAGCCGGCCTGTTTGCCATATCGGACCCGGTGTGTGTACCTTTAGGGGTAAGGGGGTACCAGAGATACGCGATAGAGAGAGCGCGAGAGAGGGAGAGAAAGAGAGATCGGCAGGAGTAAGATGAGTAAGCATACCCCGAGGGCCCGGAACGTGCAAGCCGCCCACCATCGATTTTCAATGTTCCTGATCAGGGCGCTTCCCTCTCTAGTCGAGTCGATTTTAGGCGCTTTTAGAGTTTTTCGACGTGACATTCTCTGGTGCTCATTAGATAGAGCTTGCAATTTTGAACAAGTTCCGGTTCTTTTGCAGTATCAGGGGTGGACCAACTTTCCAATGTCAAAATTTGGAGATCGTAGCGTTGCAAATCAGAAAAGTGTAAATGTTTATAATGGGAACACGGCAAGTAAGTGAACGGAGTGATCAATAAAGTTTAAACGTGTAATCGGAAAGATCGAGCAACCCGGAAAGAACAGACAGAACAGGCAAATTTTTAATCAGAGTGAATGCGAGTAAGTTAAGGCCAACCGGGGCCGCACCCGCCAAAACTCGATGCAAATGTTCACTTTGGCTTGACCATGCCGTCCGGGAAGAAGAGACGTTTCAGTTGGTAGCGGATCTGGTCCCCGGCCTTCTCGATGGCTTCTTTGTATGCATCCTAAAATCAAGGAAGTTATAAAGTAACAACCATTCAGGGCTTCTTTGCGATAACCAGCTCACTTTCCCTAACTAAAACGCATTAAAAACGAGACTTTTCCCATCTTTAAAAACCCACAAAGTTCCGATTTTTTAGCTAGCTTCTAAACTGTCTAAGTATCTGGGTCCCCAACGACCAATCGTCGGGTTTGGCTCCCGGCTATCTTCCCACATAAACATTTTGAGCAGAGTTACTCACCGAATTGCCCGAGAAATTATAAGCTCGCTGCTCAGCCGCGCTCAACTGGTCCCAAACGTACTTTCTGGAAAAAAACAGTAGATACTCAAAACTGGAATTACCTCAGTTCGAGCGTCGCCATATACTGATGTCCGACCCAGATCTTCTTGTGCGTCACGGCGATCTGGTTCATCCGGGTGTCCCGGCCGAAGCGTTTGTGCCACTCCTAAAAATGTATAAAATTAATTCGGAGGAATCCGTTCGAACCTTGACACAATGCTTCATCAACGGCTTTGGCTGATAGAGGATTGGCGGGGAAGTCAGCTGCGAGTCGGGCTTCAGCGCCGCCCGCACGGCCTTGTTCTTCTTCAGCAGCTGCAGGATCGACTCCTTGTGTTGAATGTAGCTCTGCTGCTCGCCGGCACTGGCTTCGAAGATTTGTTGTTCGATCGCATCCCGAATTCCGACAGAGCCACCGCAATGTTGGTCGAGCAGCTCGCGAGTGGAGGCGCGTTCGGCCTAGAAAAGTGATAGGATCCACATAATATCCTCGAAAAGTAGTTTTTCAAAATTTCGAATCTCGACAATCAAAATGCATTTTTGGCAATCCCTAATTTTAAAAAACCTGCATCCAAATAGCCGTAGTAAACGGACCGCAGATCGTTAAAAAATTTTTAAAATTTTTTTTTTGAAAAAATCCGGAAAAAATTTTCACATTAAATTTTTAGAAATGATTACTTCTATGGTCCATTCCTGAACGGGCTCGTCTGGAATGACATCGCCATGAGCATCGATGGGCTCCGGACTGGGCGGCGCCCTGTTTTTGGTCTTAGCGGACGATGGAGCAGGTGTAGTGACGGGAGTGTTCTAAAAAGCCGATGCTCGCAAAAAAACGCAAACATACCGTTTTGCCCCTTTTCTTGGGTGGCGGGCTCACTTGTTCATCACTGTCAGAAATCCAGGCCCGGCGATGTCGCGGGCTTTGCCGAAGCCTCGGGGATGTGCTCAGTTTTCTCGCACGCATTCTCGTCTCCATCATTTGCTTCTCAACCGCGGCCGACGCCTTCGACGTGCATGGCTGGTCGAGAGTAAACGGCCTTCCGGATCGAGTGGCCCTAGCATCGACCGAAGAGCGGCTGGAAACTGGTGAGCCAGGCGACAATTGCACAGAAATCGGGGCACGAAGCCGTTTCAATTCGAACACGCGAGACGAGTGAGTTGCGCCTGAAAAGAAAAGTGATGTGACAGGTTGAAAATGTCGTGAAAATCTTTGCAAATCTGACCAAACAATTGAGGTTACGCTAGATTCTAGCCCGCGCAAAATAGCACCAAAACCGAAAAATCAGTAAATCTCCCTGATCAGAATCACGTTTTGCAAACCGGCATTTTATCTCAATATTTCAAAAGGTATCAATAGCCGGGCTCAAACCTTGTTTCTTGATTTCTTCCCTATGGGCCGCGATGGCAGTGCGAGCCGGCGAAGAATGCACGTCGAGGGTGGCCAACTTCTCGTCGAGCTCGGCTAAATCAGGAAATTGAACGACAATAAATAAGTAACAAACCAGTCAAATTGAATGAAGTATCTCTTGCTTCACCTTCCTCGTTGGCTGCACGTCGAGTAGCATTAGGAGCTACCCGCTAAAACGGTCGTTTCAAACAAGATCGTGTAGCTTACGATGCTTTTGCGACGTCCCCGTCCTCCAGCATCACCCCTGGGTGTTCCCGGCCCACCGGATTCCTCGTCTAAATACCACCATTACATTGTCGAAAAGATAATACCGTTAAAGGTATAGCTCCGAATTGTAAAATCACGGCTTCGCAGGTCAATCTTGCACTTGAATTTTTCCTCTAGCCTAAATGTGGAATTTTTTTCGTTCTGTCGCATTATGGGGGCCCAATTTGGTTTTGCATCTGTCTAGAAATGTTTAGTAACTTAATAGCAAGCATTTTTCTCGTTTTTAAGATGATAAAACTGCATTTCAACCATAAAACTATCAAAAAGTCGACATTTTGGTCAAAAAATTTATTTTTTATTAATTTGTAAAGTTTTTACTGTTAGGAGAATAGCAGGGTTGTTCATTTTGCGTCCGGTCCGCGTCCGTCCGCGTCCGGGACGGTACGCGTCCCGTCCGTCTCATTAGCATAAAATTTTGCGGACGGACGCGGACGCGTCCCGGACGGACGGGACGGACGCATGGCGGACGGGGACGGGGAGCGTCCGCGCGTCCGAGATGCAAATTAATTCATGGTAATCTTAAAATGAAACCAGGAAGTTCGCAATCATTTTGCAGGTTTTGCGGTAAATTCGATTTTATTGGACGGTAGGTTGCCATGTACAAGTAGACATGCTAAAAACCAGACCCTACCAAAGGTTTTACGCCCAAAACTGAAAAACTAGGCGCTTCATTATGATTTGAATCCGGTTTTCTGATTTGCATCGCGGACGCAGTTATTTCCGGCGTCCGCCGTCCGTCCCGTCCGTCCGCGAACAACCCTGGAGAATAGTAAAAAAAAAGTTTTAAAAAATGCCGCTGTTTATGAAAGATTAGACCCTCCGAAAAAAGTTGGTCCCCGGATAATTCGAAAGAACCTTTTCGCTACAATAAAACCCACATCGGCTGAACATCGAAGGGATCGATCGGGAGCGCAAGCTTCTTGTACAACAACAGCATGTCCTCGGCCGACAGGGGGTATGTGTAGAGGTTAGCTACGATCCGTCGATACCTAAAAAAAGAAGTTTTAATCACAACAGATTAACCTTGTCTGCAGCGCCTGCTCGGTCCGGTCGATCTTGTTTTCGCGCGCATACTGCCCCCAAAACTCCAGTCCTTTCAGCTGATTCGGCAGTATGGCATTGGCACGGAGCTTTCTAAATTTCGATATCCAGGCGAAACATGTCGAACTACCTAGCGATCCAAAGAAACTGCCGCACGTCGTCTTGGATGGTTATGGGCACCCGACCCATCTAAAGTTGGACATTATCTGTCAGACAAGGAAATCAAATATATTATCTTTCAAGATGAGTGATGAATTAACAAAAAAAAAGCTGTTAGAAGACGTTGAAACTACAAATTACGAAAGTGAATTTTGTCCTAACCTCATTCTTGATGAGTAACCGGACTCTCTGACCTCTATTTATCGATATGACTACCAAAAAAATGGCTGTCCTTCTTTCCTACTTATCCTGCTTTTACGAAAATAACAGGAAGTATTCCCGTTTTTAGACAAAGGCTTTCTGCCAGGAATTTTTTTGCCTCGCGGAAAAAAGATGGACCGTTTTAGAGAGCTTTTGTGTAGAACCCACAATACAGAATTTTTGTATTTTTGTAACTTTTATCTTTTATTCTATCTACTATATATAAATTTCTAATGTCCGTGATCCCGACCGACCGCCCGACCGGGAATTCCGCCAAATTTTGCATTCAAATTCCAAATTCAAA